GCCATATTACAGGGTTATAGTAGTCCCTCTAGTATGCCGAACTATGGTATGGATGTCCCCAGAGGGGAACTAATTGTTCCCAGGCTTACATGTTGCTTCTGCAAAATATGAAATATTGAATTCGTCTTCACATTTTGGTGTTAAAGAATATAATGAAGTAACGTCAACTTTAGTTTAAAACCAAGTCCTTCGATTGAAGAGGGGAGGGGCAAAATTATTTGTGTTCTAATACAACCTTGTCCAGAATACTTTTGAAGCATTGAAAATTAATTAATGAAATTTGCATCATATACCTCAACCCAATGTACCGGGCATCACAAGATAAGTGGGTCAGTGTGAGCTTTACCTTAAGGTCAAAGGACAAATAAGTGCTTTTTACTGTATTTATTAGAGTGAAAACTAGAAACTTGCTCACCCCAGGAAGTGAGCGGTTAGCTGTAACTTCGCCTTAACGTCGAGGGTCAAACAAGTGTGGAAAGTTTTCATGTTTTTATCAGCATTTTTCCCACATTCAACACTTCCGTCGAAATTCGTTATCTCAAAATCCATGGGACAGTGGAAAATAATCCGACATATTCGAATTTCGACTCAGTGTCCAAAATAAGGTTGACGATTTCACAAAAACATATCTATAATTAGCACAACAATAGCTTACCAAAATTTAATCCACTTATAATGCGATAGGTGTAACAAATTATTTGATATGACTCTATATTTATTATTAGATTTATCAATTCAAAATAATTACCTATAGATCCATAAATTTCAAGCTCCTACTGCCTAGGTCTTCTTGCAAGTTATCCACAACAAATATTTCTTCTTCTCTCCTTTAGACTCGACCTCCGACACTTATCCTTCCTAGCCGTTCCTGCCCTTTACATACTCTAACACCGTGCCTTAATTTTACTTGGTTTTACCTCCAACTACTTCTTTAATTGGTCCATTTGTGTATGATTCGAAGACGTTCCAAAAATCTACGTCTGCGCCGTCTGATAGTCCGCTCACCTGCGTCCTGGGGGTTCCTTGAACTGAATATGTAATCATAACCATTATATTAAAACTAACTTATACATCTACGGCTTGCTGAGCACTCTCCCACAAATTTCCTGATTACGGTTATATCAGCCAAATATTAGAGTTATAAAAATAAAGCATTTTAGATATGATTGTTTCTTATCAAAATGCAATTAATCATAATTTCATTATCATCAACGAATCTCGGACCATTCTAGAAGATTCTAATTAATTTTCATTATAGCTGTATGCAAGCATAAATGACCAAGCTGTTTTATAAGCTGTATTTTGTTCGGCGGAATCTCGTTTCACTCCTTTGAACTTCTTATGATGATTTACTGAACAGCTGATCCTGGGGAGGTTTTTGGGTACAAAATGGGGAAAAAGGGAAAAATATATTGAGTACATCCACAAAATGGGAAAAGGTAAAAATATGTTGAATGCATCGACAAAATGGGGAAAAGGTAAGCTAATGTTGAGCGCATCGATAAGATGTAATACCAAATTACCTGGATAACTTATTATGCAATATCACATGTAGATTAATATACGAAACTTATAAATACGACTTCAGTGGGAATCAAATGTCAATGGCGTTCCTATTGGTTTATCTGGCTTGCGTATTCCAGTCCTGGTGTGATTTCTTGGTACAGCCAACTTTTGCAAACAAGCCCTCTGATAAAAAGCCTCAATGCACCATTTATGAAGAGATGTGTATGGTCACAATCAATCCCGCTGACACTTTTAAGGTCATGCCACCGTCCACTCCGCTTCTTCTTATGGATACATTACTTAATTGTAATGTTTTTCAGGCCGAGCCCATAATCAGTGTATCACTTGCTGATCAGCAAGAACACAAAGTGTTGTCTCAGATGTAGTATCACTTTCCTATGGGCGTGTAGCTTCAACTTGTATATTTTGCCTTTTTAATAAAATAATCACCACACTAAGAGTTGTTACCAAAACACGTGGTGCACAGAATTTCTTATATCATGTTCTAACTTTCGCATGGCAACAGATCTATCAGGTTCCTTGGACTTCATACGAATGGTACATCTTATATCCTTTGTAAGTCTAACTTTTACCCACTTTGTAAGATTACCAGGATTGCAATGAGGATTCGCCAGCTTCTCTAAACTTGTCCACAAACACTTGAATGCATGATTAACACATTCCACCTCAGGACATCAGCTTCCTAGATTTGTACTTCTTGCAAACTTCTGGCATAAACGAAGCTGTCAATATCAGCATTCAACCTCATGTAACGCACACCGTGGGCTTTATCAGTAGTAAAAATCCCTCGATAATTACAGCTGCTTGCATTTCCTGATAACTTTCATTTCAGTTGCGGAAGCACTGATGATGCCGAGTTTCACAATGACGAGATTGAGCTAAAGAACGGATATGATAATGCTTGCCACGAATACCTATATGCACCAAACATTACAGCCACGCTACTATTGTATTGTAGCAGGTTAATATTTTATGACTGTTTGTTATTGGTTTATATTGTATATATTTGTATTTTGTCATATTTATGTTCGTAATAAGTGTGTGGATGGTGTATGAAAATAAATAGAATATGATGGTGCATGTCACCTTAATGTAAGTCTGTTATGCAAGTTGTGTAAAGGTCAAGTAGTGACATTTTGCACTATTGTGTTTTAATTATTCATGTAATGACATGTGACTTGACATTAGACATCTGATTGGACAGTACCAAATAACATCTCTGGTTTTCTTCGGACTTTCTTGTCTTGCTTTCTTGGCACTTCACACCTTTCCCTTCTTGGGTGTAGAACCTGTTTGTCCGCCGGAGAAGATTGGTTTTCCTTGTAGATGCGTCGTCGCTTAGCCCGTCCCGTCCCTGTTGGAGATTTTTTTACTTTAAACTCCCACATAATCCCGTGGGAGTTTATATCCACCTTTAGTACAATAAAAACCAAGAACCCTAAACAATGTTTGTCTTAGAATCAGACATGCACCTGTTACAGTATGTGTGTTTATGTGACTGCTTAGACCGTCCTCCATAATATTTAAATAACTGTAATGCTATAGTTAAAGTCTTTCCGTTCAATCGCTAGTCATTTGTCTTTTGCTCCGGCCGCATATATTTTTCTACAATAGCATGCTACAGATCTCTGATATGATGCTATATTGAAGTGTACAAAGCCCGTCTTATACCAGATTCTTCATTCGTTGCTAACATTTTATTTGTCGCAAACACTCCATCACGAATTACCATGGATCCCCATAATGATCTCATGATGATTCCATAAATGAAGGATAATGCAAAGTTTATTGCTAATTTCAGTAAAGATGCAAGTGCATTGTGGTAGTCTCTCTGGTAACAGACACAGGTTTCCCCCCAAGTACTACCAATTTTCTAGCACTTCGGCATACAGTATAGTGTGAACATACCTCAGCCATATTATGTTACAAGTTACATATACTTGCATCGAGGATTCAATAACTATCAGGTAGTGATTCTTCTTAAGCCATGACCGAGAACATTGTTGCCTTTGCACTAAAGTGATGGACTTTAAACTTTGGACTCCCAAGATCTTCAGCCGTTCCACCACAAACTTCAGAGTAGTCTGACATTTCTGTCTTCTTCCACATAATTTGCTATTTTCTAACCAAATGTCTCTGTATTCCTTTATATTTGGTTTAAGTCTCCTTATATTTCACTTTACTAATGTGTTGGTGCATGAGCTACCGTACGTAACGACGTGTCCATTCAGACTGACAAAATTTGGGTTAAATCTTAAAACTTAAATCTTCAGTATAAATCTAAAACCTGGCGAAATATATTTTTCATTTCCAAACGAGAAAACGAGAAATAAAAATCTCAATCATTTAATGGGTTATATAGAAGCAATGAGAATACATTCATTCCGTAAATAGCCTACAAAAAGCGAATGAGACATGTGTTTGACAGTTCGGGAGCCGTAACCTAAATACGCATTTGGGTGCATTCTGATACATTGTTTCATTCAATCTTGGCAGCTTGCAGTCGTAAATTTGTTGTAAGTATATTAGCGACCATAATGTTAAAAATATAATTAGGTTTTGATTGCGTTATATACTTACCAAAAACTACTTTTAAGGCCTTCCAACACCTGGTTGAAATTTATTCTTTCACTCTCATCTGTTCACGAAAATATGAAATAGAATTAATGATATATTTATACATATCTTCATAGTTTTTTTTTATATTTCAGATGCGAGCGCAGTAATATCTCATGAGGTGCCCAGGTTCCGACATGGTGGAATGCACCCTGTAAAGCACGGTGACCGACGTTAGTGTGAAATATTGCATAATTCGTGATCAGAAGAATATCTTCTATTGCTCCCACCTATCAGAAGCCGCCAGGTTTATCAAAAATACATCTGTTCAATTTCGTTATATGCCAACCGCCGACTATTGCACATTTGAATGTTTACTTCAGACGTGGTCACCAAGCATGTACTGTGAGCGCATTGGACCTTCCCCTTCCTCCCCTACCCTGTTTTTGATCTGTTTAGTCTGTATGGCGAATGGAACACGGCTTTTGCTCTTCTTGCTGTTGTTAGGAAAGTATCCTCCTATCAAATAGCGCATCTGTTTTAAATTAAATATATTCAACTTAAACGGTGTTGGTGCAGTTCATTTTTTTGTACCTTTTTGACCAATTGACCAAAAAACGACTTTTGAAATGAAAACTTGTTCCAATGAAGTATATATTACATTTACTAAACAGTAAATAGATGTATTGTAAGGAAGGTAAATAAACATTGAAAACCAATTTTAATTAATTAATTTATATTGTTTTGTAATGGCAGCAACGGTAATACAATGGAAAACTAAAAGATAGTTATTACTATTATCCGCAGTCTGGATATATCATCACAATTTTCTGTGTATGTGCTTTTTCTATGTACATAATAAATACAAGTCCTATACCGGAATGCAGTGCTTGGCCCGCTCAACCACATAACAATATACATCCTCCTTCGTCACTGTCTCAGTAGTATCATGTGTAAACAGTGCATGTGGAACCGCATACGTGTGATAAGGGTAAGTGTAAATATTCATATGATAACTTATAGTTACACGATTCATGCGAAACTGCATTCGTGTAATGAGTGACATGTTTAACTGGATAATAAGTTTTCAAGGAGAACTGCGGAACTATTGGCCTATACAACTGAGATAGAACATATGTGAATGCCCATACGCATAGCTTATCGTGGTCGCTATATATAATCAAGACTGTCATGTCCTGACCTCGAAAGGTACGTAACTGGAATGTGTTTTTTTCTTATTCGATTTTTGTTCTTCATTGATAGCTTTCCGAAATAAAAACCTAGTAACACCAATATTTCATGCCCGCTGGTGCGCATGGAAGTCAGAGAGGTCCACAGGGAAGTTTTTAACATGCTCAAAACTTGCTCCTGAGCAGTTGCTGACGTTGGTCGTGGGTCAGTGACCATGTGGCACCAGTATGTGTCAGTGGCAGGCATCCTTTCGGGCGACTTGCGGGCAGGTGTTGATACTACAAACCTATTTCTTCTACTGAATGAAAACTTCATAATATACAAATCAAAAATCACTTGTTGAATATCTACGTTGTATATATGAAGTAAAATTGATCTTGTCTCATTTGTTAAGTAATAACACAATTCAAACAGAAAATTTACCTTTCAAATGTAAGCAGGGACCTACACGTAAGGAAGTATACGGTCAGAATAACCGTAATGCTTTTGTTGTTATTATTTTCAGTAGAGATGAAACTATTTGAAAGAAACAAGAATTTCATTGTATATAAAGAACATGATCCATCAGTCCTGACGAGCTATCAAATATCGAAATAAGGCAGTTCCCAGACGTTATTAACTACAGTCAAAGCATTCACTATCAAATACTTGGTAAGCAAATATGCCAGCTAATAAAACAATAATGGGTCTCATTTCAAAAAGAATGGGGAAAAAACATTTCAATAATCAATAAACACTGAAAGACAAAACCTCTATATATTTTTGATCTCATAAAATGTTTATACCGTGCTGTAACTGAAAGAAATAGTCCCCTCAAAGGAATTCCTTCAGTTTTCAGTTTCAGTTTGAAGAATTAAGAGCGTATTCAGATTTAATCGAGCATCATTAGATGACAAGTATAGCTCTGTCGCGGCCTTCGCCATCTTTCTTGATTCACAATAGTGGCATCTTAACACAATGCGGACCTATAAGTATCATGCTTGTGGCAAACAGGTAACCCGCAGTAACTAGGTCGGAATTATTACGGACTGGCCGAGAAGCTCTCGTGCGTCATCCACGCGCCTAGCACGCAGATTACATGGAACACGTGCCAGTACGAGTATCTATATTTATTTGTATGAGACTATTATATGGTTATTGATATGCTTATTTTGAACGGTATTTGCAATACATCAATGTTTTGTAAATAGCAACTTTGTTAGGAATTGTAGTTTCCCTCTCAAAATTTTTGTGATCTTAAGACTTTCAAATTATTTTTTTAATTACGGTAGCTTACTTGCAATTTTGTTTCCAAAATTCAAATTTTATACCTTTCAAGAATCTAAATGTTTGGAATAGGCCTTTTGGTTTATAAAAAAGATAAAGTTTTTTAGTATTTATATTTTTGACCAACCTGCTTTCGATAAAAAATTTAATATATCCTTATCTAGAGCCATATCTGCTCTTTTCCTTCCTCCCTCCAATCCATAACATCCGAAATCCAAAGATAACAAACGCATATGTGACCAATTTGATGTAACCAGTCATCATAACTTTAAAAATACTATTTCACACTGTATTTTGCAATTTACCATACTAAACTGTCGCGATTATATCCAATTATCCTTAACCAGAGGTTCATAGTCAAACATAAAGTCATTTTACATAAACCGGAAGTTGTCATTTTTAATGTACCAAAGGTATTTCTCAAGTTTGACTGTACCGCAATTCAAAAATACATATTGTAATCTAGGTTTTGTCTTTCCTCTAATACTTATGAATACTTTGTATTGATTTAAACTGACCCGATCAGTCAGGGGGCCGAAAGGGTGTGATATCAAAATGGTCATACAATAGGCTTTTCATCAGAAGTTTTTTTCTTTGACTAATCAAAGTTGACAATTTTGTTTTTCCTTAATTCTTCACCATCGTCAGTCTTATCCGTCATGCTTTGTTGTTTACGTTTGCAGACGGCAGCTGCAGGTGTATCACAAATACGGGAAACCAAACCGGAAACGGCACCATCCAGAAAATTTGAGTTTTTATCCCAGATTCTTTTTCGTAAGGAAAAAAAACACATTTCTTCCAAACCAACAATATTTATGTTCAAATAAGACATCGATAAGCGGAAGTAGCAAAATGTGAAAAATGAAGAGAGGCGTTACATCACATTCAAGGGAGTATAATATCACTTTCAAGGGGTTGTGATATCACTTCAGGAGGAATATAGTCGTCTGTTAAAAATAGTGATTCTTATAGAATGTAAGAGGCAATGATAACAGGTATTCAATTCAATTCATTTTGATCAGTTCCAGTTTTTTTTTCGTCAACCAATTTTAAGTTCTCAGTACGAATGGACGTATTATTGTATTGTCATTGCACTGTTTGGTTAATATCTTTTCATGGAAATTATAAAACTAGATATAAGATCAGACAAGATTTCATCAAAGAGCGACATATCACCTTTCTTCGTTATCATTGAATTAACGATGCTCAATTCAGTTGTTTTTTTTTATTGGAAAATTTAGATTAACAAATGAAATATATAGTTTCTTTTCAATAAATTAATTTCTTTATTTTATTTATAATTATTTATTATTTATATAATTTTTTATAACGTGATCTGAATCATTTATATGACTTCACGGAGAAGTAGATCCCGGATATGTTTCTTTGCTGAGGCTTGTAGCTGTAATTACTCCACGTCATAAGTAAAAAGGTTACTATAGTCTGTTGTATTCATACCTTTATTGAAACACGATCGATAAAATGGTCACAATCATACACTCATTCATCATTAAATCTTCCAGCGAAAGTTAACGACCTTATTTATCTTTAATGGACAACAGAAACACTCATCAATGCTGACAAGATTGATATATGGTATATATAATCATAACAAGGAGTTGGGGGCAATATCTAACCATGTCCGTTTAAATACTCCTGTTTATATCTGTTTTATAGAGATATTGCACTAATGTAACGCAGAAATGGATTCCCGATATATTCTTAAAGTATTTATATGAGTCTGAATGGTTTTTCATCTCAAACGAATTATCATTTTAATTTTTAAGGAATCATATCTGTTCTTTTTGTTAGTATATTTTCTAAGACTACTGAGAAAATTTGGAAATTGAAAGAAAATACAAGGACAATACTAAAATTGTGGTATTTCGATAAAGCGTAAAAAGTATATATTTACCAGGGTAAGTCAACTATTTGTCCTATACCTGATCCGTCTGAGTACCTTAGGTTGTAGTTATATACCTCGTTTACAACACACCTGTTAACATAACAAAGTTTCGAATAAATCATATGATCCGTTTACCTGTTGTATATGTCCCAAACATTATAGTGATAAGATAGCAGTAAAACGTCACTGTTCTCACGTATGTTTTATTATACAGCCATGTATCAGATAACGGATTCATTTTGAAAAAAAAAATGAATTAATACCAGAAATGAAAGCCATACACCACTGACATCAGATAATATAAAACAGTTGAGTAGTTCTACATAGCAAGCTGTGAACCATAATAGATCATTTCTAAAATAACATAAACAATGTTATATTAGCAAAATCTCTTGTTTTGTATTGAGCAAAATATTAATATGAGCTATATCCAAACGTCATTGTGCCCAAAGGCTATAGACAGATTACATGTTGCCACAGGTGTCAAGTAACCAGGTATAAATGGTATATATAATTATATCATTAGATCTTATATATTTGACAACGTAGACATGGATGGTCTGGCTACCTTGACCGTTCATCACGTTATGGATCCCTCATCTTTGTTAGAAATGGTATATAAATCCTTTTTATATCTTGATACTGGGTCGATATCCAGATACGCACCCTATGGTACGTATCTCACTTACACCAATAAACAAGAACACTATACTTGTTGACTTCATCTTCCTGTCATAAAACACCATGCTTCAACAACTGTCCCTTCACTCCGCTGCTTTGACATACAATGCTACTAAAAAGCCCATGTTTTCCACCAACTTTAACACTTACGCTCACTCTACGGAATAAAATGTGTTATCTTATTGGTTATTTTTAGTTTTCTTCTCCTTTCTTTGTATTCTTGATTTTTTTTTTGTTATGAGTTCGTGTGAGGTGAGGGATAGGGTATAAGTTACAACTTGATTTGTATTGCTAAATATAAATTCAAAACTCCATTTGATGATATGGCCCGACAGGTATAGCTACATTCACTCACACTAACCTCAGGTACTGTGTACATGGGTAGATTTTACATAATGTCCATCCATCTAAGAGTGTTTATAAAGACATTTGGTCTGCCGTCTAATTCTTTTGTTATTGGTATTATTTTTATTTGAGAAAAATGTCACATACATTAATTGGACAAAAGATTGAACAAAAGATTTACACGAATACTGCAGGTTCATTTCTTAAAATATTTTTGATGAGAGAACTCAATGATTTGTCTATACATATCTGTTGTTGAATAATTGCTGAGTGTCTTTCTTGAATAGTGCTAGTATCAACATAAAATGTTTACCCGGTTGTTAGGAAACGTCACGCTTTTTGCTAAGTAGGTCACAAGCTGTTTTTTTACACTGATCCTCAAAACACAACACACTTTTTTATGAACCGTATATTGCTGAACAAATGGAATATCACAAAGGAAGCAAGATACTATTTATTCACTCCGGATAGAGTATCGTTTAATGCACGCTGTGTACTGTATATGATACGATCAATAGCATAGTAAGTTCCTTATTTACATATTATCACACGTGGATATCTTTACAGAAGTACATATAAGTACTGGATAACTACTATGAGGTTTGATGATATTTTGAAAGCCGTTGGAGAATTCGGACCCTATCAAAGACGGATATACATTTTGGTCTGCCTTCCAATTATCTTCATTGGTGTATCCGACGTAAACAACGCTCTACTTCTCTTCTCTCCAAAACACAGGTTTGTAGAAAATCAGACACATTTATAAATACATGAAGGTGATCTTCGCAAACCTACCGCTACGTTTGGTCCTACGTAATCTCAGACATGTCTCATATCCATCTGTAGATATGTCTTATATATATCTATATGTATGTCCGTATTCACCTGTAGTTATGTCCCATGCACAGCTATAGGTATGTCAAATACACACATGTAGGTATGTCCCACACATACCTGTAGGTATGTCCGACACATTAAAAGTTATTTTTATCACATATTTCCGATATTTATACACAGCTACACGTACATAGATGAAACTTCATTCTTCATTACGCATATGTGAGAATTTCTAACATAAAATAACTTCCTTCCTTCCACTTTCAGCCACACCTGTAATTTGTATTACCTATTTCTGTTATACACCGATTGGTTGTCTTTCTATTTTTTTATTTTCAAATCTCTCAATAATCATGTAAGTATGTATGAATGTGCAATAAAGCCAGTCAAGTGACTCAATTAAAAACATGCAGACAAGACAGCATTTTGTGTACATTTAACATTAAGTTAATCGTTCTATGTTGGGAAAGATCTGGATCATTTCTACTGGCCATGAGATACCCGAGTCTATAAAAATGGTAGACACTACTTCATGTGTAACACATTTTTGTAAAGTAACGAGTAGTTTGCCCTTTGCCAGCATGAGATAACCGGATGTCCCTCCTGTTGTGGACCTCTGATTCAGTGCGGTGGCACTATAAAGTCGAATCACCTCTACCCTTCACACACACACACACGCACAAAACACCACATCATGCATGTAATCCATACAATCACCTCGCCTACTTTAGGAGGCAGTTGATAAAAGCAAGCAATATAAACCCAACCAACATGACAATTATTCAAACGTAAGTTACTCACAATCCCTTCTCTCCTACGCACTTCAATATAACATATACACAAAAGAAAAAGCTACCAGATAAATGAAACAGTTGACTGTGTTCAGTGAGCGAAAATGATACACAACAAATACCTGGAAAGAGGATTTGTTTCTTTCAAAATCATTGCATGTCAGCATTGTAAACCAAAGGGAGATTGACTCTTTATTGTATTTATTTGAGTTGTATATAAGTGTTCATATATGTACAAGAAAGAAAAAATTACTTTATGTTACTTTTAATGATGTGTGGCGTTATTTTGTTCCAGTTGGATTGTACAAAAGAAACTCAACTGAATAAAACAATTCAATACAAATTTAAAGATAGATACAATTACTCTAAAGCATAAATGTTTAATCTTCGAGATAGCAGCTGTTAGATACTGCTGGTGGAAGTTAATCCCAGAGAACTGACGTCAGCTATACATACTACTTTTTTTATTCATCCAGATAATGGCACGGTTTAGAATATACACATGCATTTGACTTTGTACTAAAACTTTGTACTAAATATATTCGATATATGGCAATTACATGATTGAATTATGTTGCTAGGACATTTTACTTTTCTTTTGACTTCTTTGGTTTTTTCCCCAGTCGCCTCCTAGGCTTCAAAATTTTGGCTCTTAGCATCACTGACGAGTCACAGAAGGACGAAATAGAGGTTTTTAAATCATTGTTTCGCTCCGCTGTATCTAACTATAAATTTGTATTTAAACATGTCTATTGTACTGTATTCACGGACTCATTTCCAAACGTGTCCCTTAGCTGTAATATGATAAGACATGTTTATCCTTTATATCAGTCAATTAATCTTTCATGATAACATATCTATAATCTGAAACATTTCATAAGACGAGTTATACTTTACTGGTGTTTTATTACAATTACCATTAGTATTAGGTTTACCACATATACAACAAGTAAATGTATCGTGTCTAATTTGAAACTTTTATATGTTCACAGGTGCGATGACTACAATGTATTTAGCAATTCTCAAGGGTACTCGGAGGGATCAAATGAACAATACGCAAACTTTACCGAGCAATTTCTACAATATGAGGAAGCTAATGTGTGTTTCACACATCTGTTTAACTCAACCGATAAACTTTTTGATCCTCAGCCATGCACGGCCTGGGTATATGACCAGTCTGTATTTCTAGAAACGTTCGTCTCTAAGGTATGTTGTACATTACCGATACAGTTTTTAATTTATTTCATTTAGCGTGTCGACATTTATGTATTCTTCTCAGCTTGTTTGTCTTTATTTCACCTAACTGTGTGCATTGGTATTACAGATAGTGTACATATGTATAATTCGTTTTTTTATATGAAAACGTGCGATGCTAACATCAACACAGCTGTATGTCATGTCACTATTACTAAAAAATGAGTGATTATCAAGAACTGGAGATAGTATCACTGCAATAGGTTTGTATTGAGAATCAAGTGAATGCGATGGAGATAAAGCTAATCTTGTTCATTGAAGTATCAAACCCTGTATGTTATTGGAAATTGAGATTAGAGAGTTCATATTTGCCATTATTTATAAATACGTGTAGATGGATGATGTATGAACATATATTGACGGTTTTCCGCATATTAGAAATGTTTTAAAGAAAATGGCAACATTATTCAATGCATTTGTGCTTTTGATTTTCAAATTTCGCTACTGTTTGAGATTCTGCATTGCAATATTTTCTTGGTTTCAATGCAACTGTTAGTGTGATCGCATCCAAAGCCTAAATTATCATTTAAACGATCTTGTTTTTGAAAGCATATCGGTGGTTTGTTTATTTGTTTGCTTGTTTGTTTGTTTTCTTTTCTTTTTTTGGGGGGGGGATGTTTTTTGCTTTGTTTTTTCAAATCTCTTAAACAGATTACAAATCTCGAATTTAGGGAAATACTTCATGATGACTTAAGCTCTTATATATTTCAATTACAAAACTTGTCAATGTAGAAACAGAGACAGACAATGTATTCCAGTTAGGAAGTTTAATAATTAGATTGACATGATTTGTAAGGAATAGAGCGTGATCCACAATTCTTGATGAACAAAGATGTAAAATGCATACATGTATATATAAAATGTTGCACGTGTCACTCTTTCATATTACTAGCATGACCTGGTGTGTGAAGATGCTGATATCCCGACCTATATGCAGATCCTTATGTACTCTGGAGCGCTGGCGGGATCCCTTACTCAGGGATTTTTCGCCGACAGGTTAAACATGATTAACTTATCAAGAAAACCGTGCAAGAAACAAGCTTTGCGAGTTTACTGAATATACAAATGTACCGTTACACCTTAATTTACAAGATATATCGTCAGTTTTAACTTTAATATATGCTACAGCAAGTTAATTAGATAAGTTTAAAATCTACTTATATCAATCGTGCACGTGTCATTAAGAATTCCTGTCGGTTAACAATTTGTAATGAGATACGTGTTTCTTTTCATCTTTCAGATTTGGTCGACAACGAGTAATCTGCTACAGTCTTGCCATTGTATTCGTGTCAGGACTTATCTCAGCGTGGTCACCAAACTATTATGCATTTACTTTATTACGATTCTTTCAGATCATGGCATCTCGTGGTGTTTACATATCATCATTTATTCTAGGTTCGTATTCTCTCAAATCAAAGATATCTACCTTATGATAAAATTAAGTGATTGCTGACATCAACCTCAAGACAATGCTGTGATACTGTAAAGGTAATTTAATTTTGAGGGGTTTTATTTTCGATAATGAACTAAAATCGTGAAAACTAACGACCCTCGAAAATAATATTGTTAGCGAAAACAACAATCCGTTTCATGATTTCTATTAAAAATACATTCCTTTTGCTTTGAACTATTGTAAAATACTGTTTTTTTCTAGTACACATTGTAGCTCATGATGTTATAAGTCATTATATAATGTCAACACATTTTTTTTATTTAAACACACATTATACATGCGCTTGAACAAATTTAATTATTTTTGGTTTTAGCTATAGAAATGGTTGGCCCTTCTAAACGTCAGTGGGCCGGGTTTCTGTTTAACTATCCATATTCTGCTGGGATCGCATTGCTTGCTGGTATAGGTTACGGTCTACGTCACTGGAAGTATATCCAGATTGCGTGTACAGCACCAATGCTGCTTTTTGCCATATACTGGTGGTATGCTTCTTTTTGAAAGGATGGTATCCAATATATGCCAAAAATTAAAAAAAAAATAATAAAAAGGATACTTGATTAAGTGTGATTGAATATTCCTCTTTTTGTCGATATGATTATAAATTCTGATTTTTAATTTTTAAAATGAAATTTCTTAACAAATTCAGTATGAAAAGGATTGTAGTTAAAATAATTGTATAGTACTTTAAATGCACTAAAGGACTCTTCTCTTCAATGATACCAGAGGCCAAGTATAGATTTGACATTTTAATGTTAACGCATTCGGTAAAACAACATATAGTACAGAGGGGGTTTGTTGATGATATGTCAAGAGTATTAAACGTTTATAGTCAAATATTAAGTAGATAATTAATCTTTTTTTCGCATGACTCTTTATTAAGACATTATTGTAGGATTATACCCGAGTCTCCACGATGGCTCATTCATCGAGGAAAGATAGATCAAGCCAGGAAGACGGTGCTAAAAATGGCCGCGTCGAGCAATACCATGAATTGTGTTCCTTCGCATGCGGACATGTTTGAAAAGACTGAGAAAAGATTGCAGAAAAAACAAAGCATCTTTGATTATTTTAAACGTCGTTCTCTGCTTTGTCAGTCAATCGTGATATTTTTTAATTTGTGAGTATGCGTTCCGACAAATATAAATGGTTATTGATCTTTATTTATAGTGATTTTTTTCTGCTTTATACGCGTGAATGTATTCAATGGTATCCATTTGTATAATACTTTTATTATTGTATATTTCGTTAAATAGCCATTTCGTCGGCACGAGAACTGTGAGGCTTCTCGGCATTTTTTATTATCATTTACCGGTATTTGGATTCTACTACTTGCTTTAGTTAGATATGCAAACTTTCTCCTTGTAGTTTTGTGGTATTCCACTGCTTCTATGGTTTCACATTAAATATCGGAAACCTGGCGGGAAACTTCTATCTAAACTTGTTGCTGGGTGGTATCGTTGACTTCCTCGGTTACACAATAACCCTCCTATCCGCTGGCAGGATTGGCCGGAAAAAAATGTACATATCGGGAATGGCAGTGGCTGGATTGTCACTCCTGGGAAGTGGTGTTACATCTGTCCTCGCCACAGCAGGTAATCACATTACAACTAGATCACCGTGCAGAGTTTTATTCGTCCTCATAGGAGGTGGTAATTACATTGTAATTGCCATTAAAGGAGATATGTTCTAAATATTTGAATGACATTGAAATAGTATTCTGTCTCATATTGATACGGACGATCCGTTCCTCGTCCTTATACAAGATTCATTGACATTACAATGTATATCCCTTTTATCAGCAGTAGGATTCTTGCAAATCGGCATTTTTTGTTTCAGGTTTAAAGTTTATATCTGTTGTGCTGGCAATGATAGGAAAGATTGGGATGGCAGTAGGTTACAGTGTCATATACATGTGGTCAGCGGAACTGTTCCCAACTGCAGTCCGAAACACTGGTATGGGGATGAGTACCTCAATGGGAAATATGGGTTACATGGCGGCACCAGGAGTTGCAAGATTGGTAGGTTTTTCATGGAAGTATTTTTATTGAAAGATTATATGCATACGTGCATGTATTAAATTTAACAAAATGTTTATTTTGAAATGTGATTTTATAACTTAAACATCAATGTATCATAATTTTGTTTTATTATTTATACTGAAAATAAAGTTTAATGTTTTCATGAAGGAAAGCAACTTTCTGTTGTTTCTATAAACAGATCTTGGTGGTTCCAGGACGAGTAGGGCGTGCAGTACCACTTTTCGTGTTTAGTTTCCTCTGCCTTTTCGCAGCAATTATGACATTGGCTCTTCCGGAAACTCAGAATATGAATCTTCCGGAAACAGTAGCTCACGCTAAGGCAATGAAGAGAGATACCAGACACAAATTGACTAAAAAGGAGACATTACTGGATTAAAATAATTTATCCAGTATCAACACTTAAGCATAGAATATGTTAAGTAGGTCGTTCGAATATATGTGCATCCATACCCCGTGCTGATTTTCTTTGTCATCATTTCAACAGAAGTTATTTCATTACCTTTTCAATTTTATTGATTTCTTTATCGAACGTTTTACATTTATCAGATTAATTTTGATACCCGCGATCACTGATATAATACGATAAAACTGAAAGAGAAAAAAAGAAATAAATAAAATGCCAACATGTCAATACAATTATAATACAGACACTGATTCAATAAAAATAATAAGGCAAAGATGACAAAAAAAAATCTACATGGAGAACCCTAAAAAAGTACAAGGGGGCATGACCTGGTGTTTCGGAAGAGTAAGCGTCTTCTGCATCATTGACGACACCAGCCATGTAAATTTTGGTAAATCCAAGTAAGTAATGTCACATTCTCAAACGAGAGCAAAGTATACAAACAGGCAAAATATCAGGCATCAAACACACTCTTTTTTCTGTACAACTCACTGCTGCTGCTGCTAGTAAATAAAGCGGTGAATATCCAAAGTAGAAATTTGAAAAAAGTACATGAAAAAGGAGGTTTTCAGGAAAGATGTAGGGAGGTTTAGTGGCAAAATTAAAAAAAAAAAACCTGCTGTAGCATGCCAGGTGCTCGGTGACTGAAACGAAGTGATTTAAATGGCCGCTTGTATCCTAATCTTTTCTATTTCATTTTATTTTGTCATGATTTACCTAATTATCTTTCTTATTTTGTTCCCTAACGATAAAGTATATACATGCTTTACCAAAATGAAGTCGTTTTGAATCAGATTTGCTCGACTTGCGATTTGATTTCGTATAATTTACAAATCACAAGAAAAAAGGGTGACGAACAGTAATGCTGCTTTCGTCATTTTCAATCTAAATGAAGTATAAAAGAAAATAATTATGTCCAAAACTTCGAGTACAAATAGCGAAAGAGTTTAAAAACATCTTTGGAATCAAGATAATAGGTACTTAAACGATGAGAATAATATCACATTTATCTTCCGAACTCAATAAATGCAGACACGCCGGCGAAATTATTCAATTAATCACAAGTACCTTATTTTCCGAGCTGAGGTGTTGCTGCATAATTTACATTAAAACTCATAAAAAGAGGCGATTTAAAACGACACTGACATTAACTTGATCTAAATCGTTGTATCATTAACCTTAAGTACAAAAAGCGGAAGTGTTTAACATTGTGATTGCTATAAATCAATGAATCAATAATGGCTGAGGCCATTTATATAGCACATAACATACTTTAATTGAAGTACTATCCATGTGTTCTTTGCAGTAGACGTTAAAGACAAATGAGCATCGTAAATTAAACAAGGTCGTACAAAATCCTGGAAAGATGTTTTCATTGGATTTCAATGATGCAAGTGTAACTTGTAATATGTAGACATAAACACTGCAGTAGTACATCAACTAGGTCTGAACCTTTGAGACAGTCATTGAGAACAATATCAAAGAACACATACCTCCACAGCAAACCCGCCTCCTCATCTCTTATAATAGGGAACACAGTCAAGATGTTTGCGTACTGCGTTATTTGTAAAAAAGACAAGGCAGAACTTGATTGTTGTTCCTGCGGAACTGAGATTTTCAATTTTCTTAGAGAAATACATCATTGTTCCGACGGGTAATTGGTGTTGTGATATATTGTTATTTTCATATTAAAATGAATTAATTAGTTTTACTGAGTTGGGAAACTTGTCACTCACATATTTAATTTAATAGAAAAGCATCGAGGGACTATGCCAAGAAGTGCTCGAGCACAGGGATTGACTTCGATCACATGAAATCTATATCAGACTCTGACTATATCAAAATTAACAAGCTTGACAAAACTGACTTTTTTTATAACTTTTCGGTGATGTGAGAATATATGCACGTCGGCGATGACCATTCAAGCATCTGTTGGAATTAATTGCTACCTGAATTGAAATCTGGCATATCAAACAATAAAATGTTAACTTATTCTCTCTATCCATATCTAGTTTACGATGCGCTATATCAATTGTAAGGAGGGCTCTAGTGGCGGCATTTGCTCCTTGTAATTTAGGACTGCGACACATAATCCGCCAAAATGTAATACGGAATCATACCCGTCCCCTGAACAGACCATGCTCAGAAACATCGGCAGAAACCAAGTCATCCTTGTTTTAGACGAAATAACTGCACACAGAAGATGAAAACACTAGCAGATAAGTTTTTAAAAACATGTCTTAAGCTTGTCATCGATTTATCGCTCTTGTGATTTGTCAATGATTTTTAAAAAAAAGTCTCGAAATTGATTTCTTTATATATATAATTAATGACGATACGCAAGTGATAATATAAAGAAAATTGCTTTTAAAAACACACAAGAAAAAGTTAAGTTAGCATTTTGCATAACGTTTTCACAGCTTAGCTGCTCCTCAGTGCAATGTTAATATGCCAAGAATCTATGGCGTCATGTGTATTGTCCACTTATTCGTGACGTTTTTTTTAACAATTTTCTTTATATATTCTATTCTGCATCAGGTTCGCTGATCGTTGGATACGCTAATTCTCGGATAAAAATGGAATTATTTCAACAACATTTGCCAACAAACCAGGTACCACATTATGTCAGGATTGTTTGTGCTATAGCTTATATCACCACTAAATCCTACTAATAATATCCTCGTCTCGATGAAGAACAACTGCGAAACCCGACATGTGGCACATATCGGTGGTTCGTTGTTTATAGACTGGAACACATAAATTGAAACAGTGAAACTTCTTTTCCACCATGAAGAGGGCAAAATCCTCCGTGTGAGGATTCAAAGCAGGCACGCATCTATGTGTTGTATGTACAAGTATCCATATTTTTAACATATACATAAGGAATAAGGTTTTATTACGACCTGTACAGTTTAAAGTGCAAATCACGATCAACAATCTTCGTCCTTATCTTTAGCCGAAGGTAGTCATTGGATTAATTTAATGCTAAGTGGAAAGAATGTATACACTTATAGTTATATTAATTGTGTACATGCAACATGCAAGCAGAAAAAATAAAGTAACCAGTACATTATTCAGATTTCACACGAAATATTTGCTAGTAGATGTTTTCTCGTTTTAATAGTGTGTAGTTTGATTCGTTTTCTTGTATTAATAGCGTGTGTAGTAATTCATTTTCACTCAGATTTTATACATGCGCTTTTGTGACGGACTTTTTCTTGTACTAATAGCGTGTGTAGTAATTTATTTTCACTCAGATTTTATACATGCGCTTTGGTGACAGACTTTTTCTTGTATTAATAGCGTGTGTAGTAATTTATTTTCACTCAGATTTTATACATGCGCTTTGGTGACAGACTTTTTCTTGTATTAATAGCGTGTGTAGTAATTTATTTTCACTCAGATTTTATACATGCGCTCTTGTGACAGACTTTTTCTTGTATTAATAGCGTGTGTAGTAATTTATTTTCACTCAGATTTTATACATGCGCTCTTGTGACAGACTTTTTCTTGTATAAATAGCGTGTGTAGTAATTTATTTTCACTCAGATTTTATACATGCGCTTTGGTGACAGACTTTTTCTTGTATTAATAGCGTGTGTAGTAATTTATTTTCACTCAAATTTTATACATGCGCTTTGGTGACAGACTTTTTCTTGTACTAATAGCGTGTGTAGTAATTTATTTTCACTCAGATTTTATACATTGTTTTGTTTTGTGAATGAAGACACAGACAATTTCATACACAGAACTTTAAGTTTGTCATGTAAATCTCATGTTCAAGAGGTCTGTTTAAGATACCGCCTCCCGCAGTGGTCCTCGCTGAACTATGTCAGGTAATCTAACGCACAGGGACTCGTTTCTATTGCAGAAGGAATGCAATGTAGGGATTATAGCATTTTATACATTGAAAACGCGAAACAAACCAAACTATTGATAGAAATTTGAATGTGTTTAACAATTAATTTGTCATTAAAATTACAATTGAAAGCTGCATATTGGATCTGTAAATTAATGTCAGTATATATGGTATATTTTACCTGTGCATGTTATCTAGCAATAGATATATACTTTGTAAATATTTAAAACAGAAAACAAGGGAAGTAACTACTTCTTCTCATTCGACATATAACCGTACATGTATAGAGGATGACGTCATATATTGGCATGAAGTATACTTGATCACCTAGGCCTGAATGGTATATTCATTCGCACGTCACAGCAAAACTTGTTGGATATTGAATAACTTAAATAACATTACAACGTCAAATGTATGTAGAAAATTCGTGTCAGCGTATTTATATATGAGTACATAAATAGTTTATTGAAATATTTTGCAACCAAACTCGAAAAATAGTCTGAAGATTTCCTCCGCGGCAATTTCTGTCAATACTTAAAACATGATTTCAAGAAACACGCTTTGGTTTCATTTACAATTATGGTTATGTTGACATGCTAGTATTTCCTTGATATTTGTAAAACCATTTAATATCCTGCAAAAAATACACTAGAGTGAAAAGAACGTGTGCAAGTAAAAATGATAATTTATGATAATCTTTGAATGACCCACATCCAAAAAATTATTCGACTGTGAAATCGAAAAGGCTGTCAGCCCCTGAACAAGAGTTTTATGGAATTATATAGTTGTAGAATCGCACAACGCCCCAAACACTTCGCGCATATATTATCCGCATACCGTGCATACATCGTGGGATCGCACATTTTGTGCAGTTTGGTAAAAATTAATGGATAGAAAATTAACGGCAGGTAGTAATTTTGTAATAAGTTTATTATGTAATTGTGAGTATTTTGTCAACATAGATAGTGCGCTATATAAATTTTGTATATTATTATTATCATTATTATTAGTAGTAGTAGTATTTAATAAATAACGACCATAGACATGATAAATGTTGATCGGTGATTGAAAAAGCTCTTTTTTATTTGATTGTTATCGAAGCCGGATCCTGCGTTCATCAATCCCTCTGAAGCATATCATCACACCTCAAATTGGCGAGTGGCGTGCCCCGGGCAAAGAGAATTACCTGTTTACGGGTACACACTTACTGGACAAGTCCTTATCGGCTTGGTCTCCAATATAACAAAGAACACTTAAAGTTTACCTAAGTATACATTTTTCTTCACAAAATGATAGAAAAATGAGAGTAACACAGTTAAACAGCAGGAACATAAATAAACTGTATACTAGTTTAAATGATTCATTGCCGAGACATAATTAGACGTCCATTTAATATTTACATACACAATGTATATAATGAGTACTTTTAGACTAAGACTGGTCATATATAAACAAAACAGTCTTAAGTACGAGTGTATATAACTATTCAGTATGTACCTGATAAATGTACATGTGTATAGCTTTCGTATAAATACATCTATGTATAAGGCCTAGTTAGGAAATCAAATTAGGTGTACTCATATACTAAGAAATTAATTCTATCCAATGCTTATTCATAACTCATTTCTAAATGTTTTTACGACAGAACCCACACCATGTCCACAGATGTGCGACAGCCTATTTCGTCTAGTTTTCCTATCATATATATTGTGAAGACATTCATCGTACATCGTGTAACATTGTGCGATCCCACAACTGCATGTCGCGCTGTTAAATAAATTCAAAAAGACGCTAAATTCATGAAAAAAGAATATTTATTGAAGCCCCAAAATCCGTTTAACATTTATATGTCTAGATTGTTTTATCATAGCCGGCCAGGATTAAAATGAAGTGGCAACCAAAAAAGTTCCTGAGGGCTCCTACGTGTAAGTATTCGCGGGTTAATGTTGGCATCCTCACGGGAAGCATGTAATGGTGTGAACACTATTACTTCCAAAGGGTTTCGAAAATAGGGAAGCACAAAAACCTTCGAAAATTATAGTATTGAATATTTTCAAAATTCACCAAAATTTAAAATGTTTCGCCTTCCAAAAATGAAATAATGAAAGTAATGATTTTATCACAAACAGAAGTTGATTCCTGTTACATATTCCATTGAAGTCAAGTCGTTGTCGAGAAAAACATATACACCATTAGAGTATGTTTGTGTTCGTGATGTGTCCTTTAGTAATTGCCTTGAGGCAACGTTTTGTCGGTTTTTAATTGTAAATGGTATTCCTTTTGTCATCCTACTTTCCATAGAGATAAATAATCGAGATTGTAAGATATATCATGCATTAGTGATATGTTTGCATTTGCGACTGCTATCAGAAACCTGTAATATTTGAGAAAATGTCATCGCTTATTTGGCTTGACCAATATTTGCAAAGGTACGGGGCATCTACTGACCTCGTGGGGTTTCCAATGATAGTCCTGTTAACTTCAACATTAAGACCCCTAGTGCTCTTCCATCCGGGCCAACAAGGATGATTAATGATAATTCGCAATTGCTATGAAACAAAGTTTATATCACACAAAGGATGTTATCAGTGAAGCAGTAGATGCCTACCCTTCAGTTGTTTCTATTCCCCCGGTACATTATAGTTGTATCTTTCTATTGTTCAAATTTTGCCCTATTTTCATCGATTTTGAGATGGAATGAAGGTTCTGTTGACGTCGGTAGCCGGGGTTTTTCTTCGGTTTTTTATTTGCCCTATGGAATATAAGCATGGATGTGAAAACTAATATGAAATAATCAACAGTTAATGTGCTATGCTTTTAACATGTAATTGTATCAACAATTAAGTTGTTGCAAATATTTCTTATATGTTTCCACATTCATTTCAGTCAAATAACTGTAATACATGGTATAAATATACACGGTAAAAATATATATGGTTTCGTTAGACATTGTATAAATGTAATAGAAGTAAGTATTTATTTTGTTACATTTCCGAGTCTTACATGGACGCCAATGTCACAGAGGTCATTATTTATTTCAATGCCTCCGATAGGAATGGAAACCGGGACCCCTGGCTTACTAGTCTGACGCCCAACCAATCGAACTAAAGAGAAGTTCTCTCTAGTTGAGCGGTACTTTGTGGCTAGTATTTTACCTGGGTTACATCAATATCCATGGTATAAATATCCACGGTATACATATCTATGGCTCCTTCATCGATTGTAAATATACCATGCATTGTCACAAGTTCAAAAGTTACATTCAACGTTCAAAATGTCTCTCAGCCCAAACAATACATCTATGCGTTTGTTGCTAAACAGTTCACAAACTTGGCAGAAACTATCATTTTAATTTCCAAATGCCTGTCGTTCTATTTAAAAAATCCATTTTCTGGACTTTTATCTCATGCCGTGTTGCTATCAAAATACCATGGTTTGATTTTTTTCTTGATCTTAAATAGTTTCTCTGGCCTACAATCATACCCAAATAGCTCACAATCAAGTCGGAACATTTCACTCAAGAATTCCATATCTTCCGCGTCCACTGTTGAAAAAGCCTCTAGCATTGCCTCTTCTTTGTTCCGTTTAGATATACTCTTGTCCAACGCGTCTCCCCTGCCTTCGTTTAACATCCGAATATACTGTGCAACTTCTATATTTTCACTCATCTCTTCAGTAACTGGATATTTCGAGTTTTTACTAAGTATACCACGAATCTGACACTTTTTCCACATAAGCTTTTGAGCTTGGAAGAATGAAACTCCACAAATCGAAAAATGTTTTCTAAAGCTGAATAACATTTTCGCTTGATCCCTGATTGTGTCATCCACAGTACTTTCATGAAAGTTGTCAGTCATCGATTTTCTTAAATCGAATTTCCCCATCTTATTTAAAAGATAAAAAGTATCCTGCTTAAGCGTCTCTAATTTACCTATAAAGTCATATTTATAATGACAGGGACGACAATGTTCATACTGTGGAGTAAAATGACCGTCTTTTAAAGTACCATGTTTTTCAGCATGAATAACTGTTTTTACGAATTCTCTAAAACTGAGATCATGTCCACACTTGAGATCGTACTTACTTGGATTTTTCCGTAAAAGTTTTACGCCATAGACACCGAATTTCTTCCAGAAAAAGAAATTAGGAGAAAACAATTTATCAACATATCCAGAAAACAGTCGACCGTACGGCTCACGAACAAACATAAATGTAAGAGATGTTTTCATGAAACTCTCCCTCGCATATGCTGGTAAATTCGCTAAGCGATCGAAAGGTTCCAGTGCTCTAACGGTTGGATCAAAAGGGGTAAGTGCATTTGATTGCCCAATCACGATCTGGAATAAATCATAAAATATCATAATTGAACAACTATATTGATATCACAGATCAGTTACCGCAAATTTGTTTGAATAATGTCTAAGTTACTAATCGCAATTAAGACATACAAGCAAATATAATGAAAAGATATTTCTTGCACAGCTTAGATAAGACAGTAACATATTTAAGAAAACAAAATCATAACTACGATCATACGTTGAAGCAACTTACCCGAAACACTCTTTTCCAAAATGTTGATGCGGACTTTTGAATTGTACAGTAGGCTAACTTTTGTTTACGGTCAATCACATTCCGAGACGCAACATATTGGAGTGATGTTTGATTGAATTGTTGACGGGAACAAACGTCTAGTATGTTGTCTCTTCTTCCTTTATACAAGACCTCTGGGTCATTTGTCTCAAGTACTTCCGTTCTCTTCTCTTCTTTTCTTTCTCCGATGATTTGTTTGTAGTTATCACCCGATAGAGTGACATCTTGCATCTGTTTTGTTGTGAAAACAATCGGCCTTTCTTCTTTCTTCAGTAAGCCTTGACGATGAACCTATGTTGTGAAATTGATGCTGATTAGACTTGCTATACGATACCCTTTCATGATTAAATGATAACAGATGCATAAACAATGTAATACAAATGAGAGATATGTTTTAACTAAATATATTTTACAAGCATAAGTGCTTATTGGTATTTAAAATTATATACAGAGAAAATCCTGTTGAGCTTCGCATTGGTTTCAGAAATATCGATAGACAAATCCGCATAACATATAAACCATCAACAACAATCCTCCCTCCCCCTCTCTGATATTTCAATATTGACTATCGTTCTTTTAAAGCATGCCTTTCACTAATATTTTCAGTCGTTACTCTTTCCGCGATTATAGTATTCGTGAAACTATACTTCGCATGATAAAACATCAAGAAATGTAATAAATATCTTACTTCATATTTCCTTAAACTTTCGCCACTTGCTGCAACTGGCACACCTTTAGCATCTTCAATGAAAAGAATATTTGAGTATTCAGTCAACACCACCAAATCGAGAATACACAGTTACAAAGTTTAAATAAATCCAAACACCAGCGGACAATTCATTTCACTGTAATTATTTCAAGACGAAATTTCAAAGTTGAAATAAGTTTATTGTAGCCCTTACCTTTCACAACGTGTTTTCTATTTTGAAAATGTAAGTCAATATTAATGGTGCAATGATCAAAATTAAAACAATCTTTTGTGTAGCTCTTACCTTTCACATTTTTTTTTCTATTTTGAAAATGTAAGTAAGTCATTATTAATGGTGCAATGATCAAAATTAAAACAATCCTCTGTCCTCTCATTTTCAGTAATGTTTTCACAGTTTGAACAGAAGTTAATACATGCGATGTGTTCCATTGAGTTCAAGCATTTGGCGAGAAGAATACATGTACTGTTAGAGCGCGCCTTTGCCCTGAAGCGGTGTTTTGTTGATGTCTGATAACAAATTGTTTACCTATCCCATCCTAGTTTCAATGGTGGCTAATGGCCAAGATTGAAAATTAGATATCACTGGGTCACATATTATTATTGTGTAACTTATGACTTGACTGAAAGTGTAGAGTAACGAACAAAGCCGAAAGAGTCGACATTGAAAGAAACCTAGGTTCAACCACAATAAAAGCCTAATTTGTTTAATGCAACATGTTTAACAACAATAGAGACCTGACCATTTTCTGAAATACAGTGGGTTTTTTTTATTGGTTTGGACTTACTATGTTAGTTTTGCATCATTGATATTTGTGTACGATTAGTGAATCTATAATGGATATTGCAAGAAATTATAAATAATGAGATAGAAATATTTCTGGTTACTGTCACATTATAGGGCTTCCTTTCATTCACCAAACCAGGTCTGAGATACAGCTCAGCAGAATATAGATGATTCCATCGTTGTAAATATATGAAATATAGTGCAACAGAAATACCGCAACGCGTTCAAATACTTACTCTATAATATATTGTGATAGATTCAATGTACTGGTGTAAATGAAACTTACACATCCTTCTTCTGACGATACATTAATATCTTCAATAATCCAATATTACTCTTGTAACACTCTTCAAAACTGTATTTACAAGCGGCAGCAACAGTCCAACTATGAACTTACTTGCGAGGTCAAAACTTCCTCAATCCGATGATGTGTATTTTCATTGTAGATTTAACCGGTAATACCTCACGCAGAGTGCCATAGTGATGAAAATATAGAAAACTCAATGATATTAGAATGAACTACACGTATATCACGTCATTCAACAAAGGTTACGTTTATATATGATATACATGTTGCATTATGATATTTTTTTTTCTATAAGAAATAACAACTAACCCGTAAATGAAGTTTGGAAATGAATGTAGAAATAAAGCATGTGTCATAACAATGAAACGTAATCAAATTTACAATTGTACTCACCACGCTTTTGCGCACTACTTAGTAATGAAACAATCAGCGCTGTCAAAGTTATATTTCAACAAAACACAAATCATGAGAAATCATATCAAAGAACATACAAGAATAGGACAACAACTATATCATACTTTGTAATAAAATGATGAGATAATAGACAAAACATAACAAAAATGCATACATTGATAGATTTTCCATTAATAAGAATGTGATCTCAAATACCAAGCGTTTCGAAAGCTAATTGTAAAGTAAATATTTCAATATTCAGGACAATTATCAAATACACATCATACAGCTGACGTATGATGTGTAGGAATAATGAACAGCGCGCATAAAAAAGCCTACAAGCTGACAAATATAATCGCTTTTAGGTGTAAATTTAGATCACATAAGCTATACGATATCGCTGCAATATAGATCATGGAAATTCAAAAAGAATATCATAAGTCAAGCGATATTATGGCAATATAGATAAAATGTAAATGATAATTGCAATTCATACGGACACAATATGACTAAGCAATAGGATAACGGTAAATGGCAAATATTACATAAAGTAGGCGAAAATAAAGCAAACATAGTATTACATAACAAATATCATATCAGCATGTTAATATTTTGATGGTCTTTGACATATTCACATTAAATAGATACAAAATGATGTAATACAATATTCCCTGACATTATTAAGTCACATCGAGAAGCTATGAATAAACACGACGTTATATGAAAAAGACACAAAATGAACGGCACAAGCTGAACAACAGACATCACATCGACTCGTCGACATTTAGGATATGCATCATCAAAATATTAATTCAGCAAGACATTAAGGTTTTAAAATAGGCGTCATCACGTTCACATGGCAACATCAAAGCGTTACGTCAAAAACAAACCTTTCATCAACAAGTACGACATAAATAGACCTTACAACATCAACATGACAACAAGAGACAACACATCAACGTTGTGCATAGACGGTTGTGTGTAAACCGTAGACATCGAAAACACAAAGCGACATCACAGACATCACATCATATACACAACGTGTCATCAGAATGATAAATACAACAAATATAAGTCAAAAATATAATATGTATGATGAACATGTTCAAATGACAACAAAACCAAACGTGAAGATATACTACATCAGAAAATACATCACATCAACGGGACAACAACTGGACGGTACATAAGACACATCACATCAGCGAGACGACACCAGAACGGTATATAAAACATCACATCAGCAAGACAACAACAGGACGGTACATAAAACACATCACATCAGCGAGACAACAACAGGACGATACATAAAACATCACATCTGCGAGACAACAACAGGAGGGTACATAAAACACATTACTTCAGCGAGACGACACAAGTACGATACATAAAACATCACATTTGCGAGACAACAACAGGACGGCACATGAAACACATCACATCAGCGAGACGACACAAGTACGATACATAAAATATCACATCTGCGAGACAACAATAGGACGATACATAAAACATCACATCTGCGAGACAACAACAGGACGGCACATGAAACACATAACATCAGCGAGACGACACAAGTACGATACATAAAATATCACATCTGCGAGACAACAACAGGACGGCAAATAAAACACATCACATCAGCGAGACAACAACAGGACGATACATAAAACATCACATCAGCAAGACAACAACAGGACGGTATATAAAACATCACATCTGCGAGACAACAACAGGACGGTACAGAAAACATCACATCACCAAGACAACAACAGGACGGTACATAAAACATATTACGTCAGCGAGACAAAAACAGGACGATACATAAAACACATTACATCAGTGAGACGATAACAGGACGGTACATAAAACATCACATCAGCAAGACAACAACAGGACGGTACATAAAACATCACATCTTCGAGACAACAACAGGACGGTACATAAAACATATTACGTCAGCGAGACAACACCAGGACGGTACATAAAACATCACATCTGCGAGACAACAACAGGACGGTACATAAAACATATTACGTAAGCGAGACAAGAACAGGACGGTACATAAAACATCATATTAGCGAGACAAGAACAGGACGGCACTTAAAACACATTACATCAGTGAGACGATAACAGGACGGTACATAAAACATCACATATGCGAGACAACAACAGGACGGTACATAAAACATCACATGAACGAGACAAGAACAGGACGGCACATAAATCACATCACATCAGGGAGACGATAACAGGACATTACATAAAACACATCACGTCAGCGAGACAACAACAGGACGGTACATAAAACACATTACGTCAGCGAGATAACAACAGGACGGTACATTAAACACATAACATCAGCGAGACGGTAACAGGACGGTACATAAAACACGTCACATCAGCGAGACAACAAGACGGTACATAAATCACATAACATCAGCGAGACAACAACAGGACGGTACATAAAACATCACATCAGCGAGACAACAACAGGACGGTACATTAAACACATAACATCAGCCAGACGATAACAGGACATTACATAAAACACATCACGTCAGCGAGACAACAACAGGACGGTACATAAAACACATTACGTCAGCGAGATAACAACAGGACGGTACATTAAACACATAACATCAGCGAGACGATAACAGGACGGTACATAAAACACGTCACATCAGCGAGACAACAAGACGGTACATAAATCACATAACATCAGCGAGACAACCACAGGACGGTACATAAAACATCACATCAGCGAGACAACAACAGGACGGTACATTAAACACATAACATCAGCGAGACGATAACAGGACGGTACATAAAACACATTACTTCAGCGAGAAAACAACAGTACGATACATAAAACATCACATCTGCGAGACAACAACAGGACGGTACGTAAAACACATTACGTCTGCGAGACAACAACAGGACGGTACATAAAACACATCACATCAGCGAGTCGACAACAGGACGATACATATATCACATAACATCAGCAAGACAACAACAGAGCGATACATAAAACATCACATCTGCGAGACAACAACAGGACGGTACATAAAACATCACATCTGCGAGACAACAACAGGACGGTACATAAAACATCACGTCAGCGAGACAACAACAGGACGGTACATAAAATATCACATCAGCAAGACAACAACAGGACGGTACATAGAACATCACATCAGCGAGACAACAACAGTACGATTCATAAAACATCACATCAACGAGACAACAACAGGACGATACATAAAACATCACATCGGCGAGACAACACAAGGATGGTACATAAAATATCACATCAGCGAGACAACAACAGGACAGTACATTAATCACATTACATTAGCGAGACGACAGTTGGACGGTACATAAAACACATTACCTCAGCGAGACAACAACAGGGCGGTTAATTAAATACATCACATCAGCGAGACAACAATAGGATGTTACATTAACATACATCATATAAAAAAACGACAACAGGACAGGACGTAAGATATATCAGAACGGTAAATGAAAACAGGATGTTACATTAACACAGATCTTTTAAGCATGGCGACAACAGGACAGGACGTAAAATATATCAGATGTAAGGCGAAAACAGGACATCACGATAATATACACCATGCAAGCATGTAAGCGACAACAGGGCAGTATGTAAAATACTACACATAAAAATATGTAAAGTATATTGTACGTTAACAAGATGCGAACGGCACGTTATTTAATAACTTAGCACAGTAACGAGGCGACAACATGACGGCTTGGAAAATACTCCAGAGCTGTATGACGAAGACAGGACGGAAAGTGAAAATATATCATATCAAAAATATGACAATAGCACATCAGAGCGGTAAAACGAAAACAGGAAACGCAATGGTAAGGCGAAAACAGGACGAAACGTAAACATATATCACATTAACAAAGCGATAACAGAAAGGTGTGTGTATTTAACTCCGCATCGGTCAAATGAAGACAGGACGGACGGAAACACGCATCACAACAGCAAGGTTCAGTTATACCATAACACAACAACGACACAACACGTATAAACATACGTCACATCATCATGGCGAGAACAGGACGGTATGTAAAAAAAAACGACACCTAATGTTTGCGAGTTGACAACAGGACGATATGTAAATAGCTAAGTTCAGCAAAGCGGCATCATGACAGAACGTAAATGGAGGCGATCTGTTTGCCAAGTGACAACGGGAACGTCAGTGGAAAAGTGGCATTACTAGTATTTCTGCAAGACCACAGTTTTGTATGTATGATAACTTATGGATGAACCTAACTAAAAATATTCTTGAAATTATTTTCAATTACAGTCTGCTTTATCGTGCCGTTTATACATCCATCAACTCATTTTCCATATTGTAACTTCATATAATAGACAATGTAATTAGAGAGACATGATAATTGAAAACATTTTAACTTTAAGTAAACAATCAAGCAGTTATAAGTTATACCTTTCAGTGTAGAAAATGGCCCATAGCTGAACGACAATGTACAGCCCCCGGCGGTACATACAGCTGCTTTCACGCTGAAATAGTTATGAAATATTGTTTTGTAGAAGTACTATGATTTAAGGATTAACTGTAATACTTTTTTGACGTTATTGAGGCATAACACAAAAAACGGGGTGTACGCTTTTAATAAACCGCTTCACAGTTAATCCTTATAACTTAATTTTAATAGATATAATAATCTTACGTTAAATTTCCAATGTTTATTCCCTTCAAAACAAGTAACAACTCATTTCAAAACGGGGTAAACGTAGGCTATTCTTATTACCTCCCCTTGATCAATATTTGTTTACAATGTGAACTTCCGGTAGAACCGAAAGTAGTTCCTTCTTTATTTTTTATGTTATGAGCTGATAACATGAAAACATATAGCCAATGAAAATGCTTGTTACTGGTGAAATTTAATTATTAAATGGTAATGAAAGTAAACAAGACCATTTGCAGTCATGGTTGTATAAATGAAAACACTGCACATCATCAAACAGTGAATCGTGCTGTTGTCAAATAGAAATGTTAATGACCTGCGACAGACCTCCTGAATACATTAATTTAACTTTTAGAACAGAGCACGGTCTCTAAACTGTCATGCAAATTTCATGGCGAATGCCGTATCTAAGTATACACAATATAAGCATTTGTTGAAATGATAAATCTATGAGCCGTTCATACTTTGCAACATCGATAGTAGATAACAGTACATAATTATTATACCTTATATACCGTTATTGACTCCCAGTTATGTTCATATATTGAATTCTCCTGTTTAACACAAGAAACGCTTGAGTTGTGTGAATATTTCTGAGGATGGTATTCAAACAAGGCAATTGCGTTATATATTAGTATATCATGACATTCCGTCAACTGCACTTACATATAATCAGTTTCGGCAGTCAGTGGCCCGTTACAGAATTGCTTATTTGACAGACTACAGTTCGTTTCTTCTCCAATCACCACACGGAATGTGGAAGATGTCCTGTTCCCTTCAATGTGAAAATAAGTCAGTTTTCCAGATTATTTTCTTCGGGTTGGTAATGTCGACAGAGTAGAGGTTCGTAAAACACAACAAGTAGACGATTAATGTGTGACGTTTCGGTGTCTACACTGCCACCTTAATCAGACGAATGCCTACTTCAAAGAATTTAAGCATTTACGTATGTTGTGTACAAGATTGTAAGGATTCGACCGTAGTGTACATAAAATCATAAGACAAGCAAAATGTCAATCTATTCTCATATACCACAAACGTCAGTGTCGTTCTGGTTCGCTTCACACTGGTCATTTGTCCGATGAAAGTGACGGTGTAGTCATCGAAACACCACACTTAAATCTTCTACTAGTTATATTATAAGAACTTCTCTTCTGTTCACATAACAAACATGTTAAAACTTCAATATCGGGACAGGTATTTAGATTGATGATATGACATAACAAATGTGTATTAATACATATTGTAAAAGACTGGTCGATACATACCGAAAAGCGACAAATCAAATTCTGCCTTCGACATAGCTCTGTATGGTCGAGTTGCTCCTTTTGCTCTCGCAGCAATCCAACCGTCTATCAAATTTAAGTAATTTTCTCCCTTCGTCTCAGATATCTCACCTAATTTTCCAAGTATATAGAAAATAAATGCATTTTTCTAAACTCTAAGACAACTTTAAAAGCAAAGATTTCAATAGAAACAGAGGAGGCAGAAGGTTAATTGTAGATTACCTGTGGTAAGTGAAAAATTCAAATTGTTGCAAATGCAAAGAAAAGTGTCAATATTTTTACTAAGCACTGGCTATCTTTAATCAGCATTTGATCAACTACGGCCAGCTCTCTATTGATATTAGCCATTTGAAGCGAAATATTTTGTTTACAATGTTTAAAGTTGTAAATTGAGCTATGAACTAAACTTAGAGTTCGTGTCCTTTCCGTAAACTGTAAAACTGCTATTCCAGGAACTGACTCTAGAAAAGCGCATTAAATTGTGATACTGAGTCCTTTTTATAAGTAACATAAAAGAGAAAGTTTGTTACTGTTCTTAAACTAATATTGTATGTTATAATATCAAAAAAATAACAGGGTTTGATAGGACTAGGGGACTCCTACATACATTGTTGTTTGTTTCTTGTAGAACATTTTCCTTTTAACAGCTAGAAGTCTGTTATACCTACCCAGTCCTGTACAAGTCTCCCTGCACAACACGAGAGCATAGTCTACTATCGGTCCATGTGTATCGTTTATGAAGAATTGTTTATCGAGGGTAAGTGTAAACGTTGTGTATGTGGCTTTAATATCGGTGTTCATAGCAGGCGGAATGACAGACGCGGCAATATCAAGAGGCGGGGCTGGAATCGAAAATTATCTTATTTCATTAAGATTTAATATTATGCATGAAAGATTCTGATGAATATATATATATATATATAAAATTAATCACTTAACATGACAAACAAATATATCACTAACGTCAGAATCTACAGCGTCAAAACGAATCATCAAAGAAGATTTTTTGTCAAACTGTTTAAACCGTCCCTAAATACACACTGAAGATTGCGTCGGGACACAATTAATAAAGTTATTAACTCCCCTTTTATTATAACAATAACATTACTTCACAATGTAGGTTACTAAGTAATGTACAGTGTACATGTAATGCAATCACCTGAAGATGACCGCGAGGCCTGAAAACTTTAGTGATATATTTGTTTGTCATGTTAAGTGATTAATTTTCTCTGTATATACGATACACAAAGTTTTTATCTTTTTAAATTATATATCATGCGTCTAACAAGTACAATTTAAAAGTAATGAGATTAATTTTGTACATTTCATTCCGGATGCTCTTCAATTATCTTAATACTAATTCTTACGCCCAGCAGGTGCAAAGTATGTCATGCTGCTTTTAGACCCTACAAATGTATTTCCAGTGGCGTCCATACCAACAGCATACACCTGTAAGGACATTGATACATCATCAGACACTGGTTTAATTAATTATTGAATCTCACTAATTGGCCTAATTATAACTCTAGATAATTTTTGTAAGCATTAATAAATTTTCGAAAATTATACAAAAGACACACAAGTGGTTAGTACCTTTTACGTATTTAGAGTAAGATACAGTAGACAGAAATAATGAAATGCACTGCATCATACATTTGTTTCGTCCTTCTAATACTCATCAGTGATACTGAGGGGCTAAGTTTTGAAGTCTAGAAGGCGAATATGTTAGAGTTAGATATGTTTTGAGTTGATTTAACAATGACTTACCTCTACATTGTAGGTATGCAAAGGTACCACTTTTATGTTTCGTGTTACTGGACTTGGATCTGGGCCTACGACTATTACTTCCGGAGACGTGCTTTCATTCTACAACAGTTTAGTTATTATTGGGTTAACATAGCATGATTAAATGATATTAAGCTATGCGATGAAAAGTTTCAAACCAATAATCTCCTAGGAGTATTTCAATATGTAGTCGGGAAATTGCATAATTCCTACCTACCTTTACCAAAGCATATGCGAATAAACATATAAAGGTTTACAGTTATTTCAAATAGTCACCAAAAACCAATGTTTGTTAAGAAACCGTTATCATTTACTCATGTAAAGGCAGAGCTGCAATACTTACCGATCCGCTAGTGTTGTACGAAAATACGAAGTCGGTAATGTTGCTGTTCCTATCTAATAAAGCCGGAAGCCGCCAAGACACTCTCACAGTAGCAAAGTCTAGTCCATCTGGTCGGAATACCAAGAACTTGTCCACAATGCCGGGAGCTGTTAAACAAAGGCGACGTCTTAGATATTTTTGCATGGATTTGAAACAACCCTTGCCGAAATGCTATTTTCACATATTTACCACTGTTTGGCATTGCTATAAAACCGTATCAACGTTACTTATTTATGACCAGCTCATGAACTGCCAACAGCGTATGAATATTGCAAGAGATGAAAGCAAATTGAGTTTGTTTTCTATAATGTTAAGATGAAAACTGAAACGTGACTACATCCCAATTCACCTGAAGCATGCGTTGTAGCGGACGGAAGTATCCGACGAAAACCAGCCGACCCCTTGTCGGTAGAGGCTGTGATGTTAAATGTGTATATTCTGAACTCTTCTAAGTTTTCCACCGTAAAGGATCTTGTGTGGAAGCCTGTAAAAATGCGGATTTATTCAGTTGCTTTGAATTTTCGATGTTGATTACAACTGATACTTCTATTTACAGTAAATATTTTTGAAAAAAAAACAATGTTGCACAGCAAACATATGCACGTTATGCTGCACTAATTGATGTGTGTATAAATGTGATTATGTGCATACTTTAAAGCCGGCCAATCTCTGCTTTAATGATCAGTAAAATGTCGAGTTTGGTAAAGTAAATCCAAGTTTGTTGGCGTTTTAAACTAGTTACCTTGTATAATTTCTGTCCGATTTACTTCAGGTGTTTCTGCTATAACATGTAGTGCAAACTGTGTGGGGCCTGGTGATGGTTCAGAAATGTTCCATGTCACATATATCTCTGTTGAACTCAATACCAATGCATTCAAGTCAGTAGGATTCTGTGGAACTGCAAAATAAATTGGACATAGATCTTAAAGTTTTATTAGACATATTACCTTCGACAATTGTTTGCACAAGTTATTGTTCCTACATGGTAACATGCCCGTCCTATATGATAACATGCCGGTGAATAATTTTTGGGTCTATACTACTGACTGATGAATTGTTTATCAAATTATTATGCATCATAATTCGTACGTTAAGAGTTTATGAGACATTGTTACACATAGGTCCTTTCATAAAGGCATTAAATATAAATATTCATAGCGCCGTATTTCTATGTATCGTCCACCCTGATTGACTTCATATCAACTGCATATCCTATCTGGTTACAGTTTATTGTTTAAACACATTCAAATTGTAAAGTGAGAGTTTTACCTTCCTTGTGTGTAGTAAGGCTCTGAGTTATAGGTAAGCCATCTCCTGCTGTGTTAACAGCTGATAAAATGACAGTATAATTAGTGTATGGAAGTAGGTTTTGGACGCTGTAGCTGAAAGCGTCATCTATTTCTTCTGGCGGAATTATCACTAGATCTTTGTCACCAGCAGCACATTTATAGAGGAACGGCATCCACTGCAAGATAATGTGTTACCATTCAGATTTTTTCGGATTTTACATATCGTTGAATGAAAACGATAATAAAGAAAAATTGTTATGGACTGTTCTTGCTTAGATTTTTAGTGTAAACATCGAGGCACACCATAAACAGCTAATATTACAAAGAAAAATAATGATCTTTTCAAATGGATCTATATACTGTTGAGTACAGGAAACTATCAAACTCTTCCAACTGGAAAAGTAACACTACATCAATACCATTTGGCATTCGTTGCAGATGAAGCCAACTTCCTGGACACATGCGTCCCCGTATGTCACTGTGAGTCTGTATCCACTTAGTGCTCCATTGGAAACTGTCGGTTTGGTCCAGTTCAGGATAAATTCACGACTCTGCACTTGCGATATCACTAAGGTAGCAGGCTTCAGCGCCACTATAAATTATAACAAAAGACAATTGTTGTGGATGCGCTTTCGAAACGAGAACTGAGTTAAAACAACGAAAATAAACAGGCAAACTAACAAGAAACATTTTTATGTGCAGCAATAACCAAACCCTTTACATAGAACCAAGAAACTTCGACGTAACTTAATGTACCTTAACTTAATTTAGCATTCTTACTGTCGCAGCTCGCCGTAATTTTTTTCACAGACAGCTGTGAGAGGCACTACGGCAAGCATGAAAACAACTGAACTTACTTAAACACGCTATGACGTTTTGTAACCTACTTAAGTCATGTGCTTCCACGTACTTTAGTATACTTCGTCCTGTACCAGTAGTTTAACTTAATATAGTTTAATTTAGATGCGCGTACTTTGGTGTAATTAAATGTTCTACCTGACGTACATTAACATATTTTATAGTATTCTAACCTCATACTTGTACATGTTTTACCGTTCTATACTGTACTTTAACGTACTTCAACGGACTTGAACAAATACATACTTTCATTATTTGCCCTAGTTTAAACATCTTTAACTTACTTACTTTAACATACTTTAACTCGCATATTTCGTTGTTATATCTAAGTTAAGCACCGTTATTTAACGTATAAGTGACTAATGCTTTACAATCGTATTTTTCATTAAGCCACAATTTGTCTTATTACAGTATATGCACATATTACACATATTACGATATATAGTAATCATGGAATGTTATCATGTGCATTTACACAATAAAGGAGAAGTCGTACTCAATAACTATGTCAGCGTTTTCTTTGACGTTTGGGTGGTCTATATAATCTTTGCTTTGGTAGGAGGTTGCTGGTTATGTTAGCATGTGTATCCTGAATACTATGGTTTATATACCATAGGATGGCTAAAGCAAATATACTGAACTACGGAAAAACATAAAAAGACTTCCATTCTTCTGTCCAACCGATTAGATCAATTTACCGAAGGAATTTGTTGAAATGACATGACCCTCTTGTGTATCGATTATGTTTAATATGTCATGATTTTCAGATTCGGTGGTCCATAGGTCATACTACCATAGACATGGACAATATGCAATTTTGATTAATTAAAATAAGAATGAATATATTTTAACATAGCATGAAATTATCATATATCATACTCACTGGCAGCCTCAGTTCTACATTGGTACGGTGTACTGTAATCACTTTGATTTTCGTATAGTACTGCATCATTTACTAAAGCTACACTGAAGATGTAAGATTCACCTGCAATAAGAACCTCATACTTTATTAAGGTTATACACATTGATATTTACCCAAAGCTAAAGCAGTATATAATCACATTATCAGGCGGATTTTATACGTTAATTTGATACACATATCAGATTATGGGTGACACTGCCTTGTCTATACCTACAGTGTTTTATCAATTATTTGACACGTACCTACATATTACTGAATATATATTCGCTCTAATTGTACAATGCTTTCAAAATCTTACCTGGCTGGAGACCATCAATTTCGTACGTGGTTTGACTTGATTGTGTATCATAGATAACGCCTGTTGTAGTGCTATTAATGAGATAATACTGGATGTTTCCCCTTGGATTCACTGGAGCAGTCCAGGACAGAGTAATACTTCCATTTGTGGTTGCATTACAAAATGTACTTCCATATACTACTGGTGGATCTGGGGCTGGAAAAGTGGTTTTAGTGTTCAATATATAATATATAACTGAAGCTATCATTACATATACAGGACACCACTACGACGACAAACAAGATATATCCTTCTATGTATCTTTTGATGCAAAGAGACTTAGGTAATGAAATCTGCTCTGAAATAAAGATCTAATGAAAGTACGGGATGAGTTATATTTCCAAACTTTACCATGGACATGTTATCGTAATATGTTACAAATTGCACATTCTATATTTATATCTGATATATGCATCTTTCTCTATGTCTCTAAATGGCGTATACCATCAGATATATACCCAACGACAAAAGAAACGCGAACGATACTCTCTCATTATTTCATTTGGAAAAGTAAATTCATTGATGTCTACGTCGTAAGAAATCAAAACAGAAACATTACCACTCTTTTTTTTTTATAGAATTCGACACTAAATGACAATACTGTGTACGTCAATATCAAGGATGTGATGAACTTGAAGTCTTACACATATATTCGGGGCCTAGTAGCTTGAAGGCCCTCCATTTGCTCAAATCACAGCAGCACGCGTCATGACCTGTGCTTCAGGCATTGCTGTTTGTGTGACAGTGGCTTGGCAGAATATGTTACGTAAATATGATGTAATGCTCATAAAGTATTGGCGTCACTAGTGGACGACCAATGCGATGTCGTTCCTTTCTACTACCACTAGTGCGAAGCCTGTTCACTCGCCGATAGATTGATGACACATGACAACCGTTGCTCCAGAAACGTCTTCAGCACGGCTACCCGCATACAACTGACCAATTGCGTGATTACGATCCCTTATATAAAGGCTTGGCATGACGTCAACGTCATCGCTTGCAATAACCTGTTTAAGCTTTTCTTACTCGTTGGATACCATAAAGAGTGGTCTGTACATGTCTGTAATATATAGTTTGGCTACCCACGTGCTACACAGGTTAAAAGAGACTCAGAAACCAACCAAGCGTTTCGGAGGAGTGATTACATATTTAAAGGACTGAAGTAGGAATTTTTTTACGACCTTAACTACAGAGTTGATAAATATGTATTTCTGAAATGGCATGTTTTCTTTTTTCAATTTCGTTTTTATTTTGCGATTGAATATATGAATTCAAGTGTCGATATTGTGTAATTGCAGTTCTTACTTTTAGCTACAGTCGTGAATGAAGAATTCAGTGGGTCACTCCGTTCACTCCCGCTGATGGTGGTTATAGAAATGTTGTACCACTGTCCATCCAGTACACTAACATTGAAGGTAATTGATTCCGTAACCACGGATGTCATGCCGAGTGTTGGGGCAGTAACAACTTCATATGAAGTCTTAACACCATCAGGAAGTTTCCAGGTTAATGTGATCACGGGACCGTCAACATCTGTCTCTGTAAACTCCGATGGCATATGCGGCTCTGTAATGGAAATGACGTGCTGTCATACAGATACAAACGATTGTTTTTAACCTAAAACAAATTTAAAGACAAACAGATCTACCTTTGTTTATTTATTGTTTAGATATGATTATCGCACAACTTACTCATGGTTATATTAGACGGGACAGAACTAGTATTTTGTTCCACTCTACGGCTGCCAGATTCCACGGAGTAGACAGCAAAAGTATATGTTTGACCTGGTGTGAAACCTTCCAGATGCACGGTCGAGTTACGTCGGGCGTCGTAGGACAAACTCCCGTTGATGGCTGTAGCTGGAATCCAGCCCACTTCATACCTATTAACTTGATTAATGTATTCCGATGGAGGAGTCCAGCTGATTTTCACAGTGTCCATTCCTTCCGTTAAAACTGAAAGACCCGTCGCTGCTAGTGTTGACACTGTAATAAGAGTACGCCATTCATCGAAACAATGTAAGATTTTGTATCGGAGTAAAAAACAAACATATGTTTTAAGATATACCATGACAACCTCAGGAGAAAGCTGATTGTGAAATGACAACAAATATACAACCTGATGACAGACACTCTAGATCTCAAAAAGAACCTTTTCCTCCTGCCTCGGTATGCTATATTTAGAACTACATCAAAATATTGCAAACAGATTTTTGCAATATAATTGTACCTTACGATGTGTTGTTGAATTCCCTTTTCCCTTCGCATATACCAAAATAAACTGCTTTGCAAAGTATTATCAGTAGTAAGGTGATCCTAGATCGCCTTGAATTTAGGGAGTACAATTTTCCTCCAAATTCAGTTCATACAAGAAAAACACAACAGTTTTAATTATGTTGAAATATAACATGAAACATTCATATAATATATACGTTAGATGGCACTGATATCAATACCTAGCCATTAGACTCCCGAAGAACATGTATACTTTTGAGTTCTGTAAAAACTTTTTCACAATATGAAACAATATTTTATTTTTATACATTTTATGCGATGCATGACATGTTGAACATTGACTTTCAGATGCAGTGAAAAACATTATTAGATATCTATTTCATTCGAACCGTTCATCGATACATATCCTCAAAATTTAATTGCATTATGTTTTATAAAGAAACAATGCACATGTTCCGTAAAGGTCAAACGTTTTTCGAATCACATTTACTGAATAGCGATTACTTCTAATAGATGGAAGTGACCATAAACAAAATACGAATGATACATACTACTGATGCACATTCCTCCAGGTTGGTTGAATCCATTACTGTCAAACCAACCTTCCATACATCTGCAGATGGTGTCCAATCCAATGTCAGATTGAGTACAGTTGGATTTAAAATCTGCACATACTGTTTCGTTTACATTGCAAGGAACACTCAGACCCGCGTCTGAAATCCAGAAAAAGTCTCGTAAAATTCCTCATATGAAACAGTATCAATAAAAGGCTTATTGATTTTGGCAATTTGACGTGATTTTGATCAGTTTTGTGAAACAGTATTTTAACTTTATTACGAATGATTTCAAACTTACCCATTGTTATATATTTAATTTTCGTTTGTACTTCTTGCTCATTATTGCGACTTCCAAGTTCAATAGTTTTAACGTGGAAGGCATACTGCTGCCCTGAAACGAATCCAGTCAATCTGGCATTTGTACCATTTCCGGCGTTGTAACTCCCTGTTCCATTAGATAATAGTGGTGTCCAATGAATCTCGTATCTATTAATTATGTCACTTCCATCAGAGGGAGCTAGCCATTCTATAGTCACAGTACTGATTCCGTCTACTCCTACCGCAAAATTTGTCACAACCAATCCATTATCTGTTAAGAAAGAAAAATACGTACGGTAAGAATATCATACAGATGAATGCATTTACAATTGAGCTCCTGAAATTTTAACACGATTTAACGCTGGGGTTTCAAATCAGATGAATATAAATAACTGCCTTAGCAAAGATAAAATATGTTGTATATTTACTCAGCATTTTGGCTCACTAGATTTTAGGAAATGATGAAATTTACTATCATGGATTTGATTTGACAGAAAAAATACATTCGTTCATATTTAGATCAAATCTGTCATTGGAAAGTAATATTTATTATTCAATTACATAGAATTCATAATTATCCATTTAGGGGAATGTACCAAACGATTCAATAGCTGATGATACAAATTTCGTCAGTAGTTCTGAAATTTGTTATTGTCGAAGTATCCCATATTAATTTACAAACTTTTCCTCCAGTGCCACCAACAGCAAACTCAGAAATGTATACAGTCGATTCAAATGATTGCGTGCAGGAGGTAACAATTCTAAAACTTCTGGCGATGATTTCTGTTTTTTTTTTTTTTTAGGTCTTGGAAAGGAATATTTAATAGAACAAAATATATTTGTGATATAGACAGAACATGTTTAATAGAAATTATTCAGTTGTTTCACTAATTTTTATTTGATGAAATATATGTATCCGCTTTTATTTTCACAGAGGAAAACTTGGATTAATTAGGAAACTATTATGCGAAAAATAACCAAATATCAGTCGATTTTACGAACTCAACGTTGAAACATGAAATATATGAAAAATGGAAAGATTCAATCTAATATATAACAATGTTCTACTATTGCATATCTTTTTAGTCATTTACTTTGATAACGACATATTAAGGGATATTTTTTATGATGGAATTTATTCCTTGAATCGATTTTTCGAAAATAAAAAAATGTATGTTGATAACCAAGAGGAAGTTCTTGTAATTAAGATATTCAATCAATGCAAACTATTCTAGAGAAATGCTCAGAAGTTCACTAGAGATGGAAAACACTGACATCTTTGACGCTTCTAACAAAACCATGACATCAAGTATGTCGAAATACAACCAAAGAATAAATATTTTAGTAAGCAATATTTATCACGACCAATATGAGCTTATAAGTACAACTACAGAAAACAAAGTGTTTGTAAACAAAAGTCTCACAGTGATAGTTTTCTACATACTAATGACTCACTTCAATTCAAACGTGATTTCATTCATCGTGTATATACTTTTGCAACATTTTGATTACAATACCCTACTGAGGCATCAATGGTGACGTCATTATCTTATCGATACTTGAGAGTTTGGGCGACAGATGTAAAGTCAGCCATTCATTCATATCTAAATTCATTAATGTTTTCGTGCGAGCTATGATCTCGGATATGCCTAATTCTGTTACACTACCTTTTGAATAGATAATGACATTTAAAACTAACTGCCGATATACGTCTTTGATACTTCGCTTGACATGCTGATACTTAAGATTTTTAAGACTTACTGCTTGTACAGACTCCAACAGATGTACTGACACCATTATAGAATGTAAATCATTCACGGAAACTGTAGAAAATGTTGCAATTTTCTCTTATCTTTCAGTAGACATGCCACAAGTGCTTGCTCATTAACACAAATTAAACATCTTTAACACCAGTTTATATCATTTACAAACTTCCCATATCGTATACTTACTGCTTGTACACACTCCACCAGCTGTACTGAAACCATTATTGTCGTAGTACCCAGATTGACACCTACACACGTTTCCTCCACCAGTATCACCAGCAATACATTCAGATTTGCCATCATCGCACACAACTGAACCGCCGCATGCCTCACTCAGTATTGCATCTGCAATTACATGAGACCTTACTTACAACGTCAATGTATCAGCACATTAAAATGTAAAAGAATATCTGTGGTGTTTTATTCTACTAATTGATAGACCGTAAATCATTTACGGAAACTTCATCATTGATCAATTTTCTATTCAAGCCGTCGTAACTGTATTCTTACGTTTTTCATTTAACACTTTCACAATGAAATATTGCCAGTTTCTCTTATCTTTCAGTAGAAACGGCTCTTGAAAACAAATTAAACTTGTTACACAAATATCAACAAACGATATGCAAATTGAATCAAATCGATTCCAAAACATATGCCATACTTCCGAGTAAATGATAATCACATAGAAAGTGTCAACATACTTGTACTTAATGTGACTGTGTCATTCGATTCGATCTCTTGCTCTTCTGCACGACTCCCTATTTCCTTCGACACTACCGAAAACACATAATCTGTACCCTGAGTCAGTCCGGTGATATTTGCAGTTGTCACGTTATTTCCGACGGTCATGTTTCCCTCCACTGTAGAACTACCGTTAAACCTCCAAACTGCCGTATAAGTGGAGACTTGTGCAAAATTGGAGGGAGCTGTCCAGCTCAGGATTACACCACTGGACGTTACAGATGACAATGTCAACATTGTCGCCATTAAGTCATTCACTGAAAATAATGACAAAACAATGAACACAGATGCATATAAACCTGTCCTTTGAAATACAGCTGTTCAATTCACGCAACGTCTTCAATGTAATTCCATCATGAATTGAATGATCATATACGGATAATCCCTACCAAAATAGTTTCGTAGCACCATACACAACACTTTTCTCATATTATAAAAACAATTCTGAGTATGGCAATGTCAGTATGTATTGTTTTCAAACTTCCCATATCGTACACTTACTGCTTGTACACACTCCACCAGCTGTACCGAAACCATTATTGTCGTAGTACCCAGATTGACACCTACACACGTTTCCTCCACCAGTATCACCAGCAATACATTCAGATTTGCCATCATCGCACACAACTGAACCGCCGCATGCCTCACTCAGTATTGCATCTGCAATTACATGAGACCTTACATACAACGTCAATGTATCAGCACATTGAAATGTAAAAGAATATCTGTGGTGTTTTATTCTACTAATTGATAGACCGTAAATCATTCACGGAAACTTCATCATTGATCAATTTTCTATCCATGCCGTCGTAACTGTATTCTTACGTTTTTCATTTAACACTTTCACAATGAAATATTGCCAGTTTCTCTTACATTTCAGTAGAAACGGCTCATGAAAACAAATTAAACTTGTTACACAAATATCAACAAACGATATGCAAATTGAATCAAATCGATTCCAAAACATATGCCATACTTCCGAGTAAATGATAATCACATAGAAAGTGTCAACATACTTGTACTTAATGTGACTGTGTCATTCGATTCGATCTCTTGCTCTTCTGCACGACTCCCTATTTCCTTCGACACTACCGAAAACACATAATCTGTACCCTGAGTCAGTCCGGTGATATTTGCAGTTGTCACGTTATTTCCGACGGTCATGTTTCCCTCCACTGTAGAACTACCGTTAAACCTCCAAACTGCCGTATAAGTGGAGACTTGTGCAAAATTGGAGGGAGCTGTCCAGCTCAGGATTACACCACTGGACGTTACAGATGACAATGTCAACATTGTCGCCATTAAGTCATTCACTGAAAATAATGACAAAACAATGAACACAGATGCAAATAAACCTGTCCTTTGAAATACAGCTGTTCAATTCACGCAACGTCTTCAATGTAATTCCATCATGAATTGAATGATCATATACGGATAATCCCTACCAAAATAGTTTCGTAGCACCATACACAACACTTTTCTCATATTATAAAAACAATTCTGAGTATGGCAATGTCAGTATGTATTGTTTTCAAACTTCCCATATCGTATACTTACTGCTTGTACACACTCCACCAGCTGTACCGAAACCATTATTGTCGTAGTACCCAGATTGACACCTACACACGTTTCCTCCACCAGTATCACCAGCAATACATTCAGATTTGCCATCATCGCACACAACTGAACCGCCGCATGCCTCACTCAGTATTGCATCTGCAATTACATGAGACCTTACTCACAACGTCAATGTATCAGCACATTAAAATGTAAAAGAATATCTGTGGTGTTTTATTCTACTAATTGATAGACCGTAAATCATTCACGGAAACTTCGTCATTGATCAATTTTCTATCCATGCCGTCGTAACTGTATTCTTACGTTTTTCATTTAACGCTTTCACAATGAAATATTGCCAGTTTCTCTTACATTTCAGTAGAAACGGCTCATGAAAACAAATTAAACTTGTTACACAAATATCAACAAACGATATGCAAATTGAATCAAATCGATTCCAAAACATATGCCATACTTCCGAGTAAATGATAATCACATAGAAAGTGTCAACATACTTGTACTTAATGTGACTGTGTCATTCGATTCGATCTCTTGCTCTTCTGCACGACTCCCTATTTCCTTCGACACTACCGAAAACACATAATCTGTACCCTGAGTCAGTCCGGTGATATTTGCAGTTGTCACGTTATTTCCGACGGTCATGTTTCCCTCCACTGTAGAACTACCGTTCAACCTCCAAACTGCCGTATAAGTGGAGACTTGTGCAAAATTGGAAGGAGCTGTCCAGCTCAGGATTACACCACTGGACGTTACAGATGACAATGTCAACATTGTCGCCATTAAGTCATTCACTGAAAATAATGACAAAACAATGAACACAGATGCATATAAACCTGTCCTTTGAAATACAGCTGTTCAATTCACGCAGCAACGTCTTCAATGTAATTCCATCATGAATTGAATGATCATATACGGATAATCCCTACCAAAATAGTTTCGTAGCACCATACACAACACTTTTCTCATATTATAAAAACGATTCTGAGTATGGCAATGTCAGTATGTATTGTTTTCAAACTTCCCATATCGTATACTTACTGCTTGTACACACTCCACCAGCTGTACTGAAACCATTATTGTCGTAGTACCCAGATTGACACCTACACACGTTTCCTCCACCAGTATCACCAGCAATACATTCAGATTTGCCATCATCGCACACAACTGAACCGCCGCATGCCTCACTCAATATTGCATCTGCAATTACATGAGACCTTACTTACAACGTCAATGTATCAGCACATTAAAATGTAAAAGAATATCTGTGGTGTTTTATTCTACTAATTGATAGACCGTAAATCATTCACGGAAACTTCATCATTGATCAATTTTCTATCCATGCCGTCGTAACTGTATTCTTACGTTTTTCATTTAACGCTTACACAATGAAATATTGCCAGTTTCTCTTACATTTCAGTAGAAACGGCTCATGAAAACAAATTAAACTTGTTACACAAATATCAACAAACGATATGCAAATTGAATCAAATCGATTCCAAAACATATGCCATACTTCCGAGTAAATGATAATCACATAGAAAGTGTCAACATACTTGTACTTAATGTGACTGTGTCATTCGATTCGATCTCTTGCTCTTCTGCACGACTCCCTATTTCCTTCGACACTACCGAAAACACATAATCTGTACCCTGAGTCAGTCCGGTGATATTTGCAGTTGTCACGTTATTTCCGACGGTCATGTTTCCCTCCACTGTAGAACTACCGTTCAACCTCCAAACTGCCGTATAAGTGGAGACTTGTGCAAAATTGGAGGGAGCTGTCCAGCTCAGGATTACACCACTGGACGTTACAGATGACAATGTCAACATTGTCGCCATTAAGTCATTCACTGAAAATAATGACAAAACAATGAACACAGATGCAAATAAACCTGTCCTTTGAAATACAGCTGTTCAATTCACGCAGCAACGTCTTCAATGTAATTCCATCATGAATTGAATGATCATATACGGATAATCCCTACCAAAATAGTTTCGTAGCACCATACACAACACTTTTCTCATATTATAAAAACGATTCTGAGTATGGCAATGTCAGTATGTATTGTTTTCAAACTTCCCATATCGTATACTTACTGCTTGTACACACTCCACCAGCTGTACTGAAACCATTATTGTCGTAGTACCCAGATTGACACCTACACACGTTTCCTCCACCAGTATCACCAGCAATACATTCAGATTTGCCATCATCGCACACAACTGAACCGCCGCATGCCTCACTCAGTATTGCATCTGCAATTACATGAGACCTTACTCACAACGTCAATGTATCAGCACATTAAAATGTAAAAGAATATCTGTGGTGTTTTATTCTACTAATTGATAGACCGTAAATCATTCACGGAAACTTCATCATTGATCAATTATATTGCCGTCGTAACTGTATTCTTACGTTTTTCATTTAACACTTTCACAATGAAATATTGCCAGTTTCTCTTACATTTCAGTAGAAACGGCTCATGAAAACAAATTAAACTTGTTACACAAATATCAACAAATTGAATCAAATCGATTCCAAAACATATGCCATACTTCCGAGTAAATGATAATCACATAGAAATTGTCAACATACTTGTACTTAATGTGACTGTGTCATTCGATTCGATCTCTTGCTCTTCTGCACGACTCCCTATTTCCTTCGACACTACCGAAAACACATAATCTGTACCCTGAGTCAGTCCGGTGATATTTGCAGTTGTCACGTTATTTCCGACGGTCATGTTTCCCTCCACTGTAGAACTACCGTTCAACCTCCAAACTGCCGTATAAGTGGAGACTTGTGCAAAATTGGAGGGAGCTGTCCAGCTCAGGATTACACCACTGGACGTTACAGATGACAATGTCAATATTGTCGCCATTAAGTCATTCACTGAAAATAATGACAAAACAATGAACACAGATGCAAATAAACCTGTCCTTTGAAATACAGCTGTTCAATTCACGCAACGTCTTCAATGTAATTCCATCATGAATTGAATGATCATATACGGATAATCCCTACCAAAATAGTTTCGAAGCACCATACACAACACTTTTCTCATATTATAAAAACAATTCTGAGTATGGCAATGTCAGTATGTATTGTTTTCAAACTTCCCATATCGTATACTTACTGCTTGTACACACTCCACCAGCTGTACTGAAACCATTATTGTCGTAGTACCCAGATTGACACCTACACACGTTTCCTCCACCAGTATCACCAGCAATACATTCAGATTTGCCATCATCGCACACAACTGAACCGCCGCATGCCTCACTCAGTATTGCATCTGCAATTACATGAGACCTTACATACAACGTCAATGTATCAGCACATTAAAATGTAAAAGAATATCTGTGGTGTTTTATTCTACTAACTGATAGACCGTAAATCATTCACGGAAACTTCATCATTGATCAATTATATTGCCGTCGTAACTGTATTCTTACGTTTTTCATTTAACACTTTCACAATGAAATATTGCCAGTTTCTCTTACATTTCAGTAGAAACGGCTCATGAAAACAAATTAAACTTGTTACACAAATATCAACAAATTGAATCAAATCGATTCCAAAACATATGCCATACTTCCGAGTAAATGATAATCACATAGAAATTGTCAACATACTTGTACTTAATGTGACTGTGTCATTCGATTCGATCTCTTGCTCTTCTGCACGACTCCCTATTTCCTTCGACACTACCGAAAACACATAATCTGTACCCTGAGTCAGTCCGGTGATATTTGCAGTTGTCACGTTATTTCCGACGGTCATGTTTCCCTCCACTGTAGAACTACCGTTCAACCTCCAAACTGCCGTATAAGTGGAGACTTGTGCAAAATTGGAGGGAGCTGTCCAGCTCAGGATTACACCACTGGACGTTACAGATGACAATGTCAACATTGTCGCCATTAAGTCATTCACTGAAAATAATGACAAAACAATGAACACAGATGCAAATAAACCTGTCCTTTGAAATACAGCTGTTCAATTCACGCAGCAACGTCTTCAATGTAATTCCATCATGAATTGAATGATCATATACGGATAATCCCTACCAAAATAGTTTCGTAGCACCATACACAACACTTTTCTCATATTATAAAAACAATTCTGAGTATGGCAATGTCAGTATGTATTGTTTTCAAACTTCCCATATCGTATACTTACTGCTTGTACACACTCCACCAGCTGTACTGAAACCATTATTGTCGTAGTACCCAGATTGACACCTACACACGTTTCCTCCACCAGTATCACCAGCAATACATTCAGATTTGCCATCATCGCACACAACTGAACCGCCGCATGCCTCACTCAGTATTGCATCTGTAATTACATGAGACCTTACTTACAACGTCAATGTATCAGCACATTAAAATGTAAAAGAATATCTGTGGTGTTTTATTCTACTAATTGATAGACCGTAAATCATTCACGGAAACTTCATCATTGATCAATTTTCTATCCATGCCGTCGTAACTGTATTCTTACGTTTTTCATTTAACACTTTCACAATGAAATATTGCCAGTTTCTCTTACATTTCAGTAGAAACGGCTCATGAAAACAAATTAAACTTGTTACACAAATATCAACAAACGATATGCAAATTGAATCAAATCGATTCCAAAACATATGCCATACTTCCGAGTAAATGATAATCACATAGAAAGTGTCAACATACTTGTACTTAATGTGACTGTGTCATTCGATTCGATCTCTTGCTCTTCTGCACGACTCCCTATTTCCTTCGACACTACCGAAAACACATAATCTGTACCCTGAGTCAGTCCGGTGATATTTGCAGTTGTCACGTTATTTCCGACGGTCATGTTTCCCTCCACTGTAGAACTACCGTTCAACCTCCAAACTGCCGTATAAGTGGAGACTTGTGCAAAATTGGAGGGAGCTGTCCAGCTCAGGATTACACCACTGGACGTTACAGATGACAATGTCAACATTGTCGCCATTAAGTCATTCACTGAAAATAATGACAAAACAATGAACACAGATGCAAATAAACCTGTCCTTTGAAATACAGCTGTTCAATTCACGCAGCAACGTCTTCAATGTAATTCCATCATGAATTGAATGATCATATACGGATAATCCCTACCAAAATAGTTTCGTAGCACCATACACAACACTTTTCTCATATTATAAAAACAATTCTGAGTATGGCAATGTCAGTATGTATTGTTTTCAAACTTCCCATATCGTATACTTACTGCTTGTACACACTCCACCAGCTGTACTGAAACCATTATTGTCGTAGTACCCAGATTGACACCTACACACGTTTCCTCCACCAGTATCACCAGCAATACATTCAGATTTGCCATCATCGCACACAACTGAACCGCCGCATGCCTCACTCAGTATTGCATCTGCAATTACATGAGACCTTACTTACAACGTCAATGTATCAGCACATTAAAATGTAAAAGAATATCTGTGGTGTTTTATTCTACTAATTGATAGACCGTAAATCATTCACGGAAACTTCATCATTGATCAATTTTCTATCCATGCCGTCGTAACTGTATTCTTACGTTTTTCATTTAACACTTTCACAATGAAATATTGCCAGTTTCTCTTACATTTCAGTAGAAACGGCTCATGAAAACAAATTAAACTTGTTACACAAATATCAACAAACGATATGCAAATTGAATCAAATCGATTCCAAAACATATGCCATACTTCCGAGTAAATGATAATCACATAGAAAGTGTCAACATACTTGTACTTAATGTGACTGTGTCATTCGATTCGATCTCTTGCTCTTCTGCACGACTCCCTATTTCCTTCGACACTACCGAAAACACATAATCTGTACCCTGAGTCAGTCCGGTGATATTTGCAGTTGTCACGTTATTTCCGACGGTCATGTTTCCCTCCACTGTAGAACTACCGTTCAACCTCCAAACTGCCGTATAAGTGGAGACTTGTGCAAAATTGGAGGGAGCTGTCCAGCTCAGGATTACACCACTGGACGTTACAGATGAGAATGTCAACATTGTCGCCATTAAGTCATTCACTGAAAATAATGACAAAACAATGAACACAGATGCAAATAAACCTGTCCTTTGAAATACAGCTGTTCAATTCACGCAGCAACGTCTTCAATGTAATTCCATCATGAATTGAATGATCATATACGGATAATCCCTACCAAAATAGTTTCGTAGCACCATACACAACACTTTTCTCATATTATAAAAACAATTCTGAGTATGGCAATGTCAGTATGTATTGTTTTCAAACTTCCCATATCGTATACTTACTGCTTGTACACACTCCACCAGCTGTACTGAAACCATTATTGTCGTAGTACCCAGATTGACACCTACACACGTTTCCTCCACCAGTATCACCAGCAATACATTCAGATTTGCCATCATCGCACACAACTGAACCGCCGCATGCCTCACTCAGTATTGCATCTGCAATTACATGAGACCTTACTTACAACGTCAATGTATCAGCACATTAAAATGTAAAAGAATATCTGTGGTGTTTTATTCTACTAATTGATAGACCGTAAATCATTCACGGAAACTTCATCATTGATCAATTTTCTATCCATGCCGTCGTAACTGTATTCTTACGTTTTTCATTTAACACTTTCACAATGAAATATTGCCAGTTTCTCTTACATTTCAGTAGAAACGGCTCATGAAAACAAATTAAACTTGTTACACAAATATCAACAAACGATATGCAAATTGAATCAAATCGATTCCAAAACATATGCCATACTTCCGAGTAAATGATAATCACATAGAAAGTGTCAACATACTTGTACTTAATGTGACTGTGTCATTCGATTCGATCTCTTGCTCTTCTGCACGACTCCCTATTTCCTTCGACACTACCGAAAACACATAATCTGTACCCTGAGTCAGTCCGGTGATATTTGCAGTTGTCACGTTATTTCCGACGGTCATGTTTCCCTCCACTGTAGAACTACCGTTCAACCTCCAAACTGCCGTATAAGTGGAGACTTGTGCAAAATTGGAGGGAGCTGTCCAGCTCAGGATTACACCACTGGACGTTACAGATGAGAATGTCAACATTGTCGCCATTAAGTCATTCACTGAAAATAATGACAAAACAATGAACACAGATGCAAATAAACCTGTCCTTTGAAATACAGCTGTTCAATTCACGCAGCAACGTCTTCAATGTAATTCCATCATGAATTGAATGATCATATACGGATAATCCCTACCAAAATAGTTTCGTAGCACCATACACAACACTTTTCTCATATTATAAAAACAATTCTGAGTATGGCAATGTCAGTATGTATTGTTTTCAAACTTCCCATATCGTATACTTACTGCTTGTACACACTCCACCAGCTGTACTGAAACCATTATTGTCGTAGTACCCAGATTGACACCTACACACGTTTCCTCCACCAGTATCACCAGCAATACATTCAGATTTGCCATCATCGCACACAACTGAACCGCCGCATGCCTCACTCAGTATTGCATCTGCAATTACATGAGACCTTACTTACAACGTCAATGTATCAGCACATTAAAATGTAAAAGAATATCTGTGGTGTTTTATTCTACTAATTGATAGACCGTAAATCATTCACGGAAACTTCATCATTGATCAATTTTCTATTCAAGCCGTCGTAACTGTATTCTTACGTTTTTCATTTAACACTTTCACAATGAAATATTGCCATTTTCTCTTACATTTCAGTAGAAACGGCTCATGAAAACAAATTAAACTTGTTACACAAATATCAACAAACGATATGCAAATTGAATCAAATCGATTCCAAAACATATGCCATACTTCCGAGTAAATGATAATCACATAGAAAGTGTCAACATACTTGTACTTAATGTGACTGTGTCATTCGATTCGATCTCTTGCTCTTCTGCACGACTCCCTATTTCCTTCGACACTACCGAAAACACATAATCTGTACCCTGAGTCAGTCCGGTGATATTTGCAGTTGTCACGTTATTTCCGACGGTCATGTTTCCCTCCACTGTAGAACTACCGTTCAACCTCCAAACTGCCGTATAAGTGGAGACTTGTGCAAAATTGGAGGGAGCTGTCCAGCTCAGGATTACACCACTGGACGTTACAGATGACAATGTCAACATTGTCGCCATTAAGTCATTCACTGAAAATAATGACAAAACAATGAACACAGATGCAAATAAACCTGTCCTTTGAAATACAGCTGTTCAATTCACGCAGCAACGTCTTCAATGTAATTCCATCATGAATTGAATGATCATATACGGATAATCCCTACCAAAATAGTTTCGTAGCACCATACACAACACTTTTCTCATATTATAAAAACAATTCTGAGTATGGCAATGTCAGTATGTATTGTTTTCAAACTTCCCATATCGTATACTTACTGCTTGTACACACTCCACCAGCTGTACTGAAACCATTATTGTCGTAGTACCCAGATTGACACCTACACACGTTTCCTCCACCAGTATCACCAGCAATACATTCAGATTTGCCATCATCGCACACAACTGAACCGCCGCATGCCTCACTCAGTATTGCATCTGCAATTACATGAGACCTTACTTACAACGTCAATGTATCAGCACATTAAAATGTAAAAGAATATCTGTGGTGTTTTATTCTACTAATTGATAGACCGTAAATCATTCACGGAAACTTCATCATTGATCAATTTTCTATTCAAGCCGTCGTAACTGTATTCTTACGTTTTTCATTTAACACTTTCACAATGAAATATTGCCATTTTCTCTTACATTTCAGTAGAAACGGCTCATGAAAACAAATTAAACTTGTTACACAAATATCAACAAACGATATGCAAATTGAATCAAATCGATTCCAAAACATATGCCATACTTCCGAGTAAATGATAATCACATAGAAAGTGTCAACATACTTGTACTTAATGTGACTGTGTCATTCGATTCGATCTCTTGCTCTTCTGCACGACTCCCTATTTCCTTCGACACTACCGAAAACACATAATCTGTACCCTGAGTCAGTCCGGTGATATTTGCAGTTGTCACGTTATTTCCGACGGTCATGTTTCCCTCCACTGTAGAACTACCGTTCAACCTCCAAACTGCCGTATAAGTGGAGACTTGTGCAAAATTGGAGGGAGCTGTCCAGCTCAGGATTACACCACTGGACGTTACAGATGACAATGTCAACATTGTCGCCATTAAGTCATTCACTGAAAATAATGACAAAACAATGAACACAGATGCAAATAAACCTGTCCTTTGAAATACAGCTGTTCAATTCACGCAGCAACGTCTTCAATGTAATTCCATCATGAATTGAATGATCATATACGGATAATCCCTACCAAAATAGTTTCGTAGCACCATACACAACACTTTTCTCATATTATAAAAACAATTCTGAGTATGGCAATGTCAGTATGTATTGTTTTCAAACTTCCCATATCGTATACTTACTGCTTGTACACACTCCACCAGCTGTACTGAAACCATTATTGTCGTAGTACCCAGATTGACACCTACACACGTTTCCTCCACCAGTATCACCAGCAATACATTCAGATTTGCCATCATCGCACACAACTGAACCGCCGCATGCCTCACTCAGTATTGCATCTGCAATTACATGAGACCTTACTTACAACGTCAATGTATCAGCACATTAAAATGTAAAAGAATATCTGTGGTGTTTTATTCTACTAATTGATAGACCGTAAATCATTCACGGAAACTTCATCATTGATCAATTTTCTATTCAAGCCGTCGTAACTGTATTCTTACGTTTTTCATTTAACACTTTCACAATGAAATATTGCCATTTTCTCTTACATTTCAGTAGAAACGGCTCATGAAAACAAATTAAACTTGTTACACAAATATCAACAAACGATATGCAAATTGAATCAAATCGATTCCAAAACATATGCCATACTTCCGAGTAAATGATAATCACATAGAAAGTGTCAACATACTTGTACTTAATGTGACTGTGTCATTCGATTCGATCTCTTGCTCTTCTGCACGACTCCCTATTTCCTTCGACACTACCGAAAACACATAATCTGTACCCTGAGTCAGTCCGGTGATATTTGCAGTTGTCACGTTATTTCCGACGGTCATGTTTCCCTCCACTGTAGAACTACCGTTCAACCTCCAAACTGCCGTATAAGTGGAGACTTGTGCAAAATTGGAGGGAGCTGTCCAGCTCAGGATTACACCACTGGACGTTACAGATGACAATGTCAACATTGTCGCCATTAAGTCATTCACTGAAAATAATGACAAAACAATGAACACAGATGCAAATAAACCTGTCCTTTGAAATACAGCTGTTCAATTCACGCAGCAACGTCTTCAATGTAATTCCATCATGAATTGAATGATCATATACGGATAATCCCTACCAAAATAGTTTCGTAGCACCATACACAACACTTTTCTCATATTATAAAAACAATTCTGAGTATGGCAATGTCAGTATGTATTGTTTTCAAACTTCCCATATCGTATACTTACTGCTTGTACACACTCCACCAGCTGTACTGAAACCATTATTGTCGTAGTACCCAGATTGACACCTACACACGTTTCCTCCACCAGTATCACCAGCAATACATTCAGATTTGCCATCATCGCACACAACTGAACCGCCGCATGCCTCACTCAGTATTGCATCTGCAATTACATGAGACCTTACTTACAACGTCAATGTATCAGCACATTAAAATGTAAAAGAATATCTGTGGTGTTTTATTCTACTAATTGATAGACCGTAAATCATTCACGGAAACTTCATCATTGATCAATTTTCTATTCAAGCCGTCGTAACTGTATTCTTACGTTTTTCATTTAACACTTTCACAATGAAATATTGCCATTTTCTCTTACATTTCAGTAGAAACGGCTCATGAAAACAAATTAAACTTGTTACACAAATATCAACAAACGATATGCAAATTGAATCAAATCGATTCCAAAACATATGCCATACTTCCGAGTAAATGATAATCACATAGAAAGTGTCAACATACTTGTACTTAATGTGACTGTGTCATTCGATTCGATCTCTTGCTCTTCTGCACGACTCCCTATTTCCTTCGACACTACCGAAAACACATAATCTGTACCCTGAGTCAGTCCGGTGATATTTGCAGTTGTCACGTTATTTCCGACGGTCATGTTTCCCTCCACTGTAGAACTACCGTTCAACCTCCAAACTGCCGTATAAGTGGAGACTTGTGCAAAATTGGAGGGAGCTGTCCAGCTCAGGATTACACCACTGGACGTTACAGATGACAATGTCAACATTGTCGCCATTAAGTCATTCACTGAAAATAATGACAAAACAATGAACACAGATGCAAATAAACCTGTCCTTTGAAATACAGCTGTTCAATTCACGCAGCAACGTCTTCAATGTAATTCCATCATGAATTGAATGATCATATACGGATAATCCCTACCAAAATAGTTTCGTAGCACCATACACAACACTTTTCTCATATTATAAAAACAATTCTGAGTATGGCAATGTCAGTATGTATTGTTTTCAAACTTCCCATATCGTATACTTACTGCTTGTACACACTCCACCAGCTGTACTGAAACCATTATTGTCGTAGTACCCAGATTGACACCTACACACGTTTCCTCCACCAGTATCACCAGCAATACATTCAGATTTGCCATCATCGCACACAACTGAACCGCCGCATGCCTCACTCAGTATTGCATCTGCAATTACATGAGACCTTACTTACAACGTCAATGTATCAGCACATTAAAATGTAAAAGAATATCTGTGGTGTTTTATTCTACTAATTGATAGACCGTAAATCATTCACGGAAACTTCATCATTGATCAATTTTCTATTCAAGCCGTCGTAACTGTATTCTTACGTTTTTCATTTAACACTTTCACAATGAAATATTGCCATTTTCTCTTACATTTCAGTAGAAACGGCTCATGAAAACAAATTAAACTTGTTACACAAATATCAACAAACGATATGCAAATTGAATCAAATCGATTCCAAAACATATGCCATACTTCCGAGTAAATGATAATCACATAGAAAGTGTCAACATACTTGTACTTAATGTGACTGTGTCATTCGATTCGATCTCTTGCTCTTCTGCACGACTCCCTATTTCCTTCGACACTACCGAAAACACATAATCTGTACCCTGAGTCAGTCCGGTGATATTTGCAGTTGTCACGTTATTTCCGACGGTCATGTTTCCCTCCACTGTAGAACTACCGTTCAACCTCCAAACTGCCGTATAAGTGGAGACTTGTGCAAAATTGGAGGGAGCTGTCCAGCTCAGGATTACACCACTGGACGTTACAGATGACAATGTCAACATTGTCGCCATTAAGTCATTCACTGAAAATAATGACAAAACAATGAACACAGATGCAAATAAACCTGTCCTTTGAAATACAGCTGTTCAATTCACGCAGCAACGTCTTCAATGTAATTCCATCATGAATTGAATGATCATATACGGATAATCCCTACCAAAATAGTTTCGTAGCACCATACACAACACTTTTCTCATATTATAAAAACAATTCTGAGTATGGCAATGTCAGTATGTATTGTTTTCAAACTTCCCATATCGTATACTTACTGCTTGTACACACTCCACCAGCTGTACTGAAACCATTATTGTCGTAGTACCCAGATTGACACCTACACACGTTTCCTCCACCAGTATCACCAGCAATACATTCAGATTTGCCATCATCGCACACAACTGAACCGCCGCATGCCTCACTCAGTATTGCATCTGCAATTACATGAGACCTTACTTACAACGTCAATGTATCAGCACATTAAAATGTAAAAGAATATCTGTGGTGTTTTATTCTACTAATTGATAGACCGTAAATCATTCACGGAAACTTCATCATTGATCAATTTTCTATTCAAGCCGTCGTAACTGTATTCTTACGTTTTTCATTTAACACTTTCACAATGAAATATTGCCATTTTCTCTTACATTTCAGTAGAAACGGCTCATGAAAACAAATTAAACTTGTTACACAAATATCAACAAACGATATGCAAATTGAATCAAATCGATTCCAAAACATATGCCATACTTCCGAGTAAATGATAATCACATAGAAAGTGTCAACATACTTGTACTTAATGTGACTGTGTCATTCGATTCGATCTCTTGCTCTTCTGCACGACTCCCTATTTCCTTCGACACTACCGAAAACACATAATCTGTACCCTGAGTCAGTCCGGTGATATTTGCAGTTGTCACGTTATTTCCGACGGTCATGTTTCCCTCCACTGTAGAACTACCGTTCAACCTCCAAACTGCCGTATAAGTGGAGACTTGTGCAAAATTGGAGGGAGCTGTCCAGCTCAGGATTACACCACTGGACGTTACAGATGACAATGTCAACATTGTCGCCATTAAGTCATTCACTGAAAATAATGACAAAACAATGAACACAGATGCAAATAAACCTGTCCTTTGAAATACAGCTGTTCAATTCACGCAGCAACGTCTTCAATGTAATTCCATCATGAATTGAATGATCATATACGGATAATCCCTACCAAAATAGTTTCGTAGCACCATACACAACACTTTTCTCATATTATAAAAACAATTCTGAGTATGGCAATGTCAGTATGTATTGTTTTCAAACTTCCCATATCGTATACTTACTGCTTGTACACACTCCACCAGCTGTACTGAAACCATTATTGTCGTAGTACCCAGATTGACACCTACACACGTTTCCTCCACCAGTATCACCAGCAATACATTCAGATTTGCCATCATCGCACACAACTGAACCGCCGCATGCCTCACTCAGTATTGCATCTGCAATTACATGAGACCTTACTTACAACGTCAATGTATCAGCACATTAAAATGTAAAAGAATATCTGTGGTGTTTTATTCTACTAATTGATAGACCGTAAATCATTCACGGAAACTTCATCATTGATCAATTTTCTATTCAAGCCGTCGTAACTGTATTCTTACGTTTTTCATTTAACACTTTCACAATGAAATATTGCCATTTTCTCTTACATTTCAGTAGAAACGGCTCATGAAAACAAATTAAACTTGTTACACAAATATCAACAAACGATATGCAAATTGAATCAAATCGATTCCAAAACATATGCCATACTTCCGAGTAAATGATAATCACATAGAAAGTGTCAACATACTTGTACTTAATGTGACTGTGTCATTCGATTCGATCTCTTGCTCTTCTGCACGACTCCCTATTTCCTTCGACACTACCGAAAACACATAATCTGTACCCTGAGTCAGTCCGGTGATATTTGCAGTTGTCACGTTATTTCCGACGGTCATGTTTCCCTCCACTGTAGAACTACCGTTCAACCTCCAAACTGCCGTATAAGTGGAGACTTGTGCAAAATTGGAGGGAGCTGTCCAGCTCAGGATTACACCACTGGACGTTACAGATGACAATGTCAACATTGTCGCCATTAAGTCATTCACTGAAAATAATGACAAAACAATGAACACAGATGCAAATAAACCTGTCCTTTGAAATACAGCTGTTCAATTCACGCAGCAACGTCTTCAATGTAATTCCATCATGAATTGAATGATCATATACGGATAATCCCTACCAAAATAGTTTCGTAGCACCATACACAACACTTTTCTCATATTATAAAAACAATTCTGAGTATGGCAATGTCAGTATGTATTGTTTTCAAACTTCCCATATCGTATACTTACTGCTTGTACACACTCCACCAGCTGTACTGAAACCATTATTGTCGTAGTACCCAGATTGACACCTACACACGTTTCCTCCACCAGTATCACCAGCAATACATTCAGATTTGCCATCATCGCACACAACTGAACCGCCGCATGCCTCACTCAGTATTGCATCTGCAATTACATGAGACCTTACTTACAACGTCAATGTATCAGCACATTAAAATGTAAAAGAATATCTGTGGTGTTTTATTCTACTAATTGATAGACCGTAAATCATTCACGGAAACTTCATCATTGATCAATTTTCTATTCAAGCCGTCGTAACTGTATTCTTACGTTTTTCATTTAACACTTTCACAATGAAATATTGCCATTTTCTCTTACATTTCAGTAGAAACGGCTCATGAAAACAAATTAAACTTGTTACACAAATATCAACAAACGATATGCAAATTGAATCAAATCGATTCCAAAACATATGCCATACTTCCGAGTAAATGATAATCACATAGAAAGTGTCAACATACTTGTACTTAATGTGACTGTGTCATTCGATTCGATCTCTTGCTCTTCTGCACGACTCCCTATTTCCTTCGACACTACCGAAAACACATAATCTGTACCCTGAGTCAGTCCGGTGATATTTGCAGTTGTCACGTTATTTCCGACGGTCATGTTTCCCTCCACTGTAGAACTACCGTTCAACCTCCAAACTGCCGTATAAGTGGAGACTTGTGCAAAATTGGAGGGAGCTGTCCAGCTCAGGATTACACCACTGGACGTTACAGATGAGAATGTCAACATTGTCGCCATTAAGTCATTCACTGAAAATAATGACAAAACAATGAACACAGATGCAAATAAACCTGTCCTTTGAAATACAGCTGTTCAATTCACGCAGCAACGTCTTCAATGTAATTCCATCATGAATTGAATGATCATATACGGATATCCCTACCAAAATAGTTTCGTAGCACCATACACAACACTTTTCTCATATTATAAAAACAATTCTGAGTATGGCAATGTCAGTATGTATTGTTTTCAAACTTCCCATATCGTATACTTACTGCTTGTACACACTCCACCAGCTGTACTGAAACCATTATTGTCGTAGTACCCAGATTGACACCTACACACGTTTCCTCCACCAGTATCACCAGCAATACATTCAGATTTGCCATCATCGCACACAACTGAACCGCCGCATGCCTCACTCAGTATTGCATCTGCAATTACATGAGACCTTACTTACAACGTCAATGTATCAGCACATTAAAATGTAAAAGAATATCTGTGGTGTTTTATTCTACTAATTGATAGACCGTAAATCATTCACGGAAACTTCATCATTGATCAATTTTCTATTCAAGCCGTCGTAACTGTATTCTTACGTTTTTCATTTAACACTTTCACAATGAAATATTGCCATTTTCTCTTACATTTCTAGAAACGGCTCATGAAAACAAATTAAACTTGTTACACAAATATCAACAAACGATATGCAAATTGAATCAAATCGATTCCAAAACATATGCCATACTTCCGAGTAAATGATAATCACATAGAAAGTGTCAACATACTTGTACTTAATGTGACTGTGTCATTCGATTCGATCTCTTGCTCTTCTGCACGACTCCCTATTTCCTTCGACACTACCGAAAACACATAATCTGTACCCTGAGTCAGTCCGGTGATATTTGCAGTTGTCACGTTATTTCCGACGGTCATGTTTCCCTCCACTGTAGAACTACCGTTCAACCTCCAAACTGCCGTATAAGTGGAGACTTGTGCAAAATTGGAGGGAGCTGTCCAGCTCAGGATTACACCACTGGACGTTACAGATGACAATGTCAACATTGTCGCCATTAAGTCATTCACTGAAAATAATGACAAAACAATGAACACAGATGCAAATAAACCTGTCCTTTGAAATACAGCTGTTCAATTCACGCAGCAACGTCTTCAATGTAATTCCATCATGAATTGAATGATCATATACGGATAATCCCTACCAAAATAGTTTCGTAGCACCATACACAACACTTTTCTCATATTATAAAAACAATTCTGAGTATGGCAATGTCAGTATGTATTGTTTTCAAACTTCCCATATCGTATACTTACTGCTTGTACACACTCCACCAGCTGTACTGAAACCATTATTGTCGTAGTACCCAGATTGACACCTACACACGTTTCCTCCACCAGTATCACCAGCAATACATTCAGATTTGCCATCATCGCACACAACTGAACCGCCGCATGCCTCACTCAGTATTGCATCTGCAATTACACGAGACCTTACTTACAACGTCAATGTATCAGCACATTAAAATGTAAAAGAATATCTGTGGTGTTTTATTCTACTAATTGATAGACCGTAAATCATTCACGGAAACTTCATCATTGATCAATTTTCTATTCAAGCCGTCGTAACTGTATTCTTACGTTTTTCATTTAACACTTTCACAATGAAATATTGCCATTTTCTCTTACATTTCAGTAGAAACGGCTCATGAAAACAAATTAAACTTGTTACACAAATATCAACAAACGATATGCAAATTGAATCAAATCGATTCCAAAACATATGCCATACTTCCGAGTAAATGATAATCACATAGAAAGTGTCAACATACTTGTACTTAATGTGACTGTGTCATTCGATTCGATCTCTTGCTCTTCTGCACGACTCCCTATTTCCTTCGACACTACCGAAAACACATAATCTGTACCCTGAGTCAGTCCGGTGATATTTGCAGTTGTCACGTTATTTCCGACGGTCATGTTTCCCTCCACTGTAGAACTACCGTTCAACCTCCAAACTGCCGTATAAGTGGAGACTTGTGCAAAATTGGAGGGAGCTGTCCAGCTCAGGATTACACCACTGGACGTTACAGATGAGAATGTCAACATTGTCGCCATTAAGTCATTCACTGAAAATAATGACAAAACAATGAACACAGATGCAAATAAACCTGTCCTTTGAAATACAGCTGTTCAATTCACGCAGCAACGTCTTCAATGTAATTCCATCATGAATTGAATGATCATATACGGATAATCCCTACCAAAATAGTTTCGTAGCACCATACACAACACTTTTCTCATATTATAAAAACAATTCTGAGTATGGCAATGTCAGTATGTATTGTTTTCAAACTTCCCATATCGTATACTTACTGCTTGTACACACTCCACCAGCTGTACTGAAACCATTATTGTCGTAGTACCCAGATTGACACCTACACACGTTTCCTCCACCAGTATCACCAGCAATACATTCAGATTTGCCATCATCGCACACAACTGAACCGCCGCATGCCTCACTCAGTATTGCATCTGCAATTACATGAGACCTTACTTACAACGTCAATGTATCAGCACATTAAAATGTAAAAGAATATCTGTGGTGTTTTATTCTACTAATTGATAGACCGTAAATCATTCACGGAAACTTCATCATTGATCAATTTTCTATTCAAGCCGTCGTAACTGTATTCTTACGTTTTTCATTTAACACTTTCACAATGAAATATTGCCATTTTCTCTTACATTTCAGTAGAAACGGCTCATGAAAACAAATTAAACTTGTTACACAAATATCAACAAACGATATGCAAATTGAATCAAATCGATTCCAAAACATATGCCATACTTCCGAGTAAATGATAATCACATAGAAAGTGTCAACATACTTGTACTTAATGTGACTGTGTCATTCGATTCGATCTCTTGCTCTTCTGCACGACTCCCTATTTCCTTCGACACTACCGAAAACACATAATCTGTACCCTGAGTCAGTCCGGTGATATTTGCAGTTGTCACGTTATTTCCGACGGTCATGTTTCCCTCCACTGTAGAACTACCGTTCAACCTCCAAACTGCCGTATAAGTGGAGACTTGTGCAAAATTGGAGGGAGCTGTCCAGCTCAGGATTACACCACTGGACGTTACAGATGAGAATGTCAACATTGTCGCCATTAAGTCATTCACTGAAAATAATGACAAAACAATGAACACAGATGCAAATAAACCTGTCCTTTGAAATACAGCTGTTCAATTCACGCAGCAACGTCTTCAATGTAATTCCATCATGAATTGAATGATCATATACGGATAATCCCTACCAAAATAGTTTCGTAGCACCATACACAACACTTTTCTCATATTATAAAAACAATTCTGAGTATGGCAATGTCAGTATGTATTGTTTTCAAACTTCCCATATCGTATACTTACTGCTTGTACACACTCCACCAGCTGTACTGAAACCATTATTGTCGTAGTACCCAGATTGACACCTACACACGTTTCCTCCACCAGTATCACCAGCAATACATTCAGATTTGCCATCATCGCACACAACTGAACCGCCGCATGCCTCACTCAGTATTGCATCTGCAATTACATGAGACCTTACTTACAACGTCAATGTATCAGCACATTAAAATGTAAAAGAATATCTGTGGTGTTTTATTCTACTAATTGATAGACCGTAAATCATTCACGGAAACTTCATCATTGATCAATTTTCTATTCAAGCCGTCGTAACTGTATTCTTACGTTTTTCATTTAACACTTTCACAATGAAATATTGCCATTTTCTCTTACATTTCAGTAGAAACGGCTCATGAAAACAAATTAAACTTGTTACACAAATATCAACAAACGATATGCAAATTGAATCAAATCGATTCCAAAACATATGCCATACTTCCGAGTAAATGATAATCACATAGAAAGTGTCAACATACTTGTACTTAATGTGACTGTGTCATTCGATTCGATCTCTTGCTCTTCTGCACGACTCCCTATTTCCTTCGACACTACCGAAAACACATAATCTGTACCCTGAGTCAGTCCGGTGATATTTGCAGTTGTCACGTTATTTCCGACGGTCATGTTTCCCTCCACTGTAGAACTACCGTTCAACCTCCAAACTGCCGTATAAGTGGAGACTTGTGCAAAATTGGAGGGAGCTGTCCAGCTCAGGATTACACCACTGGACGTTACAGATGAGAATGTCAACATTGTCGCCATTAAGTCATTCACTGAAAATAATGACAAAACAATGAACACAGATGCAAATAAACCTGTCCTTTGAAATACAGCTGTTCAATTCACGCAGCAACGTCTTCAATGTAATTCCATCATGAATTGAATGATCATATACGGATAATCCCTACCAAAATAGTTTCGTAGCACCATACACAACACTTTTCTCATATTATAAAAACAATTCTGAGTATGGCAATGTCAGTATGTATTGTTTTCAAACTTCCCATATCGTATACTTACTGCTTGTACACACTCCACCAGCTGTACTGAAACCATTATTGTCGTAGTACCCAGATTGACACCTACACACGTTTCCTCCACCAGTATCACCAGCAATACATTCAGATTTGCCATCATCGCACACAACTGAACCGCCGCATGCCTCACTCAGTATTGCATCTGCAATTACATGAGACCTTATTCACAACGTCAATGTATCAGCACATTAAAATGTAAAAGAATATCTGTGGTGTTTTATTCTACTAATTGATAGACCGTAAATCATTCACGGAAACTTCATCATTGATCAATTTTCTATTCAAGCCGTCGTAACTGTATTCTTACGTTTTTCATTTAACACTTTCACAATGAAATATTGCCATTTTCTCTTACATTTCAGTAGAAACGGCTCATGAAAACAAATTAAACTTGTTACACAAATATCAACAAACGATATGCAAATTGATTCAAATCGATTCCAAAACATATGCCATACTTCCGAGTAAATGATAATCACATAGAAAGTGTCAACATACTTGTACTTAATGTGACTGTGTCATTCGATTCGATCTCTTGCTCTTCTGCACGACTCCCTATTTCCTTCGACACTACCGAAAACACATAATCTGTACCCTGAGTCAGTCCGGTGATATTTGCAGTTGTCACGTTATTTCCGACGGTCATGTTTCCTTCCACTGTAGAACTACCGTTCAACCTCCAAACTGCCGTGTAACTGGAGACTTGTGAGGAGTATGTGGGAGGTGTCCAGCTCAGGATTACACCACTGGACGATACAGATGAGAATGTCAACATTGTCACCTTCAGATAACTCACTGTAAAGAAAGTATTTATATTTTCATTCCTCATTTATTCCGTCTTTCGGATATTTTTAACACTTCTATCGATACTTTAATGCTTCAAAATGTTATCTAATTGAAACGACTACTTATTCTTAAAACGAAAGCAGTTTCGACTTCATCGACGAATCCCACAATGTAAGTATTATTTGTCGCCTTCTTTCATTACAAGAAATACGGTGAGTAAGCTGTCTATAACGAAACAATTAGACACATAAACCATTTTATAACATCTAACTGTATACGATATCAAGGTGGACGTGCTGATGCACGTTAATAGGTATGGCTGATAGTTATGTTGTTTAACTTGTTCTCATGTTAGAAGTGTTCATACTCACTTACTTGGGATGATAATCCTTCCCCACACTGGTCTAATCTAATTATATTATTCAACTGTCCCCGTGTAATTTTTATTTTAAACTTTTGATCATATTTTACCCTAGTTTCATCGAAGTTCAGTTTGAATTGAAGACATGTCGGTATTTTCTGTTATGATAAGTATTTAGCAGAAAACGTTTTCTCATCGTTTTCGTCAATTTGTTTCCCATGTAAACCTGTTTTAGGCTCTATCAGTTGTCAACATCTTTCACGAAGTCGCGATGATGGGAACAAGCCCTTAATTATTAGATCAGATGTAACATTAAACACAAACACTATCTGGTCATCATGCCAATCGAACTAATATCATGAATAATTCCGTTGGAAAATGAAACACGGCACCATATCTTTAGTCAAACGGTAAATACAAATGACATTCAGTATTATTTGTTTTAAGTATTCTTCTTGGATTTCAACCATTACGACCCCTAGAACCGAGGAAATGTAATAGAATTATGAAAACTTGTCTTATCTGCTTCTATCCATTTCCACGTGCTTCGTATATTGGCATGTCCTTAGTGCAGTGAGTTGAGATTGATTTTAGGTTAATGATCGCATCTAGTTAGTGATATCTGAAACCCTCGTTCTAAGCATCATTGATAAGTACAAACCAAAGTTTACAAGAGAGATGCTTGATGTACCTTTACTTATAGATCATACTACATTAATAACACAATTCAGACCAGAAGACGATAACTTCTTGAAGCTTCCTATAACAGAGACATCTTTGTTATATAGTCAAGTAGCAAAGTCGTGAATTTTGGTTAATTTCCTAATATCATTGTGTAATGGTGCTCCAGCTGCAAATATTTTAATAAGGTAAGTCAACTTACTATGTAAGCACGTCCCGCCAGAGGTAGTAAATCCATTGCTATCAAAGTATCCAGCCTTACATCTACAGAAACTGTCACACTCAGCATTGACATCAGAACACTGTGATGCAACGTTACAGGCTTCGCTTAATGTTAGCTCTGAAACATTACAAAGAAGATAGGTAGTTATTTAAAAATAAAAACATACTCCTAGCGTAAGAAGATCGCCCATACAATTTCCACTTTAATAAAAGTAGGTACGTCTTAAACGAGCTAGTACTTCCTCAAACCCTGTATACGAGGTTGAGCTGGTTCGTTCGCTGTGTAAGATTAGAAGTTTACACCAAACATCTTACCTGTTTTTTAATGTATGTGAAAAATTGTTACATTTGAAGCGTTAGTCACCGAGAATACATGTACTTACCTAGTATATATATATATGTAATCTCTAAAAGAAGAAAGGAAATTTAACATTTGAAGCGTTTTAGTCACCGAGAATACAGGTACTTACCTAGTATATATATATATGTGTGTGTAAACTCTAAAAGAAAGGAAATGTAACATTTTAAGCATTAGTCACCGACAGTGCAAGTACTTACCTGCTTTAACTAGTTATATAATTATGTAAACTTTGAAAAAACGAAAATGTATTACTCTAAAAGTTACTCACCGACAATACAAGTATTTACCAGCTTTAATTAGTTATATACTTTCATAATGTCTGAAAGAAAGAGTTGTATTATTTGAAGCGTTAGTCTACACCACGAAGTATGTCAGTAATAGGAGAAAATCACTTGTAACCAAACTGACGACTGATCTGGAGGGAGAACATCAAGTAATGATTACGCGATATATACCTGACTAGTCTCTCTCTCTGTTTATTACTTACCTGTAGATAAGTTGCTTTAGTACCTACACTGACCTGTGCTTGTCAATATTGAACGTGCAGCTCATGTTGCATAACTGCCATAACACCGAAACCCATACTTCAACAGAACACATGAACATATTTGTACATTTCTTTTCTTCTATCTAAGCGTATAATGCCACTTCTTCAGAGAAGTTAACACATGTGACATGCGAAGTTGTAAATCATGACTGATATCACAACAATGTTATATTTGAGAGTAGACTCTTATACAAAGTAGACTTATCACTGCATCTATCACATAGTGTCAGCATTAATCATTTCGAATTTACTGGCATTTATTTACAGTAGAAATTTAATTAGAAATAATCAAATATCAGAGATTTTTCACTACATTCACATCAAAATATTCGACAAAGGTATTTGTGAAAAAAAAAGAAATCTGAAAAAAGAGATGAATTTGAAAATGATCATTGTCAGAGGCACTCATCAACATGTAGACATTGTTTACAAATATTTCTGTACAACCAAATGCCAATAAAGCTCTTGCTTCACATGCAGGCGATGGACAGAGGCTTCCTTGAACATACATACGTAATGATACATTGGCGACTTTTATCTCGGCCATAACGTCTTATAGTCAAGCTGTTCATTCTGTTGTTGCTCTGTTGCAGCATGCAATCACGTGATCCTATTTTATCTTAAAATAAATCTCGAGGGGTTTATTATACATATTTTTATGCAGCCGTGTGTGCCAAGCATACACAGGTGCTTTATTTCAGTCTCAAATATTTTAAGAAGCTCTATTACTACAACTTGTTATTACTACACGTGTTATTGCACTTAACAAACACCATGCATATTTCGTAACATTTCAACACACAGCACTGAACATTGTTTTTCAAATTCGCTCACATTACTATCTATCCTTATTCCAAAGCGTAAACATTTGGGAAGTAGCTGAGTTGACATAACAGGCCAATGGTATGATATTTCAGTATTCGATACTTGTTGAGAAGAATATACTGCGGAAAAAATGGTGATACCGTTACATCTCTGATATCCAAGAGACATACTAAACCTTCAAAATTATACAAGGCACAGTAAACTCACTTTTATGCGCCCGTCGAAAGACTGGTCGTATTATGTTATCATGTGAGCGAGTTGGAGCAGATTCGACAATATATTACTCGAACTGGTGATATTGACCTCTTTCATTCTAATTTGGTCAGGAAAATTTTTTATTCCATTTCTCATAATTTGTTAGGATCTTTTTTTTACCTCTGTTAACTTGATAAAGTTAGGAAGTTTTCATCTCTTTTATCTTGATTTCTTAAGATTCTGACCTCTGTTAATCTTATTTGGTTAGGAAGTTTTCATCTCTTTTATCTTGATTTCTTAAGATTCTGACCTCTGTTAATCTTATTTGGTTAGGAAGTTTTCACCTCTTTAATCTTGATTTCTTAAGTTTCTGACCTCTGCTTATCTTATTTGGTTAGGAAGTTTTCACCTTTTTTATCTTGATTGTTTTCAGATATATATCTAAAACCGATAGATAGAATTTAGTAAGTAATATTGTTGGTATGGTCCAATGTTGGAACCGAATCCTAACAAACAAATGTTCAGTAGATGCGTATAACTGGAAAAGATCGATGATCAATGAATTAATAACGATAGTACGGACATGTAAATCTGCCCTCTTATCAAACCACACAATATAGACCATAACACAAAGTTTTAAACTATAATCGAGAACGGTGCAAATGGTGTCTCGATAATCTTAAACAGATTTAGATAATCTTAAACTAATACAAGTCAATTACATTGCTTTTCAAACTTGACTAGCAATCTAATTTCTATGTCTTTCCCATGATAAACACACAAATTGTCCTAATAGCTTCATTATTACTCTATTCAAAGTCAATGAAATTGTATGAAGCATTTGCAACTCAACAGAGCAGCGCCTTCGCTACTATAAAATGTTTTAAACTTTTTAATTTTGTTAGAAATATTCTGTCTCTGTTCGGTGAATAAACTGATATTTTTATTATGTTCACTAAAGTATGGACTGAATTTAACATACAGAATGTACTGATAAACCATGTGTGGCGTACAATACTATTTCTGCTAAACATTAACACTAGAATTTCTTGTGAAATTTCATTACATATGCTTACCGCGTGTATATTAATAATTTCGATTAACAAAAAATAATAAAAAACAAGCTTCCTGAAATATAGTGTATCCATGCACAGGTATATTGAATAAACATATGATAAATATACTTGGTGTCTTTAATAATCACGATTAACCCACATGTATGATATATAATGGATTTCTTATATAAATTGCTAAAAGTGTCATACCTCATTAACGAACGACATGGGCCAAAAAATGCCTAATGTCATACCCCATCCACGGGCGACACTGGCCAAAAAACCCCAGTAACGGACGACACGGGCCAAAAAATATCTAATGTCATACCCCACCAACGGACGACACCGGCCAAAAATGTCTAATGTCATACCCCATCAACGGACGGCACGGTCAAAAAATCCCATTAACGGACGAAACGGGCCAAAAATGTCTAATGTCATACCCCATTAAAGACACGGTGTCTCGATAATCTTAAACAGATTTAGATAATCTTAAACTAATACAAGTCAATTACATTGCTTTTCAAACTTGACTAGCAATCTAATTTCTATGTCTTTTCCATGATAAACACACAAATTGTCCTAATAGCTTCATTATTACTCTATTCAAAGTCAATGAAATTGTATGAAGCATTTGCAACTCAACAGGCCAAAAAATGTATAATGTCATACCCCACCAACGGACGACACGGGCCAAAAAGTGTCTAAGGTCATCTCCCATCAATGGACGACACCGGCCAAAAAATGTCTAATGTCATACCCCATCAACGGACGACACTGCCCAAAAAAGTCTAATGTCATACCCCATCAACGGACGACACGGGCCAAAAAATGTCTAATGTCATACCCCATCAACGGACGACACTGCCCAAAAATGTCTGATGTCATACCCCAACAACGGACGACACGGGCCAAAAAATGTCTAATGTCATATCCCATTAACGGACGACACGGTCCAAAAAGTGTCTAATGTCATACCCCATCAACGGACGACACTGCCCAAAAATGTCTGATGTCATACCCCAACAACGGACGACACGGGCAAAAAAATGTCTAATGTCATATCCCATTAACGGACGACACGGTCCAAAAAGTGTCTAATGTCATACCCCATCAACGGACGACACGGGCCAAAAAATGTCTAATGTCATACCCCATCAACGGACGACACGGGCCAAAAATGTCTAATGTCATACCCCATCAACGGACGACACGGGCCAAAAATGTCTAATGTCATACCCCATTAACGGACGGCACGTGCCAAAAAATGTCTAATGTCACACCCCATCAACGGACGACACGGGCCAAAAAATGTCTAATGTCATACCCCATCAACGGACAACACTGCCCAAAAATGTCTGATGTCATACCCCATTAACGGACGACACTGTCCAAAAAAGGTCTAATGTCACACCCCATCAACGGACGACACCGGCCAAAAAGTGTCTAATGCCATATACCATCAACGGACGACACGGTCCAAAAAGTGTCTAATGTCATATCCCATCAACGGACGACACGGTCAAAAAATGTCTAATGCCATATCCCATCAATGGATGACACGAGTCAAAAATGTCTAAATATCATATCCCATCAACGGACGACATGGTCAAAAAATGTCTAATGCCATATCCCATCAATGGGTGACACGGGTCAAAAATGTCTAATGTCATATCCCATCAACGGACGACACGGGCGAAAAAAGGTCTAATGTCATATCCCATTAACGGACGACACGGGCCAAAAAGGTCTAATGTCATATCCCAATCACGGACGACACGGGCCAAAAAGGTCTAATGCCATATCCCATCAACAGGTCTAATGCCATATCCCATCAATGGACGACACGTCCGGTCAAAAAGTGTCTAATGTCATATCTCATCAATGGACGACACGGGCCAAAAAATGTTTTGGTGTCCAGTTGGGTAATATATTTCGTAACTACATTATGACACGGATACAAAAATGTATATGCGAAAAATGTCCATTGAACAAGGTGAACAACTGCCATTTACGAGGATACACCGTTTTATTATATAGCATCATAACTGAACTGCTGAAATATACCGATGTATTTTCAACACAATACACCTTTCATACGCGAGCAGCTCCCGTCCTCGATACTACATGGATTTTTTTTATCGCTTTTGCTCTCTGCAGCCCTGGAACACTCAATGACAAAACTGAACGTTCCATGCGCAAAACCTTTTGGGCAAGACGAGAAGACTAGTTCGATCCTTTGATGTACATCAAACGAATCTTTGGGTTCATAACTGTATGTTGTACTGGTTTTGAAGTTGTGTGCGACTCCTTTGTAATCTCCAAAAGAGCTATTTGTCTGCGACTGGTACGTATTTTTCTCCTGAAACCCGTTCTAGACGGGAAATGATTCAGGGGTACAGAGAGCTAAAGTGATCGTAACCCCTGAAGTATTAAGGATGTCCATCTCGTGATATTAATAGTATCGCTACACTTTACCATACACTTTCTCAGTTCTAAGCTCAGTTCAATAAAAAGGCATTTATCGGTTTACAGAACGTCTCAATAAATAGTGATGGTCTCTTTTACATTTATCTCTCTGACCTACTTCTATTTTACTCTCTCAAAAATTTACATATCCTGTCAATAGTGAGGTCCTTAGTTATCAACCTTCCTTTGTTCTTGGCCCTCATCTGCAAACAAGCTTATAACTATACCATCACAGTATCAAAAGCAAGATGAAGAAACTGTGGGAGATCAGAATCCTTTCGTTGTGATCCGTGCCTAAAAGTTGATATGTGGGCACTTTCTTCATTGGTAGGCAAATGTCTGGGGTACATGTCTTCCAGCTAGCCACCTGGTTGGTGACAAGTCGGATATGTGGAGGTTTGTACTTCTCAGCGAAACAGATTTTTATAAATAGTATGATTATAAAGTCATAGGAAAGACAGCGAAAAATAATAAAGTGTTCATTGCCATTAGAAAAATTCTTCTAAATAAAACTTAATCTCATACTAATCATATTGAGATTAGGTTGCCAGAAAACATACATCCTTAATTAGCAACTGAATGGGTCTTAATTCGTAGGACCCCGTGTTGGCTAATTTTGCATAACAGAGTTTATTTCTTTACTGTCGAATGAAATTTCAAATACACTTTTACTTAGAAAATTTTATTGCAGAATGACCTTCTAGATTTGTAGGTTTCAGTGTTTCACCACAAGCATTGCCCTGAAAGTTATGGAACCTTTGATGACCGTTCAAGAAGGCAACCTGTTTTCCCAATTTACACACTGACTTTATAATTGTTTCAAGTATGGAACTGTCTTCAGCCTTCACATGTGGCAGGTGATTTATTCCCCCAAAGTTTGTTTTTTTTACCACAACTTAGCAAATGAGCTTTTCCTCTCTGTGTCTACGACTTATCTCCCCTATTGATAATGGAATCATTGATTTTTTTTATATCTGGATTATTTCAAATTAGTTAGTTATCCAAATTAGCTTGTAATAAGCAAAACTATAGAATATAACAACAATATCTGTGTAACAGATGAATGTGTCATGGAAACATCTTCACTAGAGGCCTTCCCTGTCTGCAAATGTTAAATTTGGCCTTATAAATTACACATATCTGTAAAAACACCTTGAAATGATGGAGTTTGGATAAGGGTATCTTAGTAATATACGTGTCAGCTGCAAGAACCAATTGTTATTAGTATGTGTGTTTATGGATATTTGGTACAGTAAATTATATGGGAGATAACCAAGACATCAACTTTAGAGGTATACTGCACAATCATGGAGTAAATGCCAAAAAATAGTTACACTCTATAGACTTAGAATTTTATCAAAGGGCACTATAAATGTGGGCTTGTTGGCCTTGAATCTGCTAGACTACACATCGCCTGAGTGTAACTTAATACACAGTATTTTCATGATTCTTGCTTGGCTGAGGGCAAAGTCACGCTCTGGACACACAAAAGACAAACAAAGCCACAACTACATGCTAATACCGAAAAATTTCGGGTAGCATAAAAACATACATGTTGAATGCTATAACAAATCTAATAGTAATATATGGGCAAAAGATTAAAATGAAGAAAACCTGATGATGGGTAATAAATTATTTATTCGGTCTTTTTTTCTTTTCATATGTGACTTTGATGTTTTTTAGTTAGTTACTTTCTTGTATTATTTACAAAAAAATCAAGTTTTCTGAAACAGTTTGAATGAGTAATGTAAAGATACACATTTAAGCAGTACTCTTGTTGAAAAAACATTAATACTCTAACTGCAGTTAAGAAAAAATGAATTGCCACAAAATATGTATGTCCTAAGTCATCACAAAACAATAATTTCATTAATGCCATAAAACGGTTCTAAATGTCTTATCAGAATAAGGACAAAATATTTTTCAGCATCATTAAAATTATCAGAGTTCAAATTTCTTTGTCTCTTTGCGAAAATTTTGATTTAATATTGCAACTGCCTCTGGTTCAAAAGGAAAATCTACTTATATAAATTAGTCACATGATTTCACCATTTTTCAGTGTTCAGAAAGGTAATTTCAATTTGAGTTTGCGTCCAACAGTTTGTCATTAACCTCGACAAAAGGTCACTTTGAACCAGTCACAAAATGCAGATGTCTTCTTCATATCTTGTTCTCTTCTGTTCAACAGTCACAATGTCATACAACTACTGGAATCCCTTATCAATGATGTGTAAAGGAGTGAAAAATGCTGGTCATCATTCCCTGGGATCTTACAGCAGTGTTCTTGTACAAGTATCATCCTGGTGGATCACACAGCCATTTCACATCGTCAGTTCTATGACATATCGTGTTCTTATATCACGTAGTTATAAAATCTACGACTTCTGTGGCGTGACCTTGACTCCCTGTCGAATTTGACCCCAACCAATCAACCTGGAATAGGAAAAGTAAGATAAGTAATATTCTCTCAATATCACAATAACTGCTGAGTTAATTCAATGAAGCAAGCGATTCAATATTTGCCTGGTAGATATATCAAATATGACGCAAAGATATCTAGGCAAACCAGCCAAAATAAGACTTCAAACATACATTGTATTTTGAGTGGTTGACTGTAAGAAATGAGCACATAGGAGTTTTCTCCGATGGATCACTCAATAGGTTGCACAGTTGTATTGGCAAGAGATGCATGTAAAGTTGGTGAACTGGCGACTCAGTTCAGGTCAATGCACTGGTGAGGACAGTTTTTTTTTAATTTTTTTTGACCACGTAGATTGGTAGAGTAATTATAGACAAGGATTGTTTCTGATTCAAGTAATCTTATATCTGGAAATTCTGTACCAGTTTACCACATATGTTAACTGATGATTAAGAAGGACCATCAACCTTGTAGTAATATGCAATATGTAACTTAATTGTTTAATGAAAAATTTAATGGCATCACTGCTATGTACGACAATATCATATTGTCTAATTCTGTTTACATATGGTAATTTTTTATCTGTTATATACTGGTCACAGTGCTTTGATGACATGTGTTACAGTGCATCAGTTTGTTCCTAACTCATGGTACAGCACTCTGTCTATACTGACACCACTGTTCTTTACACACTCAATATACACCATTTACAATAAGAATGTCTGTTATAAAGGATATCAAAATACTTAGTGCTATATCATATGAGATTAAATCATATGCTTTTCCCATTCCAGGGACTTTGTTTGCTAGTCAAAGTCACAAACACTGCAGCAAACAGCTTTCTTGAGCAGAGATTACAAAAACAATACACCTCAGATCAATCTACCAACTCTGCTTTTGCTGTGCCACTTTACAGAGAGATGTGATGGAATTATGCAACTACAAATAAATCTATTTTCATGCTGTTTCTCACCTCCAATGCTTCTCCACTCTTCTACTGAGAGCAATTTTCTCTCCTATTTCTGTACAGACTGGGTTTGTTAACCCTATCTTAGCCAAATCAGCTTTCACTGCCAGCACTCTGCCTCCCGTCGACAAGGAACCAATGTTTACCATCAAGATCTCATTCTTAGACAACTTTTGCACCTGGAATAAAATTTTGATTTTCTTAGCTTCTTTTTTCTATTGGTTACCACAAATGAAGGGCAAAGGAGGGAAAACTTTTTAAGTACTGATCATACTTTAGAATAAAAGGATCAAAGTTTATGCTAACATTTGTGATACTCTTTTCTTTAGATTTCAATTTTGACAATCAATTTTTCCACATAATTTCATTTAGAACATTCCAATGCTATACTTATCATTTTAATCATAAAAATATGATTACAAGCTCACCTTTGCCCCCTTCTTATCCCCCTCCATTTTCACTCCCAACAGTCGCCTCAACAAAAAGAAAGAGATGGTGAGTTCTGTGTAGATGTCTGGCAGAGCACCAACTGCTCCTAATACACATCCAACCATACGATCAGCTCGGCACAACATGGGATCAATCTTCGTACCCACACCTGTACAACACAGTAAATCTTGCTGTTACATACATATCAAATGTCCCCAAATAGACCTGGGTGCCTTTCATCACATGATCTTAACAAGTTCTTTGAATTTTCTTCACATTTATCTTTAGGTTAGAAACCTGTGGCAATAATGAAAGAATTATGTGGTAACTTTAATTAAAACTTCAATTCCTCATGCCTGAAGTGTGTTGTTTGACCTAGAATGACTAAAATGGTGATTGCTACAAAAGAACAATACATATTTATATTAGGCAGAGCTATCTTTCGTGGTTTAAGTAACTTGATATTCATAATAAAATAAACCCCAAACTCAAGATGTATTTTGGAGTGGTCATAATTTTTTTTTTGTGGTCAACTTCAGATCCCAATCAAAAGTGGATCTTAAAATAGAATTTAAGAACTCTTTCTTCATCAGTATTCATAAACATAGTGATAAATTGTCAAATTCAATTTAGTGTGTAGTGTCCCCTTTTATTTCAAAACTGGGGTACAATGTGCCCTTAACAATGTATTAGAATAGTGCTTGAAAATCAATGATACAAGTCTTGAATTTCATCAGTTCTGGGAATTTTGTACCATCATTCAGGGGTTAATGTGAAACACTGGTGAAAAAAGTGAGTATGATCTAATGACCTTGATCTTTTTATACTTTCTAAGATATACCAATCTAAACATACATGAAGTGTCTAATTCAATGATCTTGTTCACACTACTTCTTCTATATCACTGTGGAGGACAAAATTGACAACTGTAAATTTGTGGAGGATAAAATTGACAACTGTAAGTGTTTTGAGATAGCCATAATTACCAATCAATCCACCAGGTACAGCATACTGAAGGTCATTCTGTTCAGCAAAACATGACAATATTCTTGAGAATATAGGTGTACATGTAAGTTTTCCATCCTGGTCTTTTAACACAGTTCCAGGTCGGACTTCAATCTCTTGGCCAACCTGAGAAGAAAACAAGGAGTGAAAACATCAGACGAAGGATGCATGGTTCATAACAAGATCATACCATAAATCAGGACAGCAGCTGATTAAATTGCAATTTCTTTTTTCTGTACCTTAAAATAACTTCTCTTTAACTTTTATCTAATTTTGTTGCTCTACATGAACTAACTCTGTAAAACGATGTCGAATTTTCATTTGCTACATTTTCCAATAACTATAAATCTGATATACATCATAAAAAGTGACTTGTATAGCACACTCAAAAACCCTTCATGAAAGTCTAATGGCCACCATGCTATTTTTTTCATTTTTTATTTTGCAGACTTTAGACTTGTCTTTCAAAGCAAAATGTAAAGAGATCATTTCATCTGTTAATAATAATAATAATAATTTTACAAAAAATATCTTTTAGATGGATGAAACAACATCTAATATGCATTTTTTAATCCATGGTGGTCTTAAACAATTGTTTAATAATTGTTGATTGTTTTTTACCTTAAGGACTCCCTTTAAAATACTTCCACCTGCCACACCCCCTTTTAGGTCATCAACTTCACTTCCTGGTTTGTTGACGTCAAAAGATCTGATAACTAAAAGACATCAATTGTTCAGTTAGAAACAAGGAACATCAGACCATCTTTCCTGGAAACAGACATTTTCCCAACTCACACCAGGTCTTTAATATATGTATATTAGTTTTTCACGGAGACAAAATCAATTAAAATAAACATACGTCATTGTAAACCTGTGACTTAAGGAAAAAACACATGTTGAAACACAGATTAAAAATTCTGAGTGTAAATGAGGAAAACCGTTCATTGCTTGTTACAGAAGTTGTGTATATCATTGACCATTTAAACCCAACTTTATGTTTTCAGTATTTACCTATAAGCCTGGGTTCTGATGTGAAGTCCCTGAGAGGCACAGGAATCTTTTTAACAATATATTCACATATGACATCTATGTTGTACTTCAGCTGGGCTGATATAGGGATGATTGGAGCACCTTCTGCTATAGTTCCTATTAAAAGCAAATAAAAAATGGGATATTATACATTTCATTGCCTTTGTCTTACAAAAAAGGAAATCTAAAAGTGACATTTTATTTGAGAATATATCTTTCTCTTTTGAACTCAAAAGTCAATAACATCCAAGGAATATGGGTGTCTCCACCTGTCTATCATTTCTGAAAAGTGATATAAGTAAGTGACCTCCATAACTCCTACAGTTGGATATATCATTTATTGTATTATTGTTATTTTTATAAACAGAACATTGTAATTAAGAAAGCTCTACCTTTGACAAATGAAAGAATCTGTTCATACTGTTCCTTAGCCTGGCTTTCTTTCACTAGATCTATCTTGTTTTGTAAAATAAGAATATGTTTCAGCTTCATGATTTCTACTGCTGCCAAATGTTCTGAGGTCTGGGGTTGGGGACATGATTCATTTCCAGCTACAAAGAGAAAACAATGAATAACTGATAAACACAATAACGATACTGTAATCTATAACGGAAACATCATGTATTATAATATCTACTGTTTGTACGATTAACTTAATTAACATACAATGAAAATTCACGAAGCAGATATACAAATTGTACAAATTAGTATATATACCACATATTAGAGCGGTGTATGCCCTTAACATTAAAAAATTAGGTCTATATACTTTTGGCAATCATGATTTGTCATTTACTTATCAAGAATAAATTGAGAAGTTATTGATATCCAAAGCTTAAGGAAATTGAGAAGTTATTGATTTCCAAAGCTTAAGGAATTAGACTTCAGACAGACTTCAAGTAGCATACTTTAGACAATTTATCATTATTCTTTTGTGGATACTATCAATCCATAAAATCAAATATGTCCACAAACTGATGAAATTAGTGTAAGTAGATTCATTGAACAATATTTATCAACAAAATTAAGTGTCATTAAAAAACACATGAAAATTGAGCCCCATGAACATACCTGGTTTTACAGTAACAATAAAATGTATAAATCATGAAAAGATAGAATGCATACCAATTAATAGAAGAGCTGCATCCATGACAGCTGCTCCATTCAACATGGTAGCCATAAGAATGTCGTGACCAGGGCAGTCCACAAATGATACATGTCTGTAATGGAAAGAAATCTATGTGACTACAATATACATGCTAAATAAAAACACAAGAAGAAAACTCAAAATTTACTATACATTCAAGATTCCTAAAATTTCTGCCTCAAAAATAATATGAATGCTGTTATCCTAACTGTTAATAATAATTATTTCCATAGCATTTCCTGTAGTCAAATATATACAAATTGCTCTTTTATTATGTACTACTTGGCTAGCAGTCTGATGAATGATTCAAGAAAATGTGTAGTATACTGCCTAGTTGTATTGTGGTTGAAAACATAATGTAGCAAAGTTGACTTCCTTACCTCAAGACTTTAAATTTTCCAGGACATCCTGATCTGTCACAAGGGAAAACATCTTCCTTTGAGCTGCCACATGACCTGTAGCAGCCAGGGCGAGGACAAGCATTGTTGTCACATTTATAAATCTGAAACATATGAAACACTTCAGTTTTCTGAAGAAAGAAATTGGTTCAAACCATAAATAATATCTAATATTCTTCACAGAAAATTAAGAAAAAGACTGAAAAAGATGAAGAGTCAATAATTACCTTTGCATTGGCATATCCCAATTTGATTGTGATATTTCTTTCCAATTCATTTTTGAATCGAACAGTCTGAAACAGTAAAAGAATTTTACAACATTAAAAGTGACCTTACAGGAAAAGTTTTTCATATCTTCATATCTATTACGGTATATATCCCAGTATCTGTTATATGGTATTATTTAACTTTTAATGTTTAATGTCTTCCTTGAAGCAAAGGACAGCTATAGCCTAGGCTGTCAGTGAGATTTCAACATAATACAAAACTCTGCCAATTAGAACAGTATGGTTAGTTTGGTATAAAGTGCTGATAGTGTTATAATTTACATTTAACAAAAATTAATCTCAAAAAAGATCAAGCAGTTTGCAAAAATGATAGCCTTTCTTTGCAATGGTTCAACTGTTAATTTGCTAATCAAGATTTTATAATTCTGCTTAACAATCAAGTTCTGTAAAGAAAACAAAACATATAAAATATTGCAATACTTCCCACAAATTCAGTTTAAGTTAGGAAAAACTTGAGGAAGGGGGTATCTATAAAACCTTAATTTTAAGATAAATGTATTAAACATATTAACTACCAAATATATGTACCTTTTACTAAATATGGAATTATCAATATCAAGTCAAGCAATATGAGGACTCCATAAACTATTAAAAATATTTGCAACATATACTGAAGTAGAGCTAAATGCAGAGTTGAGCCCAAAGCCAGTGATAAAGTCACACTGACAGAGACCTACATGTGAGACTATGACAGTGATAGCTCCTCAAACAGGATCGCCATTTAAAAATTGATGATTTCTAGACTAATATCTAAATGGACTTAGTTCATCTAGATAAATGAAGCTAAACACAACAGCTGAACTTAATAAAGTAAAGCAGAAAATACAGGTCACTGTCCACGGTTACCAAGATAGAGATATTAGAGTCTTGGAATCAGGTTTTGCCATTGGGATTCGTCTATTTTTTTCGAAAAGACACTACATCTCTTTCTCATATTTGGGATTCATAACAATTTTGGAAAGGATTCTTTTGACTCATCACAAAAACTTCTACTCTCTGTAGATTACTGAAAATAACATAATGAGTAGTATTTCTGATGATATGTTTGTGTACGTAAAGATTGACATGGTGAGGCCATGCATGGAGCTAACTTTAATATCCAAGATATTGTAATATTTAAGAAAGAGAGGACAAACTGATAAGACTGACAACTTTAGGGGAAAAATCAAACTGTTCACAAACCTGTACACCAGATATAGCTTTTACTACTGTGGATTTTCCATGGGCTACATGACCAATAGTGCCTACAACAGTAGATGAAATGGTAACAGCATTCATAAATCATCATATATTATATAACATTAATGTATCAGATTAGTAACATGTTTTTTTAACTGCATAAACACATAATTTGACATACAGCAAAACCACACTTCCTTGAACCTGTATCACTCCAATACCCCAGATTCACAGAATAAATATTCCTAACCATGTCTTTATATATTCTCAACATATCTTAATACATTTTTAATTTATCTGTGGATTCCTCAAACCATTATTGCTGGAATACCCAACATTTCTCAGATTGATTTTTTATTTTGTTCCCTTCTTGTCTATAGTATTTCTCCCCTCTTTTCATCAAACAGATATCACACTTGCCAGAATCTACCTGTGTAACACATGACCGTGTCCTAGTTTCGTGTAGCAGTTCCAATCACACCAGTATGTCTGGTGTTTGGTAAGCAGCAGATAATTATGGGATTAATGGTGGCATGTTTACATACTTTTACAGCCATCCAATATGATTCTTTTATTGAGACTTTTCTTAAAATTTGTTAACACAAAAAATCAACCACTGTTGAAATGAATCTACTTTTTGTGTAAAACAAAATTACGCAATGGCAAACATTTGGTGTGAACTGGCCCAAATGGTTATCCAAATATATTTATATTTTTTTCAAAAGATGAGACTAATAACATATTGTATACATGGAATAAACATTATATTATCATTTAAAACTGTTGAGCTAAGACAATGGGAAAGTATTCATCTTTCTACCATTATTATCACCTCTCTGTGTTATCTTTTGCAAGAAATGAACAGTGCTTGGATTGACATAGTTTAAATATTTCGATTGATCCCTTCCTATGACAAACTGTAATTATTTGAAAACCATGTATTCCTAAAACTATTGACATGACATGTTCCTCAGGAGTTTGACAAGGTAGGGGTTTTCCGCACTTAATACATGTATTACAGTTTTGAACCTTATTTAACAAGAATCAGAAGCAAAACACATAAAGTCAAAGAGCAAAGTTTGTGACAATAGAAGTTTGTCAATACTTAAGAAATCAAAGTTACCTATGTTAATTGTTGCTTGACGACTGATCACATCAAGTGTAAGTGGAGTGAGCTTCTCGATATTCTGAAAGTGAAAGAAATAAAATGTATTAAACACACAATATACATACTGGGTATCTATATTGATCGTCCAATAATTTTAAGTGTTTTCATAATTTACATCTTTAGATGATATGTATCTATCATTCATGGGCATTTTTTCTAAATAGTATATAACCTTTTGGGTGGTGCAGTGATTATACACTTTCCTTCATCAAGGTGTACGGGGTTCTATTCCTGGCATGGACATGAAAAGGTAAGTGGTCATCTACCTGACCACATGGGTTTTCCCCCACAGTAAGACTTCTTGTGCACTTTAACAATTTTAACGCTATCTTTCTTCTTTCTATCCTCCCCCTTGAAACAACAAATAATGATTCTCACCCATTCAACTTTTCCCACATAAGTCTATCCTCAGGAAAACTTATCCAATTTTTTAAGTTTGAACAGGAAACATTATTCAGCAGTTAAAACATTAATTTTGAACCATTTTCTTTGAAATCCATACTTGTAAAATGTCAATGTTTTATGTCAAGTATATGTTGCACAGGTCTCTGAAGTATTGCATCAGTTTGATGTGTGTCTGGTATAAACAGTTTTATTCAAATGGAGCAATTGTATGTAGTAATAACAGAATGATGTAAAACACAACAAAATGATGAAATCTATTTAACATGTAATGGTTGTTTTAAAAGGCTGATAAAGACCCAAAAACAGGCAACAAAGAAAACTGTTTGAACAAAAGTTTTAAGATGTACCAAGATGTAGCTGAAATGAGAGAAAAGAAAAATGTTTCACAAAGTGAGGAATCTCTCAACTTTCTGTACCTTACAAATGTAGTAATAATGTAAAGTTTATATCATCAGCACTGAAAACAGCAGACACACAGTTGTGTTATTATTATTTCCATGTATATTTTTTCAACATTTTATCATGACTTTTTAAAAAGAACGGGTTGAAGTGGTCTGTACATGGTATAATATCTCAGTTACTCAGAGGACATCCTCAATACTCTGGCAGTTACTGTCACTTCCAATCTCTGAACCCCTGGGAAAATGACATGGCAAAACTGAAGGCACAAGCAAGGTAATGTGACTAGTTCTAAGAGAAAAAACAAGAGGCCCATGGGCCTTAACGGTCATCTGACAAAAAGCAAGCCAAACCTAGAAAGTGGGTTGAGGTCATTCATTTGAACAAACTTGGTAGCCTCTCCTCCAAGCATCTTACAGGCCCAATATCAGCACTCATGGACTTTTGCTTGTTGAGAAGAAGTCGTTTGTATATTTTAACATATTTGACCCCTGTGACCTTGAAAGTGGGTTGAGGTCATTCATTTGAATAAACTTGGTAGCCTTTCCTCCCAGCATGCTACAGACCCAATATCGGCACTCATAGACTTTTGCTTATTGAGATGAAGTCCTTTGTATATTTTAACATATTTGACCCCTGTGACCTTGAAAGTGGGCCAAGGTCATTCATTTGAACAAACTTTGTAGGGCTCCATGCCAGCATGCTATGGGCCAAGTATTAGCCCCCTAGGCCTTCTAGTATTTGAGAAGAAGTTATTTAAAGATTTTGACATATTTGACCCCTGCGACATTGAAAGTTGTTCAAGGTCATTCATTTAAATAAACTTGGTAACCTTTCCTCCCAGCATGCTACAGACCCAATATCGGCACTCATAGACTTTTGCTTATTGAGATGAAGTCCTTTGTATATTTTAACATATTTGACCCCTGTGACCTTGAAAGTGGGCCAAGGTCATTCATTTAAACAAACTTGATAGCCCTTCATCCCAGCATGCCACAGACCCAATATCGGCACTCATAGACTTTTGCTTATTGAGATGAAGTCCTTTGTATATTTTAACATATTTGACCCCTGTGACCTTGAAAGTGGGCCAAGGTCATTCATTTGAACAAACTTTGTAGGACTCCATGCCAGCATGCTATGGGCCAAGTATTAGCCCCCTAGGCCTTCTAGTATTTGAGAAGAAGTTATTTAAATATTTTGACATATTTGACCCCTGTGACCTTGAAAGTTGTTCAAGGTCATTCATTTAAACAAACTTGATAGCCCTTCATCCCAGCATGCCACAGGCACAATATCAGCAATCTGAACCTTTTGGTTATTGAGAAGAAGTTGTTTAAAGATTTTAACATATTTGACCCCTGTGTCCTTCATCCCAGCATGCTACAGACCCAATATCGGCACTCATAGACTTTTGCTTATTGAGATGAAGTCCTTTGTATATTTTAACATATTTGACCCCTGTGACCTTGAAAGTGGGCCAAGGTCATTCATTTGAACAAACTTTGTAGGGCTCCATGCCAGCATGCTATGGGCCAAGTATTAGCCCCCTAGGCCTTCTAGTATTTGAGAAGAAGTTATTTAAAGATTTTGACATATTTGACCCCTGCGACCTTGAAAGTTGTTCAAGGTCATTCATTTAAATAAACTTGGTAGCCTTTCCTCCCAGCATGCTACAGACCCAATATCGGCACTCATAGACTTTTGCTTATTGAGATGAAGTCCTTTGTATATTTTAACATATTTGACCCCTGTGACCTTGAAAGTGGGCCAAGGTCATTCATTTGAACAAACTTTGTAGGGCTCCATGTCAGCATGCTATGGGCCAAGTATTAGCCCCCTAGGCCTTCTAGTTATTTAAAGAGAAGAAGTTATTTAAAGATTTTGACACATTTGACCCTTTTGCTGTGACCTTGAAAGTTGTTTGAAAGTGGTTCAAGGTCATTCATTTAAACAAACTTGATAGCCCTTCATCCCAGCATGCCACAGGCACAATATCAGCAATCTGAACCTTTTGGTTATTGAGAAGAAGTTGTTTAAAGATTTTAACATATTTGACCCCTGTGACCTTTAAAGTGGTTCAATGGTCCTTTGTATATTTTAATTTGAACAAACTTGGTCAAGTTAGTCCTTCATCCCAGCATGTCACAGGCCCAATATCTACACTCTGAGCCTTTTGGTTAATGAGAAGAAGTTGTTTAAAGATTTTAACATATTTGACCCCTGTGACCTTTAAATTGGGTCAAGGTCATTCATTTGAACAAACTTGGTAGAGCTCCATGCCAGTATCCTCTGTGCCAAGTATTAGCCCCCTAGACCTTCTAGTATTTGAGAAGAAGTCGTTTGAATGAAAAGTTTACGGACGGCGCACGGCGGACAGCGCACGGCGGACGACGACGGACGAAGCATGATGACTATAGGTCATCGGACCCTTCGGGTCCAGATGACCTAAAAACTGACCAATCATAGGCTGATACCCTCCTGTGGAAGAGTACAAAGGAGCGACACTCAACTTCAAAGCCATTACAATATACTGTTATGCGACCTCAAAGTATGTTTGATTTACATCAAGAGGAACAAATTGCCTTTTCATCTTGTCAACAAGGCGTTGCTCATGGAAACTTCCATTTTGCTATGACATGTTCCAGGGATGCAGAGAGCGAGTGATTGTTACCCCTGGAGTATTGAGAATTCTCTGAGGACAGAACACGCGTATTAGGCTCAGTTGGTAGAGCTGTAAGTTATCATGCTTGACATCTAGATTTGATCATACATCAGATATTCTGACAAATTGATAGACTTCAACATCTACCCTGAATATACCTTCATCAACATACTGAGGATTGTGTCAATGTTAATTGTATACATGTGCAATATAAAGTTGAAACTTGTCTCGAAATTGTTTGAGTCAAAATAATTGTTAAGTCCCAATTTTTTTCCTTCTATAGCTTTGTAATTTTAGTTCAGATGACTCAAACTTCATTGAGACAAAATATCGCTTGAGTCAAAGTGATTTTTCAGTCCCTTCAATTGGAAAGCAAGGGAAAAGTCATTTGATGTCTTGAAATTAATTTGTCAAAACATTGGCATGTCTTCTGATGATATTCGCCAATACACACACAAAGTAGAAGTCACACATGGCTAATTATGGCGTTTTGGTGGTCCGTCATACATACAACACTTGGTCTCTGGCAATTAATTACCAGTTTAATTATCAAATTAAAGTTTGGCTTCTTATTGACATTCTGAGCTCCTCAAGACACAACAAAAGCAAAGTTTACCACTATAAGATGTTTGGCTAATCTGCACATAATATTACAAACATATATCACATTAAGTTTTAAACTGGTCAATCAATCTCTGTAAAACTTAAGTATGTCATTCAAATATACATCCATCAATCTGAACTCCCAAGAGTCAGCTCATGCACATCAATATTTACAAATGACATACTTCTGTCTTACAGAAACTGGTCTTATATGTGTAAGTTTTGTACCATATGATAATGCATAGTGGACTGAATGTTTACGTTCGATATACAGGTGCATGTGATTGAAGCCTGTGGCCATATACATAATATTTCTGTGAAATTTTCGGGTTTTTAAACTTTTTTATGACTTATATATTTTTCGTGGTATTCGCCGACATTTGTTTAGTGTCACTAGTTCTATCGATGTTGATAAAAGATATTCACATGTGAAATATTCAAATTGTGATAACCAAGATATAATGAGCTGGACATGTCGACCACTACTAAAGAGGCCACTTAAACTCGAATAAAAAGAGCAATCATTTCGATGTATATATACTAAATTAAACTATGATATATGTACAGGTTAATGCGAAACAAAAGATGAATGGAATTACAATATATTCATATTTTATGAAATACCGGTTAAAACGCAGACGAGTTGACTTTTTCCTGTCAAACCTCACACACCATACTTGATGTCAGTTTTCGATTTCGTTCGACAAATTAGAACAACATGTCATTTAAACATGAAACTAACACATCTATTGATACTAACTAAAGTGTTCAAATCCTGTTTTGATAAGTGTGGTTGAAGATGTTTCACTTCTTTTCCTTCGTCTTCAGCTGCCATGCTGTCTGATGCAAGCCGCATTTTCTGTAAGCGCACAATCTTCTAGGCGCTTCATTTGGTATACGAAATAGTGAAGCGTTTTCATAAGGTGACTTTTTACTCGTTCCCAGGCGTGTTTATCTTACTCGTTCTCAGTGTTTCCGGTAGGTGGAAATCATCCAATCAAAATTCGTTACGTATTATTTTCGAGCCTATTTCCGACCTACATTGGGCAGCAAGCGCCTCGCATGAAAACAAAACACACGAGGGAGGAAGTTCTTGCCAACATGTTTTCCCACGAATGTTAAAATAAGAGAGATGTGAAGGATTGCGTCATCTCGTTTTAAAGCATCAAACAGAATCAACGATAATCATACAATGTGTTGGAATATGAGTTAATGTTTATTTTCAGAAATGATTCAAAAGACCTGTGTTATTGATCGCAGCAGCACATGTTGCCTACGGTAGGCTAGCTATATAAACTATGTAGGGAATATGCACATGTGAGAATCATTCAACGTGGAGTAATTATGCTACAAACGACATGGATTGCAATCGTTTTAGGAGTTTGGTCCTCTATGTATTTACTGGACGCCTTTTTAAAGGTAAACATTCGAACGAGTTCAACTGTTAAAAAAAGGAAATCGATATTAATGATAATGTTTTGATATATGTCCTGGTAATATGTAATGATATTTAAACGAATATGCGAAAATATAACTACACTGTTCAGTTCAAATTCCATTGTCAAGCTGGTTAATACTAACTGCAAAAGTTCTTAGCTTGATCATGATCAGCGTGTTTTTAGCTTGGTTGCAGACGATAGTCATAATTCCTCCCATATCGAAAATCTAGTTCTAGTGATCCCTTCAAGGGTGGGCATTCATCGAGTTATAAATCATACATCATTGGAAAGGTAAAACATTTTTCTACTAATGTATATCAGTGTCAAAGCAATTAGAAGTTTTAAACCAAGTATTTCCACTCATTTTCCTCAGCAGCTTTACCTTCCAGCGTATTGACAATGGATGCCAATAAATGTAATCTCTCTTGGCTTGTGGTTGTAAATCGACCATTCCCACCAATCTCGAGAGAATTTACTTTTTGCTTGCCTATAATATATGCTTCTAAAGGTTCATATCATGATTTTTGTCTCACCAAAAGTGACATATAGGTATTACGATGTCGGCACCCTCATCTGCACAAAGTTTTTTTGTGATAACTTGAGTACATTTTGGTCGATCAATCTCAAACTTCATACAGAGCTTCCTTATCAAAAGTGCTTGGTTGGGATTGTTTTTCAGGTCCAAAGATCAAGTTCACTGTTACTATGAACGGAAAAGTTTTACCCTGATAGCTTCAGTTCCCATTAGCCGATTAACACCTAACTTCATACAGTGCTTCCTTATCAAAAGTGCTTTCTTCGGATTGCTTCTAAAGTTTAAAGGTCAAGGACAGTGTTATCATTTATAGGAGATTGGTTTTCATATGACAACTTGAGTTTTCTTTGGACAATTACACTGAAGCTTAATGCAATGCTTCCATACCAAAGGGGCTTGCTTGGAGTTGCTTTTCTGGTCAAAATGTCAAAAGTCAAAGTCATTGTAGCTATAAAATGAAAATTGGTTTTGTATGATTACTTCAGTTTTCTTATGACAATTAGACTCAAACTTCATACAATGCTTCTTAACCAAAGGGGCTTGTCTGAGAATGCTTTTCAGGTGGGTTGTCTCTGTTCCTGCCTTATTTGGAGCTAATCAGTATTTTTTAATTTTTATTCTTTGCCACATAAGTGTTCAGTTCCCTTTGACACTATACATCTGATCTGAGTTTTTAGCTCACTTGGCCCTTTACTTTCCTGTCAGACATAAGACAATGAAACATTAAGGAAATATCTGCCATTTTAAGTACTTAGTATTAAAGTAATGATATCCTAACATATACAGAAATGTTTGTACACTGACCCTGCAGAAATTCTTTAAAATAATGATATTCAGTCAATTAGCTTTGGACAGGTAGAGTATGCCCCTTCAGACTGCTCTTGCTGAAGATTCCCCTGCCCTGCTTGGCTCCCAATCTGTGTCTGGTATTTCTCCTGCAGGTTTAGCTGCTCCATTGTTTCTTTAAAAAGAGTCACTTCTCTTCCCATATCAGTTTCCCTTGCAAATCAGATGGTCCAATATAAGAAACCACTGGAAGCAAAACTGTAAGGAAAAGAAAACTGGATACCATTAAATCAGAATAACAAACATTTACAAGTTTTTAACCACTTGCAATTCATTAATATTATTCACAAATATTACTTACATTTTTTTATTATGATTAATTTGAAAGAAATTTAAGGCAAAGCAAAATTTTATTGCTTTTCATACTTTCAGAGTGATTTATTTAGAGGGACATTTATGCTTTTTTGGACCATTTATGCTATTTTCACAAGGAATGTCAAAAATGAAAGCACGTTCATGTTTTCTTAAATCAAAGTTAATGTAAAGTAAAGGGGTGATAGTATTACAATTAATGACTTACAGTGGCGAATAGGCTGAAAGGGGACATGATAATTGACGGTTTTCTGTGGAATTGTAGAGGTCTTATAGTCTGTAGGTCAAATAATCTGCCACTCCAATAGAGTGTTGTTATTTTTGTATTATTTATTGTACAGTATCACTTTATTAAGAATTTATGTAAATCACAAATTTGTTGTTGCAACAGTACCTAAGATGTGACCCTCTGTAACATGCAATGTATATGTAGAGATCAATATTTTTGTAATTTGACATCATGTCATATCTGTAGGTGTATGTGTGATGATAATTACATATTATAAGAAAAAGAAAAAAAAATCTGAATCAATTATACTTCCCATGCTAGAAAATTTTACATTAAGTAGATCTATATCATGGTTTTGGATAATATAACGTACATTTGATGTCACATCATTAGTGCTCTCTTACTATTTCTTATGATGATATTTTGCTGTATGGTTGTTGTATTTCAATTTCATATATATATGAGTCTTATGTCTTTTCTGCCCAACAGTCACATAAATCCTGGAGCAGACATTACATCCACTTTTTGGATAGAACTGGTCTAGCTATCTCAATCTGTCAGCTGCGATGGTACTCCACGTTCCTCAATCGTACATTTGTACGTATCGGTCAGTGGCGCCCAAATTTTCTGAAGGTGTGGTTTACTTGTGGAGTGGTGTTTGGACTGCTGGCCATGTTGCTGTCCATGTTTCTGCTGACTTTACTTGTTATCAATACCTTCCGGAAACAGCCTGTGGAGCAACAAGTTCTCACTCCTGTGGTACAGTTTCATACAATACATAAGATATCATGACATGTTTTCATGTACACATTAAGGTTGCATTTTTAGCCCACTTTCAGTAGATGGTGGACTGTTAAAATCACTCTGCGTCCGTTTGGTTGTAGTCCATCCTTAAACAATTTTTGTTATCGCTATTTCTTGAGAAGCATTGATTGGGTCATTCTCAAATTTCCTACGAAGTTTCTCCTTGCACTTGATTCTTAGTTGTGCCTGTTTGATTTTTGGAATGGTAAAAGAAACAAAATGGCTGAAAGGCAGCCTTCTTGAATTTTAATAGTGAAAGTTTGCTAAAAGCAAAGGAAGAGGAAAGAAGAGAAAACAAGGGAAAATTCCAACACCACATGTTAAGAACAAATAAATATCTAACAATGGTGGTTTCCAAGATCCTTTTAGGATCTCTTTTCAGTGCAAGCATTTCATGTCAACAAATTCATCAGTGAGCAGACCAAGGGCTTTATTATTTATCAGTGAAATTTTCATGTTTGAGATTCATTATCCAGTATTTGTAAACAACTGGAAAGTTAACAAATAAAGCATCAAGTTACAGATCATTTCAGAATATGTATTTTGTGAACCAATGTTTAAGAAGCATCTCATATTTGAAACTTCAAAACTTTATCTTTTACATATGCCATGGTTAAACTTGCAAAACATTTTTTTCTAGAGATACCAGGGTAAAACTCGCTAACCTTTATGTTTTATAGATGCCATGTTAAACTTGCCAACCTTTCTCTTCTATAGATGCCATGTTGAACTTGCGAACCCTTATGTTCTAGATATGCAATGGTTAAACTTGCCAACCCCTTATGTTCTATAGATGCCATGGTTAAACTTGCCAATCCTTATGTTCTAAAGATGCCATGGTTAAACTTGCCAACCCTTATGTTCTATAGATGCCATGGTTAAACTTGCCAACCCCTTATGTTCTAGATATGCAATGGTTAAACTTGCCAACCCCTTATGTTCTATAGATGCCATGGTTAAACTTGCCAATCCTTATGTTCTATAGATGCCAGGGTTAAACTTGCCAATCCTTATGTTCTGTAGATGCCATGGTTAAACTTGCCAACCCTTAAGTTCTATAGATGCTAGGGTTAAACTTGCAAACCTTTATGTTCTATAGATGCCATGTTAAACTTGCAAACCCTTGTGTTCTATAGATGCCAGGGTTAAACTTGCCAACCCTTGTGTTCTATAGATGCCAGGGTTAAACTTGCCAACCCTTGTGTACTATAGATACCAGGGTTAAACTTGCCAACCCTTGTGTTCTATAGATGCCAGGGTTAAACTTGCCAACCCTTATGTTCTGTAGATGCCAGGGTTAAACTTGCCAACCTTTATGTTCTATAGATGCCTGGGATAAACCTACCAGCCAGTCAGGTCTCTTACTACCTGTTGACACTGCTTGTATGTGGTATTCTACATGAGGTGGGACATGCTGTGGCAGCTGTTAGGTAAGTATAGACTTCTGTTCTGTTTAGATAGCTACTGGCCAATCTCATTTACCTTTCTACAGCTTTCTCTCAAAAGTATTTTGACAGATAAAGTTAGGTTATCATATGTACAAGGATGAAAATAATTCTTTAATAACTAAATTCAATATTCATAAAACTACATTTTTATTGTGATTTACTGTATATAGATATAAGTTGGGACAGATTACCTGACATTATGTGATACCTGAGGTAGTTTTCATCTTGTTATGGCTGTAAAAACATTCTAATATGGGAAAGTAAATGATTTTATTGTGCCAGTTAGTTTGGTGGCTATGATGAAAATTAAGACATATTCTTTAACCGGTTTTAATATCAATCCGTGTGCAAATGCAAGATGTTATTTATAATGTATATTATTAGCATACAACTGAAAATTGTACCATCAGCTGATGAAATAAGACAATATCGCATGTGAAGGAAAATGATGTTTCAACACACAACTGGAAATGTACATATATAATAATAAATATGAAATTTATGTCAGTGCTATTTTGTTTTTCTACAGGGAACAGGTGCGTGTGAATGGGTTCGGTCTGTTTCTGCTGATTCTATACCCAGGTGCCTATGTTGACTTATACACTGACCACCTACAAGTTGTCTCCCCTATACGACAGCTCAGAATCTATTGTGCAGGGGTGTGGCATAACTTTGTGATTGTGATATTTTCTGTGATTATGTTGGTCCTTCTACCTTACCTGTGGATACCTATGTACACATCGGGCAATGCTGTTGCGGTCACCTATGTTACACAGGTATGTTGGGGCAGCAGCAATCTTCTGGAACAAAATCTACATGGATGTGGTTGCATTTTAGTTCATATGGTATATGTATTTGGTGATGTTAAGTAGATGCCATCACTTTTGAACTATACTTGAAGTGCACTCAAAATACACAATTTATTTTTATTTTTGAGTGTACAATTTTCATATAGACAAGATATGAAGAAATAAGGTTGATATTGTCACTCAAAATTTAGATATTTGTGTATTTTATAACATAATAGTCTCAGTTTTATAAACAAATGCACATCATAGGTTATACTTTAATTAACTTCCTAAACTGTTCAGAATTCAGCAGTGTCTGGTCCACGTGGCCTCAGTGTAGGGGATTCCATCACCAGCATTAGTGGCTGTCGTGTACGTAACCTTGATGACTGGACCAGCTGCATCAGTGTTAGCATGCGACAATCCTCTCTCGGACACTGCATGGCCATCGACCTTGTGAAAAGTCTAGACACGAAAGATCGAAGTAAGTTAAAAGTGAATTTGAAGATTTTTACTGAACAGAATCAGAAAATGTTATCAAAGTATTCCCTATGAGACCAGTTGAGATGACTTTTACAGAAACAATCCAAGGCTTCTACAGTATCCTACTGTCATTTAGATATAATTGCTGGTGTTCATTTGCCATTGTTTAATCTTATTTGTGTGGTGTAGAGGTGTCTGAGGCACTTGTTGTCTGGTTTGAAAATTTATCCTTTTGTCCACATTAACAGATTTCTACAGTGTGTGTGTTAACTAGTTAAATGGAGTGTATGTAAAACAAGAATTTGCTGGCAGTTTGTTTAAAACATCATAGTATATTTAGGGAAATTTATGTTGTATCTGTATTGAAAAAAAAATCATTATTCTTTAGAATATTTAGAAATGGAAAGCAAATTAAACAAAAGGTTGATAATTACTTCAATATCTTCTGATCACAAATTACATGCTGATGTTTGAGGATTATACGTTGTAATGTTTAATGTTTGACAGAATGATTGATCAATAAAACATATGCTTATTTTTACAGATTTATCCATTTCTGGAAAGTTAGAATCCCTTGACTGCTGTAACGGCACCAGCAATACTCACTTATGTTTTAGATTTCATGTCAAAACCTCCCCAGAAAATGTGAGTAGTTTTAGGTGTTTCATTCAAGGTGAAATATAATAGATATTTAAATTGATACAAAGAATATGGTTCAATCTCAGCAAATCAGTGCACTGTGTACTTTGTCTTAATCTCCAGGTATTGTATACATGTCAAAATTATTTAATCATTAGCTTAACAGATGTTTAAAAATATTCTGATGGATAAAATGAATTAATTTTTCATGTACATTATAAAGTCTCTCATTGACAATCAAAATCGTGATAAGTGAAATGTTATTATCTTTTTCTGAAATATTGCTAAAACATTTTGTATAATTATATTATACTGAGCCCATACATATATAGTTAATCTGAAAATATTCTGGCATGTAGCCATCTATGGAACAGGTATGTATAGAATGGGCCACTGTAGGGTATAGACATTGAGGAAGGGGTGTGAAGGACGTAAAACCTGTTCTGGTGTTGGTCTGTCTCTACCCTTACATCTTGTTATTTCTTATTCTTGTTAAATGTTTGTCAACTTATACAGTTTCATTTTATCAATTGTATAAGCAAATTAAGAAATTTTAATTGATTTAGAAACTAAAAAATGATATCATGAATGTCTGCTTAAACACTGTCTTATTTGCAGCTATTGGCCAAAATCCTTAAATATATTCAAGTTGGTACAGAGTGATAGAGTAATGGCTGTTTCTAGGTATCTGTAGTTCTTTCTAGTGTTCTCTTTAGTGAAGGAGCTTTACTAGAGACCATAAACTGCGCAATAGAACTATTTATATCTACACATTATTGTAGTAATAATGCATAAAATTCCTAATTATAATTTAGTGTCATTGATCAAGGTTAAAGGGTCAAATGTTGTACATAAATATTTGCCTTTTAGTTGCAGATGTAGACATATTTTGACAATAAATTGTGATATTCATTCGTCCAGAGTGCTGGGTGTGGCACTCTTGTCCCAGAGTTTTGGTTTGGCACTCTTTTGTCAAAGAATGTGACATTATTATGCCCCTGCCATTTATGGCCGGGGGCATATAGCGTTGCCCATGTCCGTCCGTCGCGTCCCATCCCGTCGCGTCCCGTCACGTCGCATCCCAAATCAGTATATACCACCTAACAACTTCATTCAGAAGGCAATTTTCATAAAACTTCATACAAATATCAAGTATGGAAAGACCTCATGCAGTGTTGAATTTCTCGGCATTCTAAAAAAAGATGGCCACCAGGGGAGATAACTCAAAAAAGAGGAACATCATCTTATTTCTACATAATTTGGTACTTGTGGGTTTTAAGGCATAAGGAACTAATATACTCCCTCATTTTTTCCAGAGAACAAAATTCCAAATTCATGTACGTTAAATCAACTTGTCAATTTAAGTATGAAACTTAAGTTGTACATATTTGCATACAAATAAACAAAATCATCTCTTTCGGACCTTTCACTATTATTTCACATGGGGGGGGAGGGAGGGGGGGCATTCATATCTTACATTTTCTAGTTTTTTCAGAGGTTGTTTGATATGATATTAATTATCACAGTGTGTTAACTGTAACATTCTTTTGTCACTGGGTGTGTTGAGTGGAACATTCTGTTGTCACTGAGTGTGTTGAGTGGAACGTTCTGTAGTTGCAGGTGTAAATATGACATTCCTTTGTCACTTTGTGTGTTGGGTGTAACATTATTATATCAAGGAGTGTGTGTTGGGTGTGAGGTTATCGTGTCATTTTGTGTTGAATGTAACATTATTATATCACAGAGTGTGTTGGATGTGAGGTTATCTTGTCACTGAGTGTGTTGTGTGTAACATTATTATATCACAGAGTGTGTTGGATGTGAGGTTATCTTGTCACTGATGTGTTGTGAAACATTATACAGACATGTTTCTAGTTTTTTCAGAGTGTTGTGATATCAATTATCACAGTGTATCACAGAGTGTGTTGGATGTGAGGTTATCTTGTCACTGAGTGTGTTGTGTAACTGGTGTGTGTTGAGTGTCACTGAACATTCTGTGTGTCACTGAGTGTGTTGTGTGTAACATTATTATATCACAGAGTGTGTTGGAGTTGCAGGTGTAAATATGACATTCCTTTGTCACTTTGTGTGTTGGGTGTAACATTATTATATCACAGGAGTGTGTGTTGGGTGTGAGGTTATCGTGTCATTTTGTGTTGTGTGTAACATTATTATATCACAGAGTGTGATGGATGTGAGGTTATCTTGTCACTGAGTGTGTTGTGTGTAACATTATTATATCACAGAGTGTGTTGGATGTGAGGTTATCTTGTCACTGAATGTGTTGGATGTGAAGCTATTTTGTCACTGAGTGTGTTGTGAAACATTATTATATCACAGAGTGTGTTGGATGTGAGGTTATCTTGTCACTGAGTGTGTTGTGAAACATTATTATATCACAGAGTGTGTTGGATGTGAGGTTATCTTGTCACTGAATGTGTTGGATGTGAGGCTATCTTGTCACTGAGTGTGTTGTGTGTAACATTATTATATCACAGAGTGTGTTGGATGTGAGGTTATCTTGTCACTGAGTGTGTTGTGTAACATTATTATAACACAGAGTGTGTTGGATGTGAGGCTATCTTGTCACTGAGTGTGTTGTGTGTAACATTATTATATCACAGAGTGTGTTGGATGTGAGGTTATCTTGTCACTGAGTGTGTTGTGTGTAACATTATTATATCACAGAGTGTGTTGGATGTGAGGTTATCTTGTCACTGAATGTGTTGGATGTGAGGCTATCTTGTCACTGAGTGTGTTGTGTGTAACATTATGTGTTATCACAGAGTGTGATGGATGTGAGGTTATCTTGTCACTGAGTGTGTTGTGTAACATTATTATAACACAGAGTGTGTTGGATGTGAGGCTATCTTGTCACAGAGTGTGTTGGATGTGAGGCTATCTTGTCACTGAGTGTGTTGTGTAACATTATTATATCACAGAGTGTGTTGGATGTGAGGTTATCTTGTCACAGAGTGTGATGGATGCGAGGTTATCTTGTCACTTTACATTGAATGTGACCTTCTTTAATTGAAGAGTATTGAGTGTGACATCCTTCTTTCACAATGTGTTGAGTGTAACATTTTTCTTTGTCATGAGATATTGAACATGATATTCTTTTGTTACAGATTATTTGATATGGTGTTCTTCTGTTAAACGTTGTTTGGTATTTGCTCCTTAAACAGTATTTTTAAGTTTATTTCTGTAGCAAGGTTTTGTTAGATCATCTGACCTTTCGGGTCAACATTACCTATAAAACATCATGTTTTGTCTGTCATTGCCCACCATTCACCATCCATCATCAAGTAAACTTTAACTTAAAAATGCTTTTCCTCTCATGTGCCCAAACAGATTTTACCAGATTTGGCCTTAAACATCACTAGGGGAGGGAAATCATAATTTGTTTTGGTGAAGTTGATTCAACCCCTTGGCAAATTTGGGTTGGGGTGTCAGTAGGGAAATTCAGCTAAAATTTTGCTGCTTAATGCTACTTCTCCTTAATGCCTGAATGGATTTCAACCATATTTTGTCTAAACATGTCTTGGAAAGGGAAATTATAAGTTTTGTAAATGAAGTTGGTTAAACCTTCTGGTGACTTGGGGATGGGGTGCAAAAGGAGAATTTCTTAAATTTTGCTATAAACTGCTATTTCTCCTTTATGACCAAGTAGATTTCATCAAAATTTTGTCTGAAATGTCAATAGGATAGGGCAATCATAATATATGTAACTGAAAGTATTGTGGGCCTTAGAAGTCAAGGAGTGAGGCCTTGAGGAAAGCTGAGCAATTAGGCTCTTCTGATGTGCCTGGAAAGATATGCCTCCAACATTACTGGGAGAGGACAACCATAGTTTACATAAATGAAGGTATCACCACCCATATGGGCCAGGAGTCAAGGCCTTTTGGGGGAAATTTAGGAATGAGGCTTTAAAGGTCTTTTCCTCTGATGTTCTATGTATTTTGGTCTGATGACTGTTGTGGCCCATTTGCCTCTTGTTGTTTACATTCCCCTGCATGGTTGTGGTAAAGGACCCAATAAGTTAGATTATGACGGAATATTATGTTAGTTGCTTTATCAGAATGTCTTACAATTATAGAAATCTGTCTTAGCTGATGTTATTGCTGATCTGATATTACAATACATATGCATTAAGAATTAAATAAATGCATGAAGTCATTCTTAACTCAGGATTTACAATGTATACCATGACTTCAGCTTTTGGATACCTTTTCATCTATCATTTGTTGTTTTATTTTTCTTTAGAAATATGCATGCTTACCTGCAAGATCAACAACAGATCGGCCAATGTGTAAGTTTCAGAGTGACTGCTATATCCCCAGTGTAGATATGGTATGTGTTTACCCAGCCGTAGACAACCATACACGACTACTTCAAGTACACCACAGCAGGAAGCCTCCCCTTCTCTTCCTAGGACATCCCCTCGATCTACACTACTCAGGTAATGTATATTTACTCCCCTCGATCTACACTACTCAGGTAAAGTATATTAACTCTGGTAAATTAAACTTTTACATCTTGCCTTAAAGCCAATCAGTTAAAGACAAACATGATACAAAGTACAACATTAGTGTACATAGCATATACAAAGAATGAGATTCATCATTGTCATCATTATCATCATCATCATTGAGTATTCAAACGTAAAATATACAAGAAAGATATTCAAACTTAAAATATGCACATTTTACAAACTTGAAATATACAGGTTAGATGTTTTGGCTTACAATACACAGGTAGAATATTTAAACTTACAATACATGTCTGGAAATTTTCTCAAAATTCTGAATATTTCTGATATTTTATATGGTGATGCACTGTGATATATTAATATACAGTAGAATCATTTTGTTTCAATCTAACATTTTCATATTGTTAGCAGGAAAGCCAAGATAAAATCTTATCACTTTCTTTTTCTTTTAACATTCTTGTCATGCCAACTGAAATATGTTATAAAAGGATGTCGATCAAGTGAAGTATTAGTATGGGATACATAGCAGTGACCAACATGTTGGCTCAGTGTTATAACTTGTTTCCATTTTGGATTAATTGTGACAGAAAAAGTACTTTTTTTTTGTTTCAAAGATGCACACTGAAGAGAAATATAAAAATATATATATTAACTTGTAGGCTTATTACAGTAAAAAATAGTCAAGTGATTTCTTCTTCATGTGGTATAATTTCAATTTCAGTGAGTCTGTCAAATTTTGTACCAAGGTTTTCCTTTGTCCCAGCTGGATTTCCTGATGTGGTGGAGACTTTCAGCAAGTATCCTTTATATTGGAAGATGATAAAAAAGTTGTCAATGAGACAACAAACAATATTTTGATGGATTTTGGCAATATAAAATGTTAAGCTTCAGGAATGTAGACATAATTGTTCCCAATGTGATTACATATAGAGTGCTGAAAGCAAGGAAAGGCTTCAGAATTTTATTGAAGTCAAACTTCTATGAAGCAAACTTCAATGATTCAAATTTCTCAATGTATTGAAGTTTTTATCAAGTCCCAAATTTTTATTCCTATATAGTACTACTAACTTACCCCGTTATGAATCAAAGTTTAATAAATCACAGTTTTTGATGTATTGAACTTTTTCACGGACCGAAGCTATAATGACATAGTCACCTCATGATTCGAACAAAACATATACTTGCATTCTACAATGATAATGTTAATTTAACAGCCTGCTGAGGGTACTAGGAATAATTTTAATTTTGACCAGTTTGAAAACAATTAATTAAAAGTCTTTTAATCTGTGATTTCCTTAACCTATATTTGAGATATTTGATATCATTGTCCGGAGCCCTTGTCATCCTCAACGTAGTGCCATGTTACGCCCTGGATGGTCAATGGATCTGTAGTGCCTTTATCGAACTGAGTCTGCGCTCCACCGTTCCAGACAGGGACACCAGAGGCATTATATTTACTGTGATACTTCTTTATGGCACAGGACTTCTTTTTGTCAACGTCGTCATAGCCATGTGGACACTTTTCACCTAATTGCATCATCACACTTGCACTGGTTCTACAATCAGAACTGGATTGATCTCCTAACACACTAGTTGCAATTTCCCTACCCACAGGACAGTTAATCATCATCACTTTACAGGGTATTCTTATCACCTGTGAGTATCTTCAAACAAGTGATTGAAACATTTATATACATTTCAACATAATAAAATCATTGATCTACAATCCATAGAAATGTCAAATTGTCCTGCTTTCTCAAATAAGTTTGTGTTAGCTATAAAGATGAAGTACAATTTATATTTAAAGACTTGCCTAGGTATGACAGAAAATGCTGTTTGACTGTCTGTCAATGGTTTTTTTTCCTACAAGAAACTTTCCTTACTCTTTCACTAATGTGCTATTTATTATACACTATTGACACTAATGGTAAAATGTACATTTTTGTTAGATGTGTAAATATTGATGATGAAAGCTAGGTCAGTCGATAAATATGTTACGTATTGTGACATGAAAATGACATTCTACAGTAACCAGTTTCAATGATGGATTTTGACATTTTAAGATTTTTTTTACTCAAGAACCCCAAAAAGGATCTTGAATCTTGCACAGTGTTTCTTCTGGTTGTGCATGTTATTTTGAGCGGTATTTGAATATTCAAGATGGCCACCAGAGGCCATTTTGAGCAATCATTTCAACAGGGAATAAAAATCACTGAAAATATCTTATGTTTGTATACATAAACACCATTTCATTGACTTTCACAGAATTTAATCACTGTTAAGTAGCTTAATTGGGAACAATTGTAAATATTGACCTCACGACAACTATACGGTATATATCGATGATGGTGGTACAGTTTGAACTTAGTGTGATGATAATGAGCCAAGGGGCAACAACCAATACAGCTATTTATCTCCAGAATACACATTACACATATCCATGACACAGTGTGAAAAAGGGAGGTGTTCACAGTGGTTTGTTGTGATTTGAGGGACCAATATGGATTGTGATATTTAACGCACCTTTTCCAGATAGTATAGAATGTAAAGAATCAGGGGAGTTTGTTATCGTTCTTTATTGTACATTTATGTGTTGGATATATCTGTCAAGATATATGATGAACTTGTGATGTCATAAGTGCCTTACATCTTTATTTATGTAGGAGGTATAGAAGTTCTAGTTGTATTGATTAGAATGAGATTCATCAGTTTGGTATAGATATATTTAGAGGTGGTTGCCACTGAAGATTGTTACATAACAACTGAAGGAATTCCTTTTCACATCAAACTTGTCAGACTGACATGATAACATGCAAATTAGTTGACTATATTTAGCATTCGAATCATATAATGCTTTGCACATAACACACAAATTTGATATCAAAACATCCTGAGTCACCCACGTTGTGCTGGATTCTTGGTCAGTACTGTAAGCTTGCTGAGTATCATAATGTAGTTTCACTAAAGTGTAAAATTCCGATGTGTTTAAATATTTATTAGAAAGTTGGTGATCACATTGAAGAAGACAATTATCTTAAACACAAACAGCACTTTTTTTTTCTTATTATCTCTTTGCTTGATAAAGGAAACAGACGTTTTTGAAACCTCAGAAGAAGATGTATTTTTCAATTCCTGTTTCTGCTTGAAATAAACATCTTAAATGAAAAGTAGTTGTATTTTGTGTAAGTGCATCAGATTGTTCTTTCAGAAGCCTGTTACTTGTAAAGATTATGAAATACTATCGTGACATTAAGTTATTCAGCCTTCCCTTGGGATGGAAACATGTATCATCTGCTTCTATAACGTTTTGTTATAAATGGAACTTCATCATTGATTATTAAGTGACTTTAGCAAACTAACCATTTTCAGGTTAAAGCTGTTTTAACAGTGCCGACAGAACTGTACTCTTTATTTTTGTTAAGTCATTGTACATGTACCTTTGTTTGAAAATGAGAGGTGCAATAGGTATAAAATGTTCAGTGAAATCTTCTCTTGGCTCATTCAAAATGTCTTGAATGGAATTTTTTTTTTTAATGTTTTCTTCACACCAATAAGTATGCAATGTCAGTTATTTGATTTGAAATTACCATCATGTACTAAGTCTGTGAAATGAACTATCTCTTACATCAAGGTATAGAAACCTATAGACATCTAAAGGCAGCTTAGGTATCATGATCAGTTTTTGTATTGAGTACATTTTTATAGTATTTTGGTATTCTGTCACAAATAATCGTTCTGAAAACGGATTATTGTAGTATAAGAGTGTAATTGTTACCCATAAAAGAGAAATCTTTGTAATATTATGTGATTGATATTTCTATGATTGTATGGTTTTCATGTTGTCGTTAATGCTTTATATTCTTCAAACTTCTTGTTTTAGTTTGGGATACAATGTGTGGTGATTGTACATGCATTCAGGTTAGATAAAAGGTAAAAGTATCTATTTAACACATTAAAAATGTTACCACATTTTATTTATAGACAACTATGAGATTCTCTATATATGTAAGTTATTTTAAAGGAAATTAATTTGTATTATTTTGGATGGTGTATTATTTAATGAATTTAAAATTTGAGCTGTTTTAAATTCTTGTTATATATTACCATGGTTATATGATTATCTGATCTTTGTTGCTATGGTTATTCTGACATCATATGGAGCATTAAACAAGCACTAGGTTGTAGTACTGGCAATTAATTTATCATGTATCGAAATTCAGCAACATCTCCTCACAGTAATACCTGGAGGAACATTTCTGTAAAATGTTAAGATATTTGTAATAAACAAATTGGAATAATATATTCAAAAGATTCCATTCTTTATTTTAATTTCATCCATTGAATTATAACAATGTGTTTTATATTAGAGAGGAATAATATATTCAATTCCTTGTTACCCCGTCCTGTTTTCTTCTCAGCTTCATGTTTTCTGTTTGCCTTATTTTATATTCATCATTCTCACAATATTTAAAGTCGTTACTACATCTTTTTAAAAAATCATAACTACTACAAATTTGAAGATTATGCAATATAAGTAATTTTATTAATTTTTTTTTATTTCAGTTTTATACATTGCAAATTTAGAAGGTACTAGTACTAGAAATGATTTTTTCCCATGACTGGTATGTTTATTGAGTCTTTGAGATTTTTTGTGGTAGATTATTTCAGGCAATGTCAAATTCTGAGGCTGGAAATTTGTTTATACAGTGTATCACATCTCTGGAAATTGAGGTCACACTACAGCATTATGATGGGAATAGTACTTATATTTCCAAAGATTGGTTTTTTACTTAAAGAAAAATTCTTACTTTTTAGCCTAATGGGTTTGTTTTTTGTACAGAAATTTTCATTGTTTTTGCAGCTATAGAGAAATCACAACCATTCGATGCAATAAGATTTCAGACATTGAAGGATTGTTGTATCTGCATTTTTTAACATTAAAACCAGGGAAAAAAACATGTAAACATTTCATGTTTTACAACAATACATGTTAGTTAAATTGTTCTCATTTAGAAGGTATTTCTTTCAAAGATGTGATTTGCACTTACAATGTAATCTTCACCTGATTGGCCATTACAGAAATAAGTTGATTGTGTGAATGATGTTATGAATGATTACACAAAATGAAAGCGATACCAGAATATTTAAAAGTATTTCAGTAGAAAGGAGTGAATTTACGAATGTCAAATTATAACTAAGTTATATAAAAAGTGTATTGAGTGTGAGTGTATTATTTGATGTGTGGTGTTCTGGTATGAACTGTTATAATATCCAGGTGTGGCAAATTATGTAAGCAGAGAATGTGATCATGTTATTGAGAATGAGATATCTGCCATGCACATTGATCCACATAAAAATGTTTTTTGGGTTTTAAATCAGGTTGATATGATGTATGTTAACATGTTTGTGCATTTTTAAATGTATTTCTTCAAGGGTAAATCTTTGGAGGGATAGGGGGAATAAAACTGCAGGGCCCAGCGCATTATTTCGTAGGCTGGTTTTACATGAAACTGGGTCTAGTATATACATAATTAGTTGTCTTACAAAGAGTAGCTAAAATAACCTCATTAAATAATGATGTCCCTTTAGTCATTTAATCATGATGGAATTTCACGTCAATCTTTCTAAGTATTGAAAATATGTTTACATTGCAGTTATTTCAGGAGTTCATAAGTCATTTATATTGTTATCTTATGTACCCATGTACATGTATGTATACCAAAATAATATCTTTTGGCTAAAAAAGAAATTTTAGAAGTTAATTTTTTTGTTCTCATCCTGGGACACTTACAGAAAGCCAACCTCATGATTAGAAGGTCATTGTTTTTCTTGAAAAATTGGTACAACAACAATCTTGTTATTTACGATCTAGTATGTTTGTCATGAATCAAGATATTTACAAATGACTGACAATGTTTATTTGATATCAAATGTGTGTATTACACCTTATAGTCCCTGTAGAATCTTTATAAAGTGTCTGTTACATGGTCGGATATAAAAAGACCATCTAAAAAGTGCTCTATGTCATCCTTGTCCATAAATGTAAACTATATTAGTTTACTGTTTAGTTTGCAAATTTGAAACTTATGTACAGGTAGTGACAACAGCATATGTATTTTGTTCACAAAAAGACAGTATTGTTCAGGTATGTCTTGTTGGTCTTTCACAATTGTCCATGCTTGTGTAAAGAAGCTTAAAAAATAATTTTATCCATCTTTACATATGTTCTGTGTCTGGCCTGATTTCAATACTGTTTTTTTATAATAATACATGAGCATGTGTGGTGCGATTGTCAGGTTTTCAATGTAATATGAAGTATGTTGCTTGTTTGTTGGACCTACAATATTAATTTTATTTGGGATATTGGTTATAAGTAAAATTGCAATAAATTCAAATTTGAAATTTGATGAATAAACAACTTTTGAAAATAAATTAGGTTTTCTAATGCTTTTGTATCTCCGGAAATGCTAACAAAATTAGCCAAGTCCGGATTAACCACCAGTGTCACTAATGCAATGGTTTATTACAGAAAACTGATTTACAGATAATTATTTTTCCATTTGGCCTAGTTTCTTTAAATGATACTTATGTATTTTGTCCTTGCTGAAAAGTGCTGGTTTTGGATGTATCTTCATGCTGGAAGATCACATATATTGATCATATAAATAGAAAATAGGTTTCTCAAGGAATGACCTGCAGAATTTTCTCAAAATCTTGTGTTGTGTATGGATTATCTCCCTTCTCTTTAGGAATGGGTGACCAGAATACGGATAAAGTCACATCTTTAGCCACTAACACAATTCCACAATGTCATGCCATTACTATATTTCAAGCATTTTCCTTGCTTTTCAGTTAGCTTTAACTGCATAATGTATTAGAGCAATACGGCACATCACTGACACAAGGAGGACATGCATATGAAATTTGGGAAAGACCCAGCATATATTCTTCAGAAATTATGACAACAAATGACTGAAAAACGAAGAGTTTTGTTTTTCTGGTCAGTATGCCCAACAAGGACCTAGACAAACCTATGTGTGAAATTTGAAAACGGTCCATCCAGAACTTCTCCCGCAACAGTGATAAATGAACCTTGTAACAATAATGGTGCACCATCTGATGATGATGGGCTAAAATTTTATCTATGCGAAGAGAGTGCAAAAAACAATGAAAACAACAAAAAAGAATAACACAAAATTTATCTAAAAATACTTTTATTTGATTCTACAGTCAACCACCTGCAGAAATGCATTGCACTACACAGTCTTCCTGAATCAAGGTAGATAACTCCAAACTACAAAATGACAAGCACTTAGTGTTTACATACATACAGAAAAATGGTCACACACAGACAGAACATTTACATATCTACACTTGTCAATCTGAATGTCAAATAAATCCTTAAAATTTCTTAAGGTTTTTAAACTTTAAAAGTAACATGAATTTTTGATCTCGCATGTCAATATTACATACATATAGAAGGTCAACTGGAAAAAAGTACTTATTATATATTTAAAACATTAATAAAATTAAAAATTCAATTAAATGTTGGCATTTTTTCATCATGATTTTGATTTGTTAGCATGAAGACATGTGATTTAGTTTATATTAGTCATTTAACACTTACTTATAAGGAATGTACTTACACATCTAGTAATGTCAAATGATCATAAATACCACAAGATAGGCCTATATATATTTAATCATTCTATCAACCCATATACATATGCCTTTTAAGTTGACAAATGAAGATGTGAATGTCATATATATATGTTGTCTGTTCACAGAGAAACATGGTATAAAATGAAAACCTTTGGATTCGAATGTAGACTACGATAAGAAAGTATGAATCAATGATTTGATAAATGCCCATGAGAATGTGATTTTTAAGCACATAAATTAGAATGAGATATGTTTTATAATAGTATGATACATTTGTTAAAACTAAATTTGTATGCAAGTTGTTTTGATATATTACACCAAAATATTGATCAATAATGCTAACATTGAAAATTAACAAGGGTCTGTCTTTGATCAAAATATTGATTTTACATAGATGCAGATATTTAAAAACATGTATAAGGACATGTTGAAGATATGGATTTATGTGTAAACATGACTTGTAGGAATAAAATTATATATATAAACATCCTACAATATATACAGCAATGAGGTGTATATTATGTACAAATTACATGTTATAATTAATTGTATAAAAAGGATATAAAAATTTTTGATGCAGACTATGAAATAATTGATTACAAATAATTTAATGTACAGTTTAGCTAACACAAATTATATACATAAAAAAGGAAAAACATAAAAATTATACATGGAATGATATATGATATTGTACGATATACACACATACCGTCAATGGAAAGTTCTGTATGACATTCTTAAATATTAACATAAAATTTATGCATTTTTCATTTCATATTCTTAAGAATTTCTATTAAAATACATCAGAAATCATTCAAAATCATAATCAAAGAAAAAAGCAAATCAAAATCTTAAAAAAGAGGTCATAAATTATTGAATACATTTTAAAATGCTGCCTTCTGGAAATTGCAAATAAAACATTCTCAAACACAGAAAAGTACACAGCTGTTTTAAATAGCACAGTTAACATCAATATATAGTTGAAATTCAAAAGTGACTGGATTCATGTGCATAGGATGCTTGGAACATTGATAAAATTCCACACATGGTGAAATTCTGAACATAAATGATATGTTGCATAAATAAGTGTAAGAAACATTCTTCAGTGATACAGCGTAGTACAATAATGTGTTATGAAAGTAGTACAAACATAGTTTCTATCGGATTTACAATCATGCTTGAGAATAATCTCTCTTACAATAAGTACCAAATTTAAATATGGACTTTTAATGATTTTTTTTCCTTTTTTTTTATAAGAAATGCTTATGTACAATGTATCTATAGATCAATTTTGTCATTTGCATGAAAAACCCATCAATAATCTAATGATCATATTCCAGATTTGTGATCCACAAAGATTATATTGATGAACCATATCTTCTTTTTTATATCAAATCATCATGTAAATCACAGAACATACATAATGCACTCCCTTCCTAAAACGAAACCGAAAGTAAGGAAGAAAGCCATATTCTGTAGTTCTAGTACGAATTAAGCCATTTGATATGTACCTTCCCAAAAATGTGTGCACAATAAAAAATTCATTGTACTAACTGAACAAATATTTTCACCCTTAGAATGGAAGAATGGCATTTCCTAATTTATAATCAAATTTCTACAGAACGATTTGAATACAGAAGAAGTTATAACTGTAAATTATGTGCATTTATATTTTCCTAAATGAGTTTATGATATCATGACAATCAATGAACATGGCACTTATTGACAAATGAAATCTTTTGAACTACAAGGGTGAAATACAGGAAGTTTGATGTTAGACATTGGCAATTAATATATGTCCCAGGTTTAATGTCATGGAGGAGCTCACTCCAGACAGATGAAGGTAATTATTTGGCCACAAGTTCATGCTGCTTCATGAAATCTAGTACAAAATAAAATAATGTTTCTAAATACTTCATATTTAATATTAAAAAAAATTATTTTGTTTCATCTGTCATGTAATGGATTATAAACTTTCTATACAAAAATCACTGGTATTTTTATTTAGGCAGAGCTATGGCAAAGCTTCAAGATCATATTCTATAAGTGTAAACCAATCATAAGTGCTGCTTCCTATTTTGGATGAAAACATTTAAAGTACCAGGTGATTCAGATGAGCTAACATGCCTCTGTGAACAATTTTATAGTCTTATAGACTCATTATTATTAAAATTTCTGATGTGATAGACTACTGGAATCGGGGAAGAAACAAAATTTCTGTTTAATTTCTTTTTACATGAATTAGTTCATCATGAACACAACTGTAGCACTCATGGCATGGATATAAAATACATTTTTTTTGTTTTTAGATAGTTTGATGATTTTCATCTCAAGACACAAAATGTCCCTGATATCTGATACACATTTTTCAAAACCCACAACGATAACATTGTCATGTTCGGATAAAAGTGATCAAAGCTATGTGTTGAATTTTACCCTATGAGATGGCCACTGAAATTAACAAGACAGTAACTGAATAAGACTGACGTTTCCAGTTATTACAGCCATGGAATTAAAAATTGACACATTGTAGATAGATGTTCCAATGACATTGTCACGAACTACAATTTTGATAAAACTGTTGTCATTTCCGCAGAAATTCTTGACCAATCATAAAAACAAAATCAACATATTTAAAGCAGTAAACTGACAGTAAACTATTTAATGCTGTAAAACACACAACCATACATACACTCTCATACTCAGCCACATTGTATACTGACACAGATATCCTCCACAGCTCCTGTCACACCATAGTAAACCTATAATCATCTTCTATTACAGCTGGAGAGGAATTTTTACTACCTGATTTTTGTTTCACAAAATTTTTCACATTACTGAAGAGTGATGAAGAACTTTTCTCGTTGGCATTTGAACCTATTGGCCGTCCATTACTCAATGCATTCACTTTAGGTTTACTGTTTCCATAAAAACTGTCACCGCCATAAAATGACATTTCACCAGAGGAGTCAGCCACTTTGAGTGAGCCCATCGAGGGGTCTCGGAGAGAGTCCATAGAACCTGTAATGTCTTCTTTGTCCTCAAAGATAGGATCAAACCTGATGTAGGTCGATGATGTGCTGTGACGATTTTTGTTTGTCTTGTGTGAGCTTCCACTTTCCATACTAGACAGCACTGAAATGGGATCAACATCCCCCTTTTTGGTGGAACGTCTAAGTTTGACTTGTACACTACTGGTGGATTCAGAAGGTTTGAGTGACTTAGATGACCCAGCAATACCCTTCACCTGATCTACATCAGTGATTCCCATTCTTCTCATGTCACGACCCCCAGCGGGTACGGAGTGAACACCACTCAAGGGGTTATCAGGGATCAAAGAGTCCATCTCTTTCATAGCCACTCTGTAGGAGGAATTCCTTCCGGTTTGGTCCTCAGACACAACACCATGCGTATTCCTGACAGCATATCTGTAGGAATCTGTTCTATTGAAGTCCTCGGGATCTGTTTGGGGCATAAAGTACTCAGCAGGAAGTTGGGAAGTGGTTCCTTTTTTATATGAACTTTGAGTTAATACTTGACTAGCATTATTATGACCACTTGGATGAGAAGATTGAGACAGTACAGGACTTGGCCTGATCCTTTGAGAGTTCTGTAAGGAAGGACAACTCTTACTCTCCTTCATTGCCACCCTGTAAGAACTGTTCCTACTTGGGTTCACCATTGCAACACGATAAGAATCATTACGACTGTTAACATTACTGCTGGAGTCCGAATCTGAACCACTGTGCAGAACACTACAAGATGATGCTGTCCCTGCACTGGACCTCCTCACTGATGCATTCTGACGAGGTCGCCCAGGACGCGTACTTAAAGATTCTGATGAACTTGTGTCCTTAGCAGCATATTTTGTCATGTCTGATGGGAATGAACGTGACGATGACATTGTATTTTTCTGAAGGTACGGAGTGGATACAGACTTCCTATCACTTTTCTGTGCTAATGGATGATAGTTTTCTGGTTTTTTCATTGCATTATTTTGATAGTGATTTGTTTGTGGGCTACGACGTGATTTTGAAGGTGAGGATTGTAATTTGTAACTATATGGCTGTTGCTGTGTGCCAGACTTCCTGGGTTGATCTAGAGGAACCCTTGCTGGGAGTGCTGGTTGCTGTGGAGAAACAGTCCGGTTTTTGCGTTGAGTATATTGCTGTGTAAGTGGAGCCTGATTGTGACGAGGTGGTTGGAAGCGATTTGATGTATGTGGGGTGGAGGACAGGGGAGGTTGAGGAGGACCTGAAAATGTACTGAATGACCTCTCATTTTCACTTCCACCAAATGATGAGAAGGAATTAGTAGATATAGCCACAGTTTCCATTGTAGTGCTTAGGTTTGATTCATCAATACTTATAAAGCCCTTGTCTCTACTTGGTTGTTCTAGTAATGAGTCCATTGAACCTGTGGGTGTTGTTACCATAGGAACATCCAAATTAGAAAGATTTGGTGAACTGCATGGACTTGCCATGCTTACATAACTTCCTGTAAAATTGAAAGACTCCTCTGACTCCAATGACAGCACACTCCCCAGTTGAGCTCCCAGAGAACTTTTGACCTGACCATCCTGACTATTGGTAGAGTGGATACTGTTCATTTCTAGGTAGCCTGAATCAGCAGCATTGACCAAGTCTGTCTTGGGACTCCCAGACTTTACAGGACTAACAGCATACAAGTTTCCACTTCCTGAGAATGTGCTTGGTGACTGCGTGGCCACAGGAGAGGCCGCATATGGGCTGATTTGGTTGCCTGGTGGCATATCATTTGCCTGATTTAGTTTAACATAGGCTCCTCTCTTTTCAGAAGTCTGACCTGACCTCTGACCTGGCTTTACCACAATGACTGGTTGATATTTCATTGGTAAACCAGCTTTATTTTCACATTTCTCAGGTGTAATTGGAACTGCCAATTTATATGTTGCAGAATCTGGTGAAATTGGAGAGTTCTGCTTATTCAGCTTTCTGTTTCCCTCCTCAGAAGATGCAGGGGAGCAGGGGAGTGGCATCTGGACAGCTTGCGGGGTACCAGGGTTAAACATGTTGATCACAGGTGAGAAATTCAAGGATTTGTTTGGCTTCGGGCCACTGAGAGAGCGGTCACTGTTTTTAAGTATACCAGACACAGGTGTTTGGGAATTGTCATTTTTCTTGTGAGATCTTGGCCATGACTTTGTGTAGTCAAAACTATCCTCCTCCTTCCCTGAATGGTGTACTCTTGGGAGAGTTTGACTCTCAATTTCTATTTCACTTTGGTCTAGTAATGTATCATCAGTGTAATTAAAAGTTGCATCAAATTTACTACTGCTGTCAAATGATGAAACAGAGAATATTGAAGAATCACTTGTTAGCTCTGTCACTTTACTTAGATTTTGATTCATGTCTACAATCTGTGCCTGACCAGTACCTATGCTGAATTTATCATCACTTTCCACTGATCCTCCAGACTGCCTTTTGAAAGCCCCTTCTTCATCACTGGACAAGGGGCAAATGGATGGGATTCCACTTGAGGATATTTGTGTCTTAGATTTAAGACGCATGTAGATGCTCTCTTGGTCTGACTCAGACATTGAGGACGAATCTTGTCTAGAAATAATATCCGGTGACTGTTGAGGATTGTCTTCAGCACTGGAGCTCAGACGAGGACATGAGCTTGTCCTTGGAGGTGGGGCAGGAGGATTAACTTTGCTCAGCACTTTGCTACCATTTTGGGAGGCCCCACGTTTTAATCCAGCATACTTATCACTGTCTGATGTGTTGATTACACTCTCAAAGCTAGTGACACTTTGTGTGTCTCGTGTTGGGGATGACAATTCCTCATCCACAAGTGTCCCACAACTTCGCCTCAGTCCACTGTCATTGTGGAAAGAAGTGTAAAATCCTTCCTGATCAACAGAATACACTGACTCATCATCATCCAGAAAAAATGCTGCTGGTTTCCGTTTAGATGGTGACATCATGAGATCAAGTGCCATGATATTCTGTTTCGTTAACCTGGTCAAAGAATTGAGAGTTTCGGCACTACTGGATGATGTTTCCTCACGACTGGCTGCCCTCTTTGCCAGACTCTGCAACCACTTGTCTGTTTCTCCTTTCTGGTCCTTCAGGTAGCTCTTGTCACTAACTGTACTAGCTCCATCTCCTGCATACCCACCAGTGGTGTCAGTGTCACATCGGGATCTGGAAATAACAAGTGAAATTATTACAGCTATGTCAGAACCCTGAAGACTTAGTTTACATACACCAGTATAAACATCTCCATCAGGATTCATCATCACATGAGCCAATTCATACATTTTAACCTTTTTCATAATTTTGCACATAAAGTAAACATGTGGGAGGGCTCATATTGGTGTCATATACACTGAGGTGTAAATTAAGTACTCTATATAGCAATGAAAAAGGAACTTTTTTATTTGTCACATTCATGATACTCCATGATATTTCATATCTTTTAGATTTCAGGGAAAGTTTAATGCTATCTAACCTGAACATTCTCATTGGTGTAATGAATAACATCCTAATGTAGGCATGCATCACACAGCTCCATTAAAGTCCAATGTAATGTATTACACTTAAAACATCTTTACCAGTCTACTATCAGAGCTGTCTGCTTTATAAAGATTACGAGCATCAGGCATGTTTTTTCGTGTCAGGAATACATACATAAAAGGTCATAGGGTTAATAGCAATGAACTACAATGAGAATAAGTTAACACACAATTTGTCTGACATTAGGAACAAAGCCTTCATGACAAGAAAATCTTGCTTACTGATAGTTATCATGATTTAACTGAAAACATCATCACAACTTTCAAACGTCTGACAGAGAAGGTATGAATGCCTTTAAGTCCCGATTTAACCAACCAAGCATGCTGGAGTCATTCAACACTATCCATTTCAAAATACCACATACTAACCTCAACACTTTTGTTTTGAAACAGCCCTCTTCTTCCATGAAACAGATTGTGATCTGAGATTTCTTACTATATTTACAAGCTACTTATCACTGTCTTCTAGAATTTAAACAGCCAAGATCTAACCCACAACAAAATCTAAGATCATCTTCAAAGAATCTTCTTGTAACTGGTGCTTATAAGGTGTGAGGTTGTATATATATAATGTGCCCCCTGTAAGGACGATATGACGAGAAACATAAGATGCGTTGTCCAGAGCTGTAGGGCAGTGTACTGCGAGATATTTGTGGTTAGAATAGGTAACAGTATGCCCAGAATACTTCATTCCTATCATTCATAGGTTTCAAACCTTTGTACTACAGGTACATAATATCCGAGTAGAGATTTTCATATATCCTATCTTTATTATTTTATAAGGTGTATGACCAGGGTACATTAGATGTACTGTGGGTCAGTCACTTAACCATTATGTGTAGCACTTGACCGCTACCTTACTAGCCACAGGACAATGGCTGACCGATTAGAAAGGTAGGTATTTACACCAGATGGTAATTGATATATCTTATTTCAACCTCAGTGACATGGTGCTGATGACCAATCATTATGACCCTTTGTAAATGAGCTAACTGGTGATAAAAATAACATATGACTTGGTTCTATAAATGCATAGTTACATATGCTTGTTCCTTCCTGTCAACACATTTCTTTTTTTTTTCAACTGTCAGAAGAAGCTTAAGTTTCACTTTCAGGACATACTTAAAAACTCATGATTATGAGTCATAAAAGTCATATAAAGTCATCAAGACTCTAGAATTCTTAAAGAAGAATGAAAAAAATCCATAAAATACTGATACCAAGAAAAAATACAAGAGGTCCCCCGGGAAATCTTGTGGTCCACCATTTCCTGATTCTTTTTTGTGTTTTATCTATTGGATCTTTTCCCTTCTTTTCTCTTATTATAGTGTTATCTGTTGTAATGATACGGGGATCAATCCTATGGTAACATCAATAAATAAGGGAAAGCTACAAATACAATCTAAAATTGCTCCATCAACAGTACAAGTAAGGACCACGAGGTACCTACAAATGATTTTTAAAAGCAATCAGTCACATACTTTTCAAAAAAATAGTGATACCAAACTGTTATTTTCAAAGTCAAAGAACACCACCTGTTAGCCATTTTGTTTTTGTTATCAGTCTAAAAGTTAAAAAGGATCCACTAGGGCCCAGTGGGAACCTACATAGAAATTTTGAGAAAAATCCATTCAGTATTTTTCAAGAAACAGCCATAACAATTTATAGTTGTGAAAATCCAAGATGGCCACCTTTCATAAATTTTTTTCACTGACTTGTCTCAAAATTAAGGGACCGAGAGAATATATAGAACAGAAAAGTGAGAATACCAATGTGACAAGTGCATTTTAAGAAAAAGCAATAACAAACAAATTCCCAGATGTCAACTTTATTGTTTTACTGATAACTTTTTAAAAATTCCATCCAAGAAATAAGAGAAACAGACTCTAATTGTTGAAATTCGAGACAGTTGCTTGTTAGCCATTTTTTTTCTCTTATCAATCTCACAACAGAAGGGGCAAAACCAGGGACCAAGATGCACCTTTTCTTGAAATTATAGTGAGACCAATCCGTTCATTATAAATCACCCATCTTTTTCTATTTCTTGAATGGTCAATTGCCCCTAATAAAGAATTAATTTTGAGAGACCAACTACCTACAAGGCAATCCATCTTGCAAGAGAACTTTCTTCAAAAGCAATCTAACTTTTCACAATATGATGTAAACACAGAAATAATATCACTTTTCAGAGAGTTTTTAAACAGTACCAACCTTTCCTCTAAGGTGGGTGAGTCACGACCAGAGTCCTGCCCAAGGGAACACTGGGACGTGGACGGCATGCTCTCGATCTTCATGTCTGAATCTAAAGAATGACGGTTACTGCTGCTACCACTCCAGTTACCTGTAGAAAGATAATGTCAGATATACACTCAATATCAAAAATGTGATATACAATTTATTTACAACATAAATTGTGAAAAAAATATCTGACATGATGTATTCTCATTTATTTGGAAGAATCTGTAATCTGTAAATTTGTGTATGAATTAATTTACCTGTGAGATTGTTGCTAAGAATGTTTTCTATATGATCATAGAAAATCATTCCACTTCATGCGTCACGAAAAAAAATACACGAAAATTGCAAAACTAATGTATATCAATTACATATAGCAGATCTTGGCATGTTTACTTTAAATTGAAATGAAAAATTTAAAACATTGTACAGAATCTGACTTCAATAACACTGTCCAGTTATATTTAGTCTATGTACATCAACCATGCCATAATACATAGGTAAATATGTTAAAACAAAGCCCGACATTTTAGGTTTTACTTTGTTGCATATACACAAGTAGAAATAATGTTCCATGCATAAAATGAAATAACACAATTAAATTATGATCACCAACAGACAACATTAAGCCAATACAGACATATGGACTTAAACCAGATACAAACTTAAGATCCAATTTTGGAAGGAGCTGAGAGCTCCAACTGTAAGGAAGAAAAAATCACTGGCGTAGAATAGAGATTTTGATCCACCAAAAAATTATACACTAAAGATCCAATGCCCGACTTACTTTTGTCAAATTAAACTCTTAATCAAATAGGTCACTGTTACATGTTGTGGAATACAAAATTTGAAATTATTCTGTACTTACACAGCTATCAAAATGGCAGACTAAATCCCTCATATACATAAAAATATCATTACACAACTGTCATAAATAACTGGCAAGGCTGCTACCTGCAGACACAGCTATTGTTTAAGCATTGAGTTGAAGCCACAAAAATATGTCTACACACCTACACAAAATGCTAGTAATTATCTAAAACACATCTAATTATAAATCTCATCACAGTCCAGTAGTTTGGTATTCAAATCACTGAAGCCATGTTTGACAATGTCTTTTTAAATGACCTAGATTGTCATATGGTCAACACAAACAAATATAGCCAATGTTATTGTATATTATACACATACAATTGTGGAGTATTTGATTATACATTCACTAGACCATTATATGATTAACTTTAACCTTGGTTATTTAAAAAAAAAAATCCTCTCCAGTATAATTTAATGTTTCTGTTGTTAAACAAGCAGTAAGGCACAAAAAATGTTGTCTTTAATTGCAGTGACAATAAACTCGTTTACCTATAGCTATGGCTCACAACATGGGTTGATCAGTGCAATTTGATAACTTTAATATCATACCTGTTTGTTTACACATCATTAGTTCAATAGTCTCGTTAACTTCATAAATAAGCAACTCAGTGTTAACCCCGAGGGATATGTTAAGCGTCTGAGAGTGATAGGTGATACTTCACCACAACGTACCTGATGATGACTGTCTGTCCTCCTTAGATCTTCTCTTAGATATCTCTCTCAGCTTCACAGACGTCGTCCAATCCTTAGGCATCGCGTTCCAGGTGAATTCACGTTCAACTCTTTTTGGTTGCCGTCTTGGTAATGTATTACTTTCACTTTCAAAGTTATAATATGATCCTGGCCCTACCTTAGAGCTGTCTCTTGCTGCCTGACTAAGAATTCCATCTGGCATGCTAGGCATTTTGGAATTAGCCAATGAGGATGCCATTGTTTCATCACCAAAGTCAATTGCATCAAGGTCAAGAGATTTGGGTCGCGGTCGTAACTTGTTGCCAATGTTACTTCCATTGACCAATGATTTTATCTTGTTGCTGATAATACTTGATCGCTTTGTTGATCTGGATAGACGGCTTGATCCTGATCCAACACTGGCCAGACTGACAGAGTCTCCCTCGTACCGACTGGAGTGGTCTGTTCCTACAGATTGTCTGTCATATGAAATTGCTTTCATAGAATGTAACTTAAGACACCTTGGCAGGGATCTTGAACGTCGACAAGGCAACAACTTTAAAATTTTAGGCTTCCTGAAAGCATGTTCAAACTCTTTCCTTTCCTCCATCTTGGCATCAATTTCATCAAGATATTTTGCCATTTCCTCATCTCGGTGAATTGTATTACCATCTATGTCAATGTCATCAAAACTGTAATCACGAGGCTGTTCTCTGTAGCCATTTTTCTTTTTCTTCTCAAACGCCTCAATTTCATGCATAATATTGTCGGACACCCCTGATACGGTGCGCCTCCGTTTCTTTTTCTTTGCATCCTTATCTTTATTAGCAATGCTTCGTTGTGAACCACGCAGTGACTCCATCCTCTCAAATCCTTGACCTGAAGTATCTATGGATATGAGACTGGCTGAAGTTGACTGGGACAGACTTTCTGACATTGCCTCAGCTTCACGTGCCACCTCTTCCTTTGTAAAGTACTGTTCATCTGTCACATGTATGGTCTTAGGGCGCTGCTGTAACTTCTTATAACGCTTCTCAAATGTGAATACAGACTGGGTCTGAAACATGACAGAAGAAATGAAAGTCTTCATCGTAAAAAAACTATCTAATGACAATGGTAAAAGTGTGAAAATAACATCTGATACTAGAATCTACCTGATAAACAGTTTTATAAGTATCACTCACACTGCTAACACTTCAAGGAATGTGACAAACAACACAGAAAACATCATAACAATAAAGGAGTGGCTAAAGATAGGTCTAATTCTTCCCAAAAGGAGAGACACAACTGAATGGAACAAAGGGGATTATGGTCCATTAGACATTCTTTATTTCAGAGACTTAGTTTTTTATACTGTATGACTACATAGATAATGTATAAGGTTGCTTACCTCAAACTGACATCTATATACTCAGTGAGTGACTGAATCAGGACTTATAATTGAAATAATATATGGAGAATTTATGATTTTATAGTATTTCATAAACCCTGATCATCTGTGGTTACATACACATGTGTTTCTTGTGGCCAAACAACTGGTTTTAGCGATCAAATAAGCAAATTCTAGGCAAACACATATGTAAATATTGGGTCTATTTCTAATATCCAACTTAAACCTTGTGCATATTGCAAATAAATCTACCAGATCAAAACACTTCTTTTGAAAAATTCAGTACAATTTGGAGAAGTTGTTCAAGGTCACTGAAGACACCTTTACCTTTCGAGGTAGGTTGAGGTCAGGTGTTTTGACTTTTGGTTCCCGAAGCAGTACTGGCCAAAGCCTGAAAAGTCGTGAGCTGCAGAGCCCATCTTTCCTGTATATGTCTGCGCCTCGTAAAGCATGTGAAGGGGAAACTTCAGCCTGGGCATACTGGTCCCGGATACACTGACTTCGTGTCTCCTTTGTAAATAGGTCACTATCAAATCCATGCTTTGTGACATGGTACTCGCCAGTCTGAGAAAACTGAGATAGGTCACCAACAGCTGCAAGTACACAAATGTAACATGATGATAAATAATAACCTTCAACTTTCAAGGTCATTCAATTTTATTAGATCAGCAAACACAATATCATCAAAAAACAAAACTGTACACCTACTGATAAGACAGTGGTGTAAAGAATGGAGATGATAAAATAGAGATAAAACAGTCTGTCGGCCTATCTTAGTGTTTAACGCCCAAGTAATTAATGTGTGTATATAAATGCAGTTTACATAAATCTTATTAAAACGGAAACAAAATGACATTTCCATTCAAATTGAAATTACAACAGTTAAAGTCTTTGTTCTGTATTGCAGAAACCTGTCTAGATTAATCCAAGAATTCTTTGGACCTGTCTCCAATCATCTAATATCTCAGAATAAAAACATTGTATTGAAATCAAATACATTTCGTTACCCTATAATACATAATTCTATTTGGCGTATGTAATCTTCACTGTGGTAAATACTAGATACATATTCTGAGGAATCTAGACTCAAATTTCTACACTCAACTCAATCGTAAGTTTAAATTATCTCATTATAACTAATACCCATAGATTAAAAAAAACATGGTAATTCTGAGTATGGGAATGATCACTTCATCCGAACACCAGAGACTAATTACTGGCCATAGAATCCCAGCTGTCATAATGTAATAACTATAAATCATACATGTTCTAGGGAGATAAAATTATATAATTACCTAACAACATGTCATGTCTCTTTAATTTCTCATATTTCATTTTTACCACATTTGGTCTATAAGCTCACACTGTACTATTACTAAACACAAGACACGAACACTTCAAAACACTTACAAAGAAAAAGTTTACATATGAAATATGCTGAGACATGAAACCTTGATACCACAAATTAAAATCAAATATCAATGGTAAATTTCAGTCACATTACTTATTGACTCAGGCAGAAAGACAAAAGATCGAAAATTGCATTGTTACAGCTTAGCAATCTTTTTACAAGTTGTAATTATGAAATAAGCATACTTATCATTATTACTGGCATGTGCACTTAGTAGAATATATATGGTTTACCACCTTTTATATATTTGCTATCATATATATTCTGATATATCCTGGATGTATTTTTAATAAGTACATGATAAAAGATATCAGGTGAAAAGGAGCACATTCCCATATCATAAAGGTAACTTTTACATGTAATATGAAGATGATCTGTTAATACATGTGGTTGTTTGTACATTTAATTGTACCAGCATAATGAACCCGGTACTTATTATAACATGAAAAGCCATTAATAGGAACAGAAATTGAAGAGAGTTCTAACAGGACATAATGGAAAAGATATTCACCACAATGACTTTCTATCTAGAAATCACAAAAAATATGAAACACAAAAGAATATGTCATTTTATCTTGTCACAGATCTTGGCATCACAATCAGATTGAGAGATCAGACTTAGTGAGACACAATGATGCTGACTAGGTAAGACCAGAGAACCAAGCATACGTAGATGATATATGTGTATAACAATAACTATTTTACAGTCTAATTTACATATGACTAATATAAAACTGCCATATATATCTAACTGTAAACTCACAAACTGGTAATGTTGGAATTTTAGGTGAGATATCAATTCTACCTCAAATATAAATGAGTGTAAATTATAAAGAGACTGGAGTAAACAAGACTTTATATGTACCTAACTGTGATAAATTAATACGTTTTGATAAATAATTGATTTCATTTAAATCATTAGATTCAACACAGAAAACCGTACTAAGGACTCAACTCTTGTCAATCTAAAAAGAAAATACAAAACTGAATTCTTTTCAAACACCCGTGTCTATACCATATAGATCAATTTTCTATTCATTAAGACTTGTTGGGATTGCAGGACAAAGAGTGGCATGACATGCTTTAGTCTATAAAGTAGACTACAAAGACATGAGGCAGATCAACTGTAATCCAGCCAGCATCAGAATGCACACTTTGATCCTCAGGTCTTCAGGGGAGACCAGAGAAGATAATGGTGCTTTGTCACCTTAATACAAGCTTGGTCATGGAGGATAAAATCAGTCTTTATAAAGGCTTGTTCTCCGAAGGCAGGCCAGATTTACTCTCTATCATGGTTTATGTCCCAAAGAGCAGATCAGAATCACTCATAACCAAGATTTCATTGGTCTCAGAAAGCAGAATCACCCATAATCAAGGCTTGGTCTCAGACAAGAAACTGAATCACTATTTATCAAGTTTTGGTCTCAGAAGGTAAGAATTACTTATAATGGCTTGGTCTCAAAAAGCAGAATTGCTCTTGGCCTGGTCTAGAGCATACTCATACTACACCTTAGGTCTAACCTCTCCGTGCAAACCAACAAGACTGTTGTTCATTATAACCCCAGTTTCATCAACTATAGTGCATAAACCCGCTTCTGGCTATAAAGACACAGTCCATTATTATACATCCTATAGCTGTGGTACTCTACAAACTCCCCCAGCCCTGGGTAGTAGACCCGCTTCTGGCTATAAAGACACAGTCCATTATTATACATCCTATAGCTGTGGTACTCTACAAACTCCCCCAGCCCTGGGTAGTAGACCCGCTTCTGGCTATAAAGACACAGTCCATTATTATACATCCTATAGCTGTGGTACTCTACAAACTCCCCCAGCCCTGGGTAGTAGATTAGAGAGACTACGGCCCTGGATTAGAGAGACTACGGCCCAGTACACTGGATCAATAAGGTGTCAGCTGTAGGTTGTTTACATAATTATTTACCAGGTGTTCTGATGTTTTATTATTTATTGTCCCTCCCTTCATGTCATTAATTGATTATTACATGGAACACAAAGAAATGTCACACAGACTTTAATAGATGACTAATAAGAATTATACGGGACGTACACATTCTCGATCGCTGCACCCACAGATTATATACCACAAACACTGCTGTGCCGATACATTATTGACTGAGTTTTGTATCTTCATTCCATAACATATTGATAAAGGACTCAATTAATACAACACAATGAGACAACAACTCAGGTAAATCGGTTATACCATAATCTTTTTCTAAGCAGGATGTCACATGTTTGTTCAAACAGCAAAGTATAAACCTAGTGCATATTTTTCTTTAAAAATATGGCTGTATTTTGTTTAATGGAGCATCAATGTACGTCATACATGTATAATGTCATTAAAATGTCTGCATTCAAACAAAACATAATTGTTACGTCTTGTACAAGTTTGACTGAATATATATTCAAAAGTGTGACAATTATATTGATCCTTCAAGTAAGTGAGACAAGAAGCTATAATTTTTGCATGTATTACATATTGCTGCCATTGTCACCAAACATTAAATCTCAATAGGATTTTACAGAATTGTAATGGCTTAAAAAAAAAGTAGATTATTTGAATATAAAAATCAACAGAACATTTACCTGATTATGAAATTACTGACCTTTCACATACTAACCATATATTTTATCATTTAAAACATGTATTGTAGATGCCAAACATAGCTTTTACCAGAGAAATGATTTAGGCCATGAAATTCACATGAAATTTCTTTATCTTTTTTCGATATAGAAGGGAGACTACCCATAAGTATAAATACATCTATAGAGCAGAATTCTTTAAGATAAGGTGCAGATGTGGAGGTAAATGTAATATTCTTGATCACTGAGACACTATAACTGAATGTCATGTTCTCAGTTTACCCTACTTACATAAAGTTTACATGGTCATTTCTCCAAATTTATTTATTTTTACACAAGTGAACTGAATTGATTGAATGTTTGTTTATTTCAATTGAAAGAATGATTTTCTGAAAGATACTAAAAATTCTGTTTTTTCAGCATTAGACAAATGTCTTTCACAGCTACAGTTCTAAAATGTCAGCCGTTTTATAGCTGCCTCTCAATTATACCCAAATCAATCCATTAATTTATTCAAGTGTCAAAACATCTTACAACAATATACATATAAGTAATGAAATAAGATGTCCTCTTAAAAATAAGATCTCCAGCCAGTTATGACTTATATAGACAATGTTTATATAGTAAGTAAAATATATTCTAAAATACTGTACACTAAAAGATAAGGTAATGCTATTCCAATTCCCAGCCTGTCATCTCACTGTGAGTGATGAGTTTGGTAGACCAGAAAGTCTATCAATTAAACCTATAGTGCTTTAATGGCTTAATCAAACAGCTATCCATTACATATATCTCATGAGCAACACTAATGCTTGCCCATTATGTCTGTAGGTCACACAAGGCCAGTTAACAATGGCCTGTCTTAAAGATCAAACATATTACTTCTTTATATTGTGACTTCACTATGATTTGCAATCAAAAGATTGATAATTAATATCATCATATTCAAAATTATTTTGTTTAGTAATTAAAATATGATTAATTTATTGTTTTTGTAGGTCTTAATTTTTTCAAAAGAAAATAATCTCTGGTAATCTGCTAGCAATTGGCAGTATAACTTACATTTATTAATGTTATTTTATACACAATTGCTACCTCAGTTTTAAAATCATTAATAGATGAATTGTGGTGGTTAAACAGCAAGGTTACGGGTACTGTAATGTTATCGAACAGCCTTTGTCCATTATGATTAAAATATTTCTAGACATTTTACCTCCAATGATTTTTTTTTCAATAAAGTTAATGTTTGTGCATAAGGCCAAAAGAAACATTTGATAACTTCAATGACATAGTACAGTTGTACTTAATATATATTTTATTGTAGGTTATCAATGAACTGATATATAAGTAGGACTGATCCTATAATATATACATTTTATCCCAATAACATGTGTGCACTGGGGCTCAAACTAGAGTGAAGTTTCAGTCTCCAGACACACAAGTCAATCACTTGACAAAAGGGAAATTGTCATTGGTCAAGACTTACGTAAAAGTAACCTGTACTTTCAACTTCTACACTGTTACCTCCTTCACAAATCTTTTTCCCTGCAGACAACTATAACTAAGGTTCTTTAACTC